CTAATGTAGCCTCAATCACAATTCATACATCCCCGCCCTGTTCTTCTTCTTTGTCTTTATATATTATTACACATAATATGTTTTATTATAAGGAAGTCATACTGTACCACTAACAGAGTGTTGGAGTAGTTCCATGCTTTTGAAGAGATTACTTTTAAACATGAAAGGGCTGCCGCTGCACATGAACTCTGAGATGTGGACGCATATTTAAAGAAAGAGTCTTTTGATCATGCTGGTGATTTATTCTGAATGCAAAAGTAAATGTGCTGCGGGACGATATTTACAGGCTGCTTTAAATCATATGCTGTTGTTTCCCAAATGGTGTCTAAACAAGCAATGACACAAAGGACTGCTACGTCTGGATACTTGTACTAGTGAGTTGAAACGATGCACATTTAGAGTATATTTGGAGGAAATGTTGGCTTATAGATATGTTTTCTAGTTGTGCCTCTGGTCATGGAAACCTGATTGAGCCCCACATTTCCTTTCCTGTCCTCCAGCTTGCTGTCCTTCTCTTTCTCTAATGTCTCTTTTCTCTTCCTCACCCTTGCTGTCTTTTCTACTTTTTCTCCTCCTATTTCCTCCTGTCCTCTCCTCCTCTCCTCCTCCTCGTGTTTTCTCTTCCTCGAATTCCATTTCCACCGCTCCTTCTCGCTTGATTTCCTCTCCTCTCGTTCCTGTCGCCTCTCTCAAAACAAGATTAAGCTATTAATGTTGCGGTCTCTTTAATGAGATGCGTGTGGCTGTGTGTGTCTGTGTGTGTCTGTGTGTGTGCGTCATGTGTGTGTCTGTGTGTGCCGTTTCAGTGGTAGAACAACAGTTTAAATGGACTATTGATCGTTCCTCTGTCTCCCTGTCAGTGTTTGACTGCTTCCTGCCTTCGCCGCCAGTTCTCACACACTCACTCTGCCTGACAGAACACACACGTATATGCTAATTCAAACGCAGCCTTTTAAACACACTTGGACACAAGAGCGAACACATACTGATAGGAATATCAATCAATCCCTCACATTTATACTCAAACTCGACCTTTTGTACATAATTCCATTAATATTGCTTATTTTATGACTCTAATAACCATCATAATATCATAAAATATATCGATATATGATGAAAAGTAGGATAAAATCTCCCTGTAACTAGGGTTGGGTAATATATTTATATAATACCGATACTGTGCATTTTTCCTATTTTTATGGGCTGCGTTAAAGATGCCTTTTTCTAACTTTACAAGATTTAACTGCTTTATTTTTTGCCTTTAGCCACTTTATAGTCATTATTATGTCATTATATCCACATTACTGATGATTACTTAATAATATTGTCATTTTGTTAATCTTTTCTGAAAGCACCAATTGGTCATTTGTTTTTGATATCTTATTTCCTCACTCTTTTTCCTCCTCGAAGTTTGGAGAAACAGGCCACACTTATCTCTTTCTTTCAAATCAAAGTAATAGAGGACAAGTTTATCTATATTGATAAAGCACATTTTATTTTGAGTGTCACTAAATCCAGGTGTTTGCTCAAGGAATGTTGTTTGTGAGCAGGCAAAACGCTGAGCCACACAATAATACGCTGCAGCAGCAGGAGTTTGATTCAGTAATGTGACCAGCATGAAAAATGTCTTCTATTCCAGTGACATTTGCAGATGCCTCTACAGGGCTGCTTTTTGTATGTTAATACAGAAGGGAGACGGACTGAATCCTAACACCTTCCTGCTGCAAAACCCACTGACATCCTCTCTTTATGGATATTATACGGTGGATATTAAATACACATTTATTAACTATAAAAAGTTAGTGTGCAGTTTTATGATGCCGTTTTTTCCTTGTATAGTTGAAATGACACAGAGGTTAGAAATGTGTGAGGGAAGAGTGGATTTCTGGCCTAAGACACACATATATGTACACACACACACACACACACACACACACACACACACACACACACACACACACACACACTCTGAAAATGCATTCATTGAACACACCGATGCAGAAGAACATCTCAGTGGCCTCAATGCATATAAGTGAATCCTGCATCATGGGAATACACTGACACACACACACACACACACACACACACACACACACACACACACACACACACACACACACACACACACACATACACATACATATACACACACACACATACACACACACATGGAGGTGTATGGATTGCCCGCTTTAGATGAGATTGTTGGCTACATGCTTCTATTTTATTCATGCTTCCCCGCTCAGCCTGCCATTATCCAACACTGAATATAATGTGTGTTTGCAAGCGTGTGTGTGAATGCTTTTTTGCTTGTGTGTGTATACCTGGTTGTGTGTGTCCGGCGTCTCACCACAGTGCACTGCTCGACGTGGGACCTTTTAATTAAGGGAGAAGTTTCATTATAAGCTCCATTAGTCAGTGGCTGCCTGGTGTCAACAAGACACTCGGATAATGCATCTAGCGCACCACACACACACACACACACACACCCACACACACACACACACACACACACACACACACACACACACACACACACACACACACACACACACAGAAAAAGTACTGTTAGCCGGGCTGGTTTAATATTTAACCTGATGTTCTGTTTCAGGATGAGAGTGTAATTTATTATCTGTAGTAATGGGCGCTGACCCCATTTCCAGTCAAATGAGAGAGGCGGGCAAAGGTGTTATTATAAGTGATCATATAATCATTTGCGTTGTGATGCGTGTCAGCGGCTGCACCACAGCTCTGAGTAATGCTGCTGCTACAGGCAACACTTTAAAGGACACACTACAGCAGTGGTCACCAACCTTTTTAAGAACAAGATCACCGACCTCGGCCTAGGTGAAAGGCGAGATCTACCTATTGCAGAATTGAGTGAAAAAGACGGCCCAGACAGTGCTTCCAATTTGAGGCCTTTTATAGGCTAATTGCATTTGAATCACTGTTACAATGAAGGCTCCATAATCAGCTCACAGCATATAGGCAGGGGTAAAGTGCTATTTTTTATGAGTGGGAGGCGGACCTCACCTCCTCTAGGGGGGTCCTCACCTCCTCTAGGGGGGTCCGGGGGATGGTACCCCGGGAATTTTTATTTTTAAATATTGAAGTTGAAAGCATCAATCTGGTGCACTTTGAGAGCAACATGAAGAGATCTATGGATACCTCTCTCAGCACCCATATGAAACAGAACTGTAAACAGATTTTCTTTTTCTTTATGGATATTTTACAAATCACTCCCCTTTTAAACTGTATTCTTGTTTTACTGCCATATAGTATTTCATACCTGTTTTTCATTTATTCTCTTATTGTTTGTATAACTATAATGATCATATGAAGGTGTGCCTCGGAAATAATCTTTTGAATAATTTGTGTGTCCTTTAACTCACCTGAGCCCCTCAGTCTGATAGGAGAGGACTCCCCTCCAGCTTGTTGTGGAAACAGCTCCTTATGTCCGTTAGTGCAGCTAGCTAACCAGATGCTAACATCACGGTCCCCGCTAGCACCGGTCCCTCTCTCTCCCTCTCTCTATCACACTAAATGCGCTATTGCCACCTGATTGCCACCCATGATTGCCACACACACACACAGAGCCGAGCTTGAATGACACAAGCACACGTGTATTTCCATGCAACTCTCTGATTGGTCTGGTGACTTGCCTCTGTTGCATTCACTGAACACGGGAAATTGTAGTTCTACCGTCCTCTCTTGTGTCATGATGAGGTTCACGCTTCACGTAAAGCACGGGTAGCCTAATGTATTATATTATTGAGGTGTCTCAATATATACGTCAGTCAAGTGGCACCTGCTAACGGGGTGGTGGATGATAGGTTTACATAAAAACGTATTTTTCAAACATTATTATTTTTATTTTATTTTTATTTATTTTGTTACCTTTTTTTTTATCGGTCCTTGATCTACCCGCACCACACTCTGGTTGGCGACCACTTACAGGGTAAACATTACAACCAACCATTATCATCATGAAACTGGACTGCCCCCGTTATTTCAGTATTACATGTCTTCTGAAGTGTTTAACATATGCAAATGAAGCATTGTCTTTCGCTTATTTCAGGTTAAAGTCAAAAAGGGAATTCGAATCACTCCATAAATCTGAAAATACAGTCAACAATATGTTTTTTAGGGATAAAATGATTTATAAACATAGATACAGACATTTCTGAAGTTTAAATGTGCAAACAAAGCATTATGTGACGCCCACTTGTGTTCGATTTGGAATGAAATAAACGTCTATGTACTTCAAAATGTTATTTGCTCTTACCCAGGAAATAATCTACAGAAGCAAATAACAAAGAAAGTAAAATCAACATCTCGTAGCGTAGATAATATGCTAACTGCATATTAGCATTGTCATTTTGACCATGCTGATATCATATATATCATATCAAAATGCTGTCCTTTGTGAACATTTGCTAATATGCAAAAGTAACTAAAGAAAATGTCATTTACTGGCAGAAATAAAAGTGGTTGACTTTTGAATGTCAACAGCGTGTGGTTTTATTGATGCCATGCCAAACAGCTCTGTGTAACACTTTTCTAAATAGTGCTTTGTTACCTGAAGGCAACAAGTGTTAAGCTGTGTAGACTCTCTCCAGTTCTTGATGTGGCGTTGAAGGCCTGTAAGTGGCGCATTGATTGATATGATGAGGATGCAATTAGCCGTGAGCTAAATAAGAGGAGCCTCTTATCATGCTGAGCATCACTTGCATTTGGTGTCTGTGTGTGTGTGTGTGTATTCAGATAGACTGTCAACCAGTCAGTCAGAAATATCGAGTCTGGTATTCCCTGGTATTTATCAGAGTGTAATTGTGCCCTTTTCATGTTGTGTTTGAGCCGCTGCCATAGACATCAGACATGACCTGACACACACACACACACACACACACACACACACACACACACACACACACACACACACACACACACACACACACAGAGCTCCATTTTCCTGACTGTGTTTTTTCTTCTTCCGGTAGATGAGAGAGAAGTCGTTCAGAAGAAGACTTTCACAAAATGGGTAAACTCACAGTTGTCTAAGGTAAGAGAGCTTCCTGCTTCCTCTTTATTTACTCTTACTGAATTGTGATCACTCTCTCTCATCACTATGTTGTAAGCTTTACTCCCAAAGAGGATATATAATGGTCATTTTCAGGTTTCATTTGTATATTGTGCCTGTACTAAGAAGAAAGGAAGGACAGGTTTTCCTTCTGATTCTACATGCAGTATTTGGGATATTTTAAGTTTTTTTTGTCATCTCTTTTCAATTATGTTGCTTGATTATTGTCTATTGCACATTGATGTCACTTTCTCTAAGCCCCCCCACCCCCCTTTGGGGATTGAATGACTTGTTTTGTATTTCATTCTAATTACACTCCTGTTTTGTGTTTGTTTATTTGTGTTGGTTTGCGTGCCAACACATCTCCTCTATTCCTATTTTCAAAGTTGATTACAAGGGGGCTAGAGGTGTGCCGTTGCCATGGTGACGGAGACTTAGATGAGTGTGTGTGCATACAGTATGTGTGCATGGTGGTGCTCATTGGAGTGTGTGTGAGTAAAAGCTATTGAAACAGAGTCTGGTTTAAGCCAGGTGATTAAACCAGGACGAAGATGGACAACTCTCCTTTTTCCTTTATTTCTATTTCCTGTCTTTCGCCTCCTCCTTTCTTTTCAACTTCTCCACGTCCTTCCTTTCCTAGCATCCATTATTCTCTCTAGTCTAGGGACATATCAGAAATGTAGCAGCCGACAGCAACAACAGTGAAGTAATGCTATTTTTCAAACCTAATTTGATACTATGATATAAAAAATGAACAACACAATAAATCCCGGATACTTCATACACTCCCTAAAGTAGTAACTCATGTGACATCCGTATGTCTTTCCTCTTTTATTTCCTTTTCCCCTTTCAGTTATTTTTCTTACAAACTCCTTCCTCCTTCATTCTCCTCTTTCCTCCCTTGCTTCCCCTCATCTCCTTCCGGTTTTCACCTTCTTTCCCCTTTTCCTTTAGTTTCCTCAATTTTATTTCCACTTGGAGATATCTCGGAGTGTCAGAAATGTAAATTATAGTTGGGATGTTGGAGTTTTTGCTGTAGTGTAATAGATTCTGGTACTCCTTAAAAAGTACTGGCTGTGGTTGGTACTGTAAACAAGAGTGAATACGCTCACCCTGTGACAGATCCACACATATTCCTGAAGTGCCTCTTTTTATGGTTGGCCGAGTAGCAAATCACACTACAATCAGGCATCTCTACGCCTTTTTTCTCCATATTTCTCAGGGCTGCCGTAACTACACCTTCCACCTCCTGCCATGACGTGTTCGCTCACCCTGCTGAACTTTTGTTTTCCTCTCACTCAGTTTCCATTACGTCTCCCACTCCTTCATCTCCTTCCCTCTCTCCTCTCAATTTCCCCCCTCCTATAATCTCACTTTCTCACATCTGCTGTCTCGCTATCTGTTACTCTCCTGAGGCCTGTGTGTGTGTGTGTGTGTGTGTGTGTGTGTGTGTGTGTGTGTGTGTGTGTGTGTGTGTGTGTGTGTGTGTGTGTGTGTGTGTGTGTGTGTGTGTGTGTGTGTGTGTGTGTGTGTGTGTGTGTGTGTGTGTGTGTGTGTGTGTGTGTGTGTGTGTGTGTGTGTGTGTGTGTGTGTGTGTGTGTGTGTGTGTGTGTGTGTGTGTGTGTGTGTGTGTGTGTGTGTGTGACTCATCTATCTAGGATGGGGTACTCATTATGCTCCGCTGAGTTTGGATGGATGAGGGGATTTCTCTCTCTTCCTCTCTCGCCTATATCTCCACCCCCCTATTTCTATCACCTTGCCTCCCAATCCAACCTTTCTTCCTCCCGCTTTTTCTAAGTTTTTGTAAGTGGATAGCAACGGTCAGCTATCCCTAGCAGCTATATGCTTTCCTTAGCATATGTCTGCTATCCTTAGCATTGGTCTGCTATCCTTAGCATATGTCTGCTATCCTTAGCATTGGTCTGCTATCCTTAGCATTGGTCTGCTATCCTTAGCATTGGTCTGCTATCCTTAGCATATGTCTGCTATCCTTAGCATTGGTCTGCTATCCTTAGCATTGGTCTGCTATCCTTAGCATTGGTCTGCTATCCTTAGCATATGTCTGCTATCCTTAGCATTGGTCTGCTATCCTTAGCATTGGTCTGCTATCCTTAGCATATGTCTGCTATCCTTAAGCAGCGGTATGCTTGGGAAAAAGAGCAGACTTAGTTATGTCATTAATGTGAGTTAACCAGCAATCTTTAAACTAAGATTGGTCTTTGTTTTGGTCTTAGTGGTAAAAGAAACTCTCTACATTCAGGTCTCAGAGATAATGATAATGATTTATGTATTTTTTCCATAAGTTAGGACAAATAGTTTACCTCGAAGTTGCAGGAATTGAGGTAAAAAGGGGACGGAAAGAGTTGGGAGGACAGCATGCGTCCGCTGCCTGTTGTTAATTTCACACCCTGGCTGTCACTGTGTGCTCAGGTCTTCAGAAAGTGCAGAATAACCCTGATAGGGGAGGAGAGAAAAGGGAACAGGGGAGGACAATGAGGCTGAGAAACAAAAAGGAAAGGATAAGGATTGGGAGCACAGACGGTGGTGAGGAAAGCATCATAACGCAGGTATCGTTATGCTGATGATACACACTAAAAGTAGAAAAAGACCAACTTTGAACCAGAAACTCCATATTTATAATGTGCTACCGTTGACAAGTTGGGAGGTAATATAGAGTTTGCCACCTTGGTACACACTAAGCCTCCTTGTTATTATTGTATTACCTTTACAAGTACCATATAGGCGCAAACGCAAATTAAGAGTTACCCTTTTCCATTTTGCCATCAATTGGGCCCCAGGAGATCGTAGACTGTGGCAGACAGAATTGCATATTGAAAACTAGGCTCATTGGGATCCAATAAAAAAGCTGATGTCATTATTCTACAGTCATTACATTGTGCCGTAAACATTAACTTTGTCATTTTAAGTTGAAGCAAAACACTTCTACATCGCCTCGTGGAATGTGTATATCAACCCATTGCTATGTTGATTACACAGCCCATGGTTATACTGGATAATCGTTCATTAGTATCTACTTACTGTAGTGCCTCAGTTTGCACTGCATGGATGTTGTTTTGACATCGTCTGTATATTGGACTGTGAAGATAGAAAATAGCAGGCAAGCAAGGCAAGTTTATTGATATAGCACCTTTCAACACAAGGCAATTCAAAAAAGTGCTTTACAAAAATGAAAAACATTGAGAGCATTAAGAAATAGTGCAGTGGAAACACATTATAAAATTGCATTAAAAAGCAAAGGGAATAAAATAAACATAAAACAAGCATATATATATATAAAACGCATGAATACAAGTTACAGTGCACTAGAGCCACTAAAGAATAAAGTGTTTTGCTGATTTTACCTTTTTTGTAGCTAAATTATTCAATTTTTTTTCATCTTTAGAGATTTTATTAAAAGTGTATTACATTTCTTAATCTTAATTAGTTAAAGTTAAAGTTCAAGGTAGCTTTTTTTATCCACTGAGGGTTAGAACAGTTACAGCATTTGGATAAAACAAGAGAAATGAAATACTGATATCAAAGAATCTGAATGAGCTCATACAGCCACATATCCTATTCACAGCCCTTAGTGTGCTCTCTCTTCCCTTTTAGCTTCCTCGATGGCACTAGAATCTCTTCTGGGGTTTCACAAAATTAGGAGCTGTCACACAGTAACTGCCGCTGAGTGATCCTTTTCCAAGTCAGAACTAATCCCAACCTACTGTAGAGCGGAGTGGGAGCAGAGCTGCTTGCTCTTTCCACTGAGAGCGTCATTACCTACTGTACTGTGGATTTAAAGGTCATTGGGAGAAGTTTGCAAAGGTTAGTGGGCTTTGTCAACGGGATTTGGTGATAGGCAGCAGTTTTAGAACTCATTTTCACTGAATCACTGCTGACTGTGTTTTTGGAAAACTGCTGCGGCAAATAGAAGCATTTACTCCACTAAATAAAGTGCTGTGGTTCAAAAGTTAACTAAATCATCTCCTGGTCTGTTGCATTTACATATTTAGGTCAGACTCCTATCTTCCTTGTCACTCAGAGCTTTCACTTTAATTACATGACTTCTTTGATCATGACATGTTGTTGTGGTGTTGGACAGCTTACCTGTGCCGCAGAATAATCTCCTTCCTGTGTCCGCAGGTGATCATTTGCTCTGCTGATCCATGTCAACACGTTAGCACACACTGTGTCCAGAGCTACAGGCTGCTAGCATGACCTCAAAACTGGTAGCAACTTTAAATCTAAATGCTAATTGAAGTTGTTCTGCATGCAATGATAGGATTACAGAAACCTGAGGTCAGCTGTGAATCTTGGATTAAAAAACACTTGGTGCCTAAAAATGTTCCAAAAGATCACGTGGGTTAATCAATTTAATTTAGTATTGGTAAAGATCTTTTAACCTATTTTTTATTTTTCTCAAAGGTCAAGAAAATACTACCATTTCAGGATAATAGTGGAAGTACAGAAGGGGATTAGGGCCATATGTCCAAATAATTTAGAGAGTTTACCAAAAATGACTCAATCTCAAAGAAATCTAAATATATCAGATTTCATCTTCCGATGTGTCATGTTCTTTTTAGTTATCCAACAAAAGCATGATCTGGACAAAAGCATTGGGAGTGTGTAAAATGCTGCTGCTTAAAGTCATGTAAATCAGTCTGGAAACAGCAATTACCAAGATCCTTGACTGGAAAATCGATGTGTGTCGTAGCTGAAAGAGAAACTCTGGAATCCTCAGAGATATGTATTAAATAGAAACATGTCACAGCATTCTGCCTGTTAAATTGCTGATAGCACCATCTCAGTGAGTAACAGGAGTAAGCTTTGAAAGCGTCACAAGCAATACATGATTTTCACTAAAAGCCTTGTCTCTACATTACAATAAAATACAAAAAGTAATTGATTAATTAATTTGAATAACAATTCAAGTTAGTAGCTATTAAAGGCATAAAAAGACAGAAATGTATAATTCTTTCTTTAATATAAATGTTTCTTCTGCCCGTAAAGTGTCCAAACCGGGCTTTTCTGGATAAGCGGGAATCCAAATGAATTAATCCTGAGTCCAATAACCATCAAAGTCACTCCAATAGTGCTCCTTAATTACGCTTTCATCCTCCTTTAACAAAATACTTCACATTCATTGGGACAGTAGTTGTAGCATTTTTGAGACTTTTAAACTTGAATTACCGCTGTTGCGCATCCCCCCCCCCCCCCCCCTTGTGTGTGGGGGAGGGGGGGCGCAACTTCCAACAGGAGTCATTTGGGGGGGCTCTTGGGAAAAAAGGTTGGGAACCACTGGTCTAAATCGTTAGAAAATATGTGAAATATCTGAACAGTCCTGGTCTACAAACATATATTATTCAATGTATTTTTTCCAAATGGTGCAGCCCTACTCCCCCCTCTAAAACCTGCAGATGGTATGGTCGACTCCTTATTCCAGATTTAAAGACCTTCATTAAATCATGTCATGACTGTTAGGCAAAGATAGGCCACTAAAACAGTAAACGAGATGGTTCCAAAACGTGTGTTTTTTTTACCAGAACGTTAAATTATGTCCATCCTCAGTGTGTGTGAGCCTTTACGTTTCCACATCAAATCTTTTTTTTTTACATTACCATCATTATCTTTGTTGCATTTCATTCACCTGCTCTCTCTTTAATCATTTCCTGTCAATCAGTTAATTGAACATGCATGAGAAGCGGCAAAATCAGGGCTTAACAGTGTGCCGTCACAGCCAATAGGAAAATGGGAATAGTTAATTTCGGTTGATGGCCGTTTTTTCTTCATTGCACCCTAATTGCTTGTAGTTACCAGGGAAGCACTGTGAGAATGGAAAGCATGCAATTCATACCTACATAATGTGTGCCTATTCAAATTAAATTATTATTTGTGTGATCAAATTTATAAAAACATATTTGAATTGGACTGTTAACCATGCTCTACACACGTATCCATTAATTACAACAGAATACACATCTTAATTATAATTAGCCTCAGAGACCATTCTGGAATACTGCCTGGCCTCAGGTTGGCTGTTGTGGCTATGAACTGACAATTTAATTAAATATTCTACTAATTTAATAAGATATATACCTTGGTGGTTTTGGGGCCCAAGTATCTGGACTAAAACTTTGAAGTGTTCATCATTTCTGTCATTCTTTCGGGAGTCTGTTGACAGCTGATGTGGCCTGGCTGTCACTAACAAAAAATAACTCAAAGCAGCCATTCATCTGCCTGTGGCTCCTGCCAGGGAAACAAGACGCTACCATTAAACGTGTCGCTGCTATCTCAGTGAAATGCAGACACTTGTGGAATGAAGATAAGTGGCCCGTGGGCGGATTGAAGAGAAATGTACTGTTTACCCAATCACTGGAATTCAAGGTTGCCCTTATGATCACATGATGTTATCGTTTGTCATTCCTCTTTGTGATTAAGTCAAAAGAGGACAAGTTGGAAGATTAAATTACAGAAGCAGACGTCTTAAAGCAGCCCTGCTTCTGATGTGTTACCATAGCTGATGGTGGGTTCGTGTCTGGCATAGAGACCGGATGGCAAACCCAGAGATAACCCATCTATAAAGATATTTTACACACTAGAAATGTTATTAAAATCTACTTCTATATTACTCCGACATTATTCACACCCACTGGTATTCCTTCATACGTCTGTTTAGATATAGGAGAAAGCCTCAACAGCTTTTCATTAGTTGTGCAGAGCAGAATAAATCCTGACAGACGTTATATTCACCTCGTGCAGCTTGTGTGATCTGACAGCAGATTAAACCTGACCTGCTGAAGTGTTAAAAAAAGTACATTCACACTGACCAAGACAATCTATTTTCTGCTTTTTTCTTTAAATTGAAGGCAATTCACACCTTCTCCATTGTACGCAGACACTCCAGTTTTTGTATAAAAAGTATGTATTCCTCAATTCAATTGTCCAATGTTTCAATCTTATATTCCTACAGTGCTTTTAGACTCAGTTTATGAGTGGCGCTCAAATATAAATCTGGCTTTGTTCACCGTGTTGTCCTATCAAAATCAGTAAATGGTTCATAGGATGTTAACACAGTAGACACATTGTTAGCCAGCAACCCCTCTAAAGGAGAGAAAAGGTAAAGCTGTCCTTGGTACTCTGAATCACCTTCACTGAAAAGAAGTGTGCCTTTTAGAAAGAGTGACTAACTGACTAATACTTTAACATACAGGCTGGAGAAATAAGCTGCAGAGTTTTGTTGGATAAAACATGTTCTATACACCCCGGGCCCATAGTCATGCAGATAAACCTGTAGGATGTGTATAAACTGTGTGTGTGTGTGTGTGTTTGTAATTGTGTGTGGATGTAATTCCCAGTTGTTTTTGGAACGCGATAAAAGGAAACATAAGTGCTAAAACAAATCGGGGCAGAGTGTGTCTCAGAAGCAGCAGTGATTTCACACTTATCTGTTGGCAGACGCAGAGAACAGGCTGCCCTTAACTCCCCCACAACTACTGTTGGTACACCCAGAAGGGTCTGTTCGTTATTATTCTTTATTTCAACAATGTATCATTCACAACAGCAGACTGTTTTTCTGGCATTTCTTTTTAAATGAATGATGGCATAAGAAAATTTTTTAATAAATCACATTATTATTTTTTTCAATTCCCTATATCAGAAAATGTACACGGTATGATAATCCTCAACTTTATTATACAGAAACTGGCATGTCGCAATAGCGCTATTATAACCTTAGTTGACTTTGTGCTGATTTCCCTCTGTTTAAAGTTAGGGATAGTTTCATGACTGTGTCAGCAAAGCAGTGAAATCACAACATGAAAATGGACTCACATGTTTCATTCTGTGTGCTTTATATAATATATGATGCTATCTTACTGTATGCTTCCTCTCTGCTGCCATGACGCAGATCTTTCTAAGAAATCCGAGGTAGATGCAACAAGAATAAAAAACATTTTGATTGGATTTGCTGCAAAAGAAAGCATCTGCTCTGGATGGAGATTATGATGTGTTTGAGTACATTTCTGAGGATTCTTCAGTTATAAGTGCTGGAACCATTTCTAAAGTTCAAGTATTTCCTAGAGCTGCATTATGCATTACCCATTCAGCCCAGAAAAGACCTAAAGAACTGTTGAGTTTATTGGGAAAATTAAGAAGGAAAGAGAATTGTGTGATGGTTTTAACGTTTGTATATTCTATTTTCCAGCGAGGTCATATTCAAACGCCTCTCTTTTGTGCCTTGGCTCCTTTTCCTTCATGTGTCCACCTGTGGGTTCTTCACTTATCACCTACACCCACACACAGTCCACAAGACACTCAGATAATGCATCTAGTGCACCACACACACACACACACACACACACACACACACACACACACACACACACACACACACACACACACACAAAAATACACACATTGCCTAGGCGAATGGAGAGTAACTCAATAACGTCGAGTCTCAGGACAATGCAGAGAGGCGTAGGTCGAGGGCGGAAAAGAGGAGACATTAGAGGAAGAGAATGAGATGTGAGAGAATGTGAAGGGGAGTATAAAATATGAGATAGAGGCAGAGCAGAAACAAAAGGAAAACGAGGAAACTGATAGGAAGATCCACAGAAGATGGATAACAGAATTCTTTCATTATAGAAAAGTAAATTCCTTTTTCTTTCTATATTGTGGGTAGTTTCTGCTTCTTCCTGTGGCAGACCTTGTTGTAATGATGTGTGATCGATGCACAAAGGAGATCTCTGCCACAGTAAGGACAGTAATGATACAAGGAAGATTCATGATGTTTTTTTTATATGATGCTGCTGGCAAACAATACAGCAATGAAGCTTTGCTTTGCTTACTGTCCTTGTTCTTTTCCTGTCTTGCCAATTCCTCTCACACTTTCTCAAAATGTCTTACTTCATTAGGTTTTGGCTATATTTTCAAATAATGCAATCATTCTGCTCACCATGCTAAATCAAGTGTTGCGAGAAAATTAGTCCAGATTAGCTGATCTCAAATCTGTTATGACACCTCTAATAAAGCGTAGGCATGTGAAGGTCAGATGCAATATTCAAGTTAAATTGAACTAATTGATCAGCCTCAAGTTAAGAGCTGTAGCCCTGTGGACACTCCTGAGGTAAAACATATGTGAGATATAATGGTGATGTTTAACACAACAGAGTCGGCCAGCTAACCAATCAGAGCAGACCATGCTCTGGTTTCAGACAGAGGGTGAAAAGAGGTGCTACAGCACAGGCAGTATGAGAAAAATGAAGAGCTTTTTGAACATGAAAGCATGGAGCCATGTCCCAGTAGAGACACTACATACTAATATGACCTGAATACAAGCAAAATATGAGCTTATTTTAGAATTCTAACCAAAAACACAAAAAATCAGCCGAGAGAGCCCAGAAGTGTTTAATGCCAACTAATTTCTCAGGTTTGGCACTCTTTCATCGAAGGTACCCTTTCAAAGATATTAGAAAGAAGCCTGATAGTAGATAGTTTTCTACTTTTTATAGCTGTAAAATAAATATAAATAAAACTTTTTATTTTGTGATGTACTGTATTTTTTATGTACTGAAGTAGCTCCTGTTCCCTTCACTCTTGGCTGTGAAGGCACCAGAGAAGACACTCCGCCTGCAGCATTTAAAAAAAAATGTGAAGTAACTGCTAGCTTGTAATCCCAGATTTACCAGCACTGATAAGGAGCAGCCTCTCGGGTATTAACTGCTATCTTCACATTTAACACAGTCAGTTTGTGCTTACTGAAGAAATGCCAGTGTCTTTTGACTCCCAACAACTGATGAACATTTATTTTACAGACTTAAATATTGCAGAAGTATAACTTTTATTCATAAATATCTGTGTTTCAGACAGGGAAACCCCCTGTGGAGAATCTGTTCTCAGACCTGTGTGATGGAAGACGCCTGCTGGAGCTGCTGGAGGGGCTGTCAGGACATGAGCTGGTATAATACACACACACACACACACACACACACACACACACACACACACACACACACACACACACACACACACACACACACACACACACACACACACACACACACACACAGGAAAATACTGTAGAATCAGGAACGTATCCACCCACATAGAAACAAACATGTTGTCACTAATTTAGTAGTCCAAAAGTAGGGGTTTGATAAGAGAGTCATGTAGATTCTGATTATTTTTTGGCACATTGCTAAAAATAAACCTGGCCTGTATTGATGGTTCAAATGTGTCCCTCCTTATGCACAAACAGCATTTACATTCACAGTAGCAGATTAAAACGATAGCATACAAAATTATCATATTGAAAAACAGTGGGAAAGTACTCTCTACTGTATGTGTTTTGAATTGTGTTTGTAAGCCCTCTTTACAAATAGTTGTTATTTTTTACACGCTGTACAATTGATTGACAACTGAAAGAACCAAAAAGAGACAAAGATTCCTCTGGGCAACCGATGAATAAGAATATAAGAAATCAGCAGTCATTGATAAACAAAAAACTTGAAGCTTAGAAAAATGTTAGAAGATTTATGAGGGAAAATGCTTCTTGTTTCAGTGTCAACTACACAACAATGCCACTAACCTGCTTGAATTAATAATAATAGGTTATTATAGGGTTAGCACTATTACATCTGTATCTGAACAAACTCTGGACCGACACATCGCAGTTCAAACCTCTTTAATCTAACAAAGTGTACTGCAGAGGCCTGAAGAAAAACCCAATATTAGGATCCATTTGTGCTTTAATAATGATTTAGGGTCACTTGTGCTTTTCTGGACTTCCAAGAGTATTTCTCCCTGTCAAGCAACACTGTAGGGAAATCGACTAAATGACATTTTGAATCATTTCATTCTTTTTCCTTTTGGGCCAAAAATCAAATTTAAGAAATGCATTTAGTGTCTGAATTAACTGTTTTCAAATCTGTTTAAATTTCCCCATGGCATCACCAGATACAGCACTTTCCAATTTTGCACAAATCAGTACTTTTTGAAACATTGAAAAGAAATCGGGCCAATATGTTGCCAAGACATGCTCACTATCTGTACTTGTATCCCGAGAGGTATACTGCTGTAGTTTCCAGGAGATATGGAAAGATTGCAGAGTATGACACATTTTGTATTACACATTGATAACTCTGCTGATTATACAGGTTTAAATCCACGTCAGAGAACACTTCACCCAGTATGTTAATTGCACTCCTTATTAGTAACAAAATAAATGGTATTTTTCCACCTGACTGACCTGGTAGATTATAACTGTTATGATGTTAAACTTCATATATATATTGGGAGGGATGAAACCCTCTTTAATGGTCACATATGCAGAGCACACACAGTGAAATGTGTTCTCTGCTTTTAACCCATCCTAGTACCAGGAGTCTAGTAATAGGAGCTAGGAGTAGTAGGAGCATAATGCCTCCCATCCCACCTCTCTGAACCAAAATCATCACTGGTAAATAAATGCCAAATGTCAAGATTAACATACTAATCTGCTTCTTAGAAGGAAACAGACACACAGCAGCGCGGCCCACTGTGGTAATCAAACTTCTACTCCCACCTTGTTTTAATTTCCCCCTCCAGCTCTCTTCACTTCCTGCGCCTTGTCTGTTTGCTGGAATCCCTCCCTCCTCTCTTCTTCAATCTCCTCTCATTGTCTTTATGCCTTCTTGTTATTCTCACTTATTTTGTCTCACTCTACCCCACTTCTATCTCAGGGAAAGATGTTATCATCCTTGTCCTTTGTTTGATACCATCTCCTATTGTAATGGCAAACAGACACATTAAAACACACACTTTTATTGTAATGTGGTTGTTTGTAGCACATGTGGATGCCCCTGAGCAAGGTCTCTTTATGCCTCAATAACCTCCACTGTCTGGTCTGTGTGTGTGTGTGTTTTTGTGTGTAGGTGAGGTTGGAGAGAGGATTCTCGCGCGTTCACTCGCTCAACAATGTTAACCGTGCTCTGCAGATCTTGCAGAAGAACAATGTGAGTACATGTATTGATTGACGTATATATATTTCTCTTCATCGCTGTGTGAGTTCATTATAAAAGGCTATGGATTTGACTGCATTAATAAAGCCTAGATATAAATCAGTGGTTGGATTCAGACAGTGAAATGCTTAAATTGCAAGGCCTTTCATGTTTCTCTCTATCCTCTCCAACTTGCCACATACCTTTACACCTGTGTCCTCCAGGATGCATTTATGTTCCTGTCTAAGAAAAACACCCCTTCTTACTCTCTTTCTTATTGTATATTTTCCCCTTACCACCACTAATCTTTTGCCATTATGTTGCCTTGCCTTGATTTCCCTTCTAATGTATAATTGTCTATCTTTATAAGAATATATTAATTAAGTGAAGATAGCTAAAATGTGTGTTACCACGCCATGCATTTAAAAAAATAGCAAAGACAGATTGGTTATACATTTTTATTGCATAAGGTCATAGTCTAAGTGGTCATTAGAGGATGAAATTAATGAGATTTTTTTTATACATAGGCCTACTAGAAATATTTTATTACACTAAATTCCTTATTTTATGATTTATTTATTTGTGAAATAATGGTATGGCTTCTAAAATGTTAAATAAAAAAATAAAAAACCCCTTTGTTGAAGTGACTAAGCTCCATTCAGTGTTCTATGTAGAGCTACAAAGCATGTTATTTACAATGATACGGTCGCCCATTCAGCACTCATTTTTGGTAAGTGTGTAAGAAATGGTATTCAATTCACAAAGAGGTAAGCATGGTTTGTGTCAGCTGAAACGACTGCTGCTAACAAAACTGTATGTTTTAACTGAGTGTTAACTATCTTAAACAAACAATAATGTTGTTTATAATACTTTGAGGAATTAGCGTGTGTTAGCTACACGTTAGCACCATAGATTGTATATATAAATATATAAAATATATAAATTACGTTTGTTGGCTCTTACGCAAGCTAAAAACGTTAGCACGCAGGTCTAGCTAGCTTAATTGGTAGTAATCTAGTTACTTTCTAGCAAGCTAGTTAGCCATGCGGTGCTAACGTTTTTAGCTTGCGTAAGAGCCAACAAACGTAATTTATTCCTTGAACTTTTGCTCTTGTATTTTTGCTCAAGGAAAAATACACACCATGCTTCAGTTCAGAGTGTTTGTATGCCAAGTTCTGCTAAAACAGGCCATGCTTGAATATCTTATTCACAGTTGGAAAAATACTAAAGTGGAGCAATTTGCTAAGCTATAATTAGACTAAGCTAGGTGGAAGGGTTTATCAATTTGTTCATTTGCTCTCAACTCATGTTGTAAATTGTTTAATTTTAAGGGGTCACTATAGCTTAAAATGTCGAGAATTGAAGTGACTAAATGTCGAATTAACCAATCTGTTAATCTCTCCCCAGGTTGAATTGGTGAATATCGGAGCGGCAGACATCGTTGATGGGAATCACAAACTGATTCTCGGGCTCATCTGGAGCATCATTGTCCACTGGCAGGTGTGTGTTTGCATGCATGTCATGTGTATTTATTTGCTGAGTGTGTGTAAGAATATGTTAGCATGCTGCTCCCTGGAGAGATTTAGAGACAAAAAGAGTTTGCACATTTTGGTAAAATGTCAATATTTCTGCAGAGGCAGACCATTTTGCTTCGTTACCTTGACTTCAATGAGTTTTACTCCAACTGCAATGAGTCAAAAACAAAACAGAAAATAAAGCTTTGCAATTTCCCTGACCTCCAAATTGTGTTCATATACATTTGACTTTGTAATTACAAAAATGAAAAAATCAATGGAACCTATTTAGTGGTCCACACAAAATTTTAAAGTGTACACAAACAAGCTTCAATGAGTATTACTTCTTCAGAGCTTTTATTAGAAAGTATCACTCTAACAACAGTTGGAAATGTCTTTTTCTTTATGATGCAAAACATACCTTTTTTCTTATTGATTTACTATAGATATCTGTTTATTTAAATAATAAGCTAAGATGGTTATATACCTAAGGTAATACATTAGGTTTCAAATTATGTTTATTCTTTATATTTTATATAATTTATTGCCAGAATGCTTTTAGTATTTGGCAGAAGAAACAATTAGTTTGCATTCTTATGCTCACCTTCTACCATATGATTAAAATGCACTTTTCTTTGCAATCATATTTGTTTGTATTTCTTAACAAAACAAGGAGGGTATTCTGAGGTCAGGTATTCAACATCATAACTTTGTAGAAAAGTACATCCATCAGCCACATTTATGTGTGACCAAAAACAGTACAGGGCGCTCAGAAGTTTCCTTTAATCTTTTCTTTTTATATAATAGAGCTTTCATCTTTCTGCCAATGCATTAAACAACAAAATAGCTGTTGGCTCATTCTCCCCTTAAGCTGTATTTAAAGTTCATAATCTTTTTTGGACTCTGTTTAAAACCATCTTCATGTAAAGGCTGTAGTTTCACTGCTCATATTACAATACATTTTAATTGTATTTCATTCCTCATTAAGTTGAAGAGAGGCTAATGTCTCAATCACGCTAGTTTTGGCATAGACTTAATGACGCGATTAATAGCAAAACACAATTCTATAATGAGCTGTGAGTGAGAATGTTTGTGTATAGCATGTGTGTGTGTCTGTGTATGTAATGTGTTTGTGTACATTTGCCTGTTGAAGGCTGCTATGCCCTGGAGGTTATCATCGTCTTGTGTGTGGGCACGTATGCCAGTCTGAGTGTGGGTGTGGGTGTGTGTGGTGTGTGTGTGTGTGTGTGTGTGTGTGTGTGGTGTGTGTGTGTGTGTGTGTGTGTGTGTGTGTGTGTGTGTGTGTGTGTGTGTGTGTGTGTGTGTGTGTGTGTGTGTGTGTGTGTGTGTGTGTGTGTGTGTGTGTGTGTGTGTGTGTGTGTGTGTGTGTGTGTGTGTGTGTGTGTGTGTGTGTGTCTTGCCAAAGCGCTCATCCAATTAAGTGGAAATGCATGCAGTGACCTCTCCCAAATGGGTCCCTTTTTTTTTTTACCCGGCACTCCACATTCTTTGAGGAATTGCTAACAAACCTGTGTGTGTCCTCTTTCTGGGAATTCACCTCAACACCGAATTACATCAACATCTATTACCTCTATGAGGCTTGGTGTGTGTATGTGTGTGTGTGCGTGCGTGTGTGTGTGTGTGTTTCTCTTCCTAACTCTATTACTTGACATATCTCAGTTCAACTGTGTGTGTGTGTGTGTGCACGTGCGCGTGTGTGTGTCTGTGGTAGTTTCTCCGCTGTTTTGTTGACCCTGTTTGAACCGATTTTTTGTATAATTCTTTCTTTCAGTCATATGTCCAGCCCTTGCTCTGAGCTCTGCTAACTGTGTGTGTGTGTGTGTGTGTGTGTGTGTGTGTGTGTGTGTGTGTGTGTGTGTGTGTGTGTGTGTGTGTGTGTGTGTGTGTGTGTGTGTGTGTGTGTGTGTGTGTGTGTGTGTGATGTGTGTGTGTGTTGTGTGTGTGTGTGTGTGTGTGTGTGTTGTGTGTGTGTGTGTGTGTGTGTGTGTGGTGTGTGTGTGGTGTGTGTGGTGTGTGTGTGTGTGTGTGTGTGTGTGTGTGTGTGTGTGTGTGTGTGTGTGTGTGTGTGTGTGTGGTGTGTGTGTGTGTGTGTGTGTGTGTGTGTGTGTTGTGTGTGTGTGTGTGTGTGTGTGTGTGTTGTGTGTGTGGCAACCACGAGGGCAGTGCGCCAACGCAAGGGAGTTGAGTGGTATCGTGGGGGGAGAAAAAGAGCAGTAGTGGAAACAAACATGGGCAGTGAAAAGTATAACGTCTCGCTCCCTCACCCCCCCCCCTGAGCCTTGAACAAGTGCTCCAAAACTGTCAATCATAGCTGCCAAAAATCCAGCCTGTGAGGATGCAACCACACACAGACTTGTGCGTGGATATGTGTGTACACAAATGTCCTTTAGACTGTGAGCGCTCTAACTGAGTTCCGTGTGTGTGTGGGAATATGCAAATGATCTACTGACAGGCCACGTCAAAACTTTGCTAGAAAGCAGCAGGTATTTAAAAAATGGCAATTTTATGATAATGTCACATCGCCAGGCATCATATTAGCATGGATCATAATCTGTTGTTGTGACTATGAGGAGAGTTTTTAAAATGTGGTGCGTGTCTGAGTTTATGAGTGTGAGAAAGAGTGGTTATGGGTGTGTTTGGTGGGAACTGCCAACAGTAACCAACTACTAACTGTGCATGTCTGTTCTCTCTAGATATTGTGGTTCTACAGGATCTTTGTTTGTGTATGTTGCTGCCTTACTATCCCACTCCAACTGACCGCACATCCTTTTTGTCTGTGCTTTATAGTGGGAATGTTTAAGATTTAAGATTTGTATTTGCAACAACACAGGGTCTACATCACAGTCAAATCAAAGTTATAATTAACAATGCACTTTAGTACACTTAGTGAAGAAATAAATGTTCATTTTTAACACCAGCCCTGCTCTGTCTGTGTGTCCAGGTAAAGGATGTGATGAAGGATGTGATGGCGGGCCTACAGCAGACCAACAGTGAGAAGATTCTGCTGAGTTGGGTTCGTCAGCACACGCGCCAGTACCCTCAGGTCTGTTTCCTCTCACTCAGTCTTATCCCCAATCCACAGGGTGTCTCACTGTTGTCTCACTGACTCTTCTGCAGCAGTCTCTCATGCATTTCAGGAAACTATAGTCCTGTGACGCCAGCAAAAAATAGTCCTCTGAATAATAGACCATGTAAATGTCAAGCAAAACTCTTTCTTCACCTAAAAGCAATGGCGACAAGTCTCATTAGTGCTCTACTACATACAATATTTTTGCCACAGTGAAATTGTTTCGATGGATTTATAAAAGCCCTGGTTTGACAGATGCACAGATAGATTAGTTCTGGTGTATAGATTAGTTCATGTACTTTTTTCTTTTAATGTTTAATTGACAGCACTGTAACTTTTATCCATGTATTTTTTCTTTTAATGTTTATTTTATTAGCTTTTCTTTTTAATGACTGATTTTAAATGCCATTTTCTTAATCTCTTTCATTTTTTGTAAAGCACTTTGAATTGCCTTGTGTTGAAAAGTGCTATATAAATAAACTTGCCTTGCCTTGCCTTGGTGATCCAGATCTGGGTTTAGTGCCATCAGATGATTATCATTGTATAGCCCTAAGTATGAAACTAAAAGACAGAGAGGCTTGTCCTAAAAATATGAATCCATTCAAATAAAAATTCCACGTGTAGGTTGTAGAAGTCTAGTGTCTAAACATTTTTTGTTTGAAGTGTTCTCTAATCTTATCTATTAAAACATCTGTATTTGATTTGACCTTCCCAAAACAAACAATACAGGAGCAAAAGAGGATTAAAGTCTGTGTCTCCAAAGTAAGCTTTTAATATATGAGCAAGTCCCGTTAACTATCTACAGAAAAAGCCTGAGGTTGCTGTTAAAGCCAAGGACAATATCATTATTATCATTACAAAGAATTCATTTCAGGACTAACAAATAAATAAAGAGAGGCCAACAAGCTACTATATCTGAGTTTAGGCTAAGAGTAGCTTCTCTGTCCGTTGAGGGATCAGCTAGTTCTAATTGTAAAAGCCTTTTCAAGTAACAACATGTATTTTAGTATAATATCATGTGTGTAGCAATCAAGTAAGACCTTTTTATACAATATGGTTATTAGGACACAATAAAAAGTCACCTAATTACAACCAAAAGTTAAATAAGCTAATGTTGGTTAGCTTTCATTACTAAAATCTTCTAGACATCCAAAAATGAATCAATGGGCGTTCTTATAAATAACTTATCTTTGCTTTTTTTGACTTTTCTTCTGAGTACATGCATGTGCAAGAGCTCAGAGTCACTTTGTATTACCGTTAGCTACAGTACTCTGTAACCCAATGTATTATAGCTCAGACTTGTCATTTTAGAAGAAAATGTCTCTGCGATGTAATATCTACCTATGAAAATGGAACCAGCATTGGGGCGACAGCGTTTCGACAGTGGGTGTCATACTGCATTCACAGGTTGGCCCTTTAATAACCATTATCTCTGTCCTCAGGTCAATGTGGTTAACTTCTCCAGCAGCTGGAATGATGGCTTGGCCTTCAATGCCCTCATCCACAGCCACAGGTACTGCATACTGTGTGTGTGTGTGTGTCTGTGTGTCTGTGTGTACATTGTGGTCTTGTTTTCATATTTTGTAGGCAGCCCGTTAGTACTGAATACTAAGAGAAACAGGATATGAAGGGAGAAAATGAAAAGACAACATTTGGTTAGTTAGTGCCAGCTAGCAATTAGTGACGCACTGCTACAGGAAGCCAACTCCAAGAATGTCATGCTCTTTGTTTAAACCTAATCAGTTGAGAAAGCTTTATATTTCAGCCAGTGAGAATATATATACTTTATATCTAGCAAAGATATCTGCTGCAGTAAATGCGTAAAGAATGAAGAAATAGATGCAGCAGTAATTGGATAATAGATGAAAGCCGGATGAATCGATGGAAGAATGGTTTAGCACAGGTGAAACGGTGTTGATATATTTCTCTGGACGCCCCTGAGAGTCTGGGTCTGAGGCCTGGACTCGTGTCATAATGAATTAAATCATGGCTAGCCAGCATGAGCATCTGTTCGCTGTGTCCTTACAGGAATACAGAGTGCGAGATCGCACACTCCAAAGCCATCACCCTGCAGATCATCCGCTCCGTGCCAACAGCATTCTGTTTACGGATAGTTGATTTCACAGAGCAATGTTTAAATCAAACAGCTTTGAATTATTATGGTCTACTTTCACTATTTGTCTGTAGAGTGTGTACGGCTCAAACCACTGACTGCCTGGTAGATGAATATATTGTTGCTGACTTAAAGTAGTTCCAAAAATACAAATGACTGCATCAGCTCAAGTAAGATCACTACAGTGTTTCAGTTTGAAGACTATACACTCAAGATATGTATTTGTTAAATTCGATGTCAGTTTTTACTTTGAATTACGCCTTTTATCTCCTTTAAGTTAACATATGCTAAAGAATGTAAGTGTAACTGAGAAAGCATCTACCAGGTAATTGAAGACGCTAAATAGTTGGATTTTCCTCTTTATTTAGATGGATTTATTTAGTGGGCACATGATCCCTGTTAACTTCCCTTTTACCTCCACAGACCCGAGCTTTTTGATTGGGCCTCAGTGGAGAAGAAGACGTCTGCGATCGACAGACTGGAACACGCCTTTAATAAGGCAGAACAACACATGGGGATAGACAGACTGCTGGACCCTGAGGGTAACTCACACACACACACACACACACACACACACACACACACACACACACACACACACACACACACACACACACACCCCAATAATTCTAGCAGAGAATTTTCAAGGTGAGCTTCAGCGCTCATCGTATTTCACGCCTTCCAATCATGCACCTTAATTGGCCCAGTTAAACACGATGTGGCATGCTGTGATTGGGTGTTGTCGTGGTGATAACTGTTCACCTTGGTGGAAGGACTTCATAAACTTACTGATAGTTTGGGAAAAAAGTGTCTTTAATTTTCAGCAACATGCTTCTAAATATAAACTACATGAACTGTGATTATATGGAAGATTTAATACGACTATAACATTTTTTTCTGAATCTCACTATGTGTATATTTTGGCATTTTGGAATCAACTGGGAATAAGAATTTTAGCAGTATCCCTCTGCACCCCCCCTCCTGTGAGTGCTGTGTTCAGGCTCTGAGCCAGAGAGATAGGCTATGTAATCCCTCACAGGCCGCTTAAGCCTTGAAATGACACATCTCGGAAGATGAATATACATTGATCTGACACAAAACAATTACTTGCTTTTGAGAAGTGGGGCAAACGTCTTTTTTGTTATGCTGTGAATCAGCGCTCAAAACACAATGAACCCCCCCCCCCCAACCTAAGCTTTTTTAACAGTTTCTCATGCTTTCTAAACTTGAAAATGACGCTTTACAAGTTGTGCTTTTCAGATATTCATGTCTGCTTTATAAAGAAGCTTTCTGGATTTGGGAAGTTGGACGCTTGTTTAATGTTTTGCAAACAACACATGCAAGGCGTCAAACCATGGTTCTTCGCTGTACATAAACCTTGTGTTCTTTTTCTTCAGTCTGTTCTTTCTCTGAAATCTCTTATTAGAAATGTTTAGAAGAGGGATTTTCAGGAGAGCTCCACATTCACAAAAGCGCTGAAGCCAAAACACATTTACAAACGTCCATATCTCAATCATAATGCAATCACCCGCCGACATCACAATCCTTATTTGATACCCTATACTGTGCATTCAGTGGAGTTGGAACACTGAGCGCTGCAATTTGAGGGATCAGAAGAGGTCTGACCATTTGCATTTCTATATTTTAGATACAATTTGGCATGTCCATGTGTATTTTTCTCCCTGGCTTCTCCATGAAATGAATTTATTTGTCTTTGCTTTGTTTCTCCAAAGCCTTTGTTTGCTTTTTTAGCCTGCGATCAAAGCTGACATCCAATGTCTCAAACTTCTTTTTGAGACTATGTTCTTCACATAGTCACAACACATCAGCAAACTGTGGAATATCGTTTAGACATGTTTCTACTGAGCTGCTTTTAATATAGTTGTCAGATATATCCCGGTCATAGGTCGAACATCACCGTGGAAACCAGATATTTTCTAAGGAACCATTTGATTAACTATTTGTAATCTAAACTAATGGCATTTCCACAGTGCATGTTTACAAAGACAGATGTAATCACTGCAGGACACACACACACACACACACACACACACACACACACACACACACACACACACACACACACACACACACACACACACACACACACACACACACACACACACACACACACACACACACACACACAGAGACATCTGCAGAGCCTCATAGGTATGCACACACATGGATTCTTGGCGAAATGATTAAAATGGAGATGATGGAATAGAGAAACAGATTGGACCAAACAAGTGAGGGATGTTCACACACTCACACACACTCAGACACACACTTGCAGATGGTGGCATTATTTACGGGGCTGTTTGTCTTCCTCAGACGAACAATAACATCCTTAGATTTCCCTGTGATGCTGATAAATCAGAAATATGACTCCAGCTTTATCTATCTCTCCTCTGACGTACATATGTATCTATGCCCAGATGCCGTTACTTTGCTATTTCTCTCTTCTATGTCTTTGTTTCTTTTCATCATCCTCTCTGCGCTCATTATTCTCGTGAACTTGCTCTGTTAGAAAAACCCACCACTATGAGTTCATTAGCTCTGCCTTCTTTTCTTCCCCTTCTGCTCCCTTGTTCACCCTCTTCCTCCCATCCTCTCTTTTTACCTCATGGTGTTCATTTATCCGCTGTCTCCCGGCCGCGCCGTGATCCGTCTCTGTTAGTTCTGCCCCGGGCCGAGCTGCCAGGCCACAGACTCCCGAGTACTTTTCCTGAAATCATCACTCTGTTATATCTCTCCTCCAACCCGTTGGAAAACTTTCTCCGACTTAATTTTGCTCTAAGACACACAGTGAAATCTCGTTTAAGTGGCCTTTGCATACTTAGGTTCATTTTAAACCTCATTGAAAAGACTTCAAGTGCAACAAGAATTTTTCCAGTTATTTTTCTTGATGAATCTACTTTTTATCAAGAATAATATGTCAGAAAATACAAAAAATATATCCCTTTTTTTCGGAAAACACCTTTACATTTTGTGTTTCGTCTGACCAAGTGTACAAACCCCTAACATATATTTTTTACTAGCACATAAGACTTAAAAGAAACGGCAAATGTCAACATAGAAACAACACGGGGGGGCATTAAAAAAGACAGTTAAGAGTTGATCCTTAAGTTTTGAAAATAACTTTATTTCTCTTTCTCCCCGCTCTTCAGATGTGGCTGTGCCTCACCCGGACAAGAAGAGTGTCCTCATGTACGTGACGTCGCTCTTCCAGGTGCTCCCCCAAATCATTTCCATGGAATCCATTAAGGAGGTGGAGACGTTGCCACGGGCGACCGCATCCGGCGCTGCCCGGATGACGACGGAGGAGCACTACCAGATCCAGACCCAGCAGCGCTTCTCCCAGCAGGTCAGACACACACACACACACACACACACACACACACACACACACACACACACACACACACACACACACACACACACACACACACACACACACACACACACACACACACACACACACACACACACACACTGACAATGGTCACGTGACACTGTTATGGCTCATCAGCAATGCAATACTTTATCACATTAGGTAAAGAATCATCTTTAGCCTCTAGGAAAGTAAAGGAAGGAAGGGACCTAGACACCTTTAAAGAAGCATGGCATCCTGTTTCCTAACTCACGTGCCATCCACGTGCCATAGTGACAGTGGCATCTTCACTCCAATGACTCTTGTCTTTGTGCTGTGATGATGCCATGATTCATTTCCCATGAGCCTTTGCTCTGCATGCATTGCATCTGTGCTCAGCGCCACTTGCTTTGAGAGCTTCACATTTACATTTCATTGCTTTGTTATTGTGTCAGCGCCCACACTAGGTAATAACACTCAAGTACACTCTATAGTATTGCATATTAAACCACTAAATGACTGCGGTTGTTTGTACACTGCATATTATCAGCTCCAGGACCGGATTATCTCACCCTGTTGTGAAATCAGTTTGAACTCCTTCTAAGCATCAACACAATCATCCTGCCAACCTTTATCGGGATGAGTAGGTGGGCTTGTGAAATTGCCAGCAGGAATGTACTATTGGAGGGATAGTAAAGGGATGAGAATGTCTTTGGTCTTAAACCATCGTTAAATAGTGGTGACACCGAGAACAGAATTAATCAAAAACAGAAACCCGTGATTTTCGAGAATGAATTTTAAAGCAGCATTACTGTGGAGCGCTTCCTTTTCACAAAAGCAGTGAAATAAAAACATTGGAAGGAGGTTTGAAACTCCCTCTCTCCCTGAAGTTCTGTGAAATAAAATAAAGATGCTAATCAGCTGCCACACAGGTTCACAAGCATACTTAGTTTGCATTCTACTTTTGAATGATAAATTGGATAATGAACAGTTGGAGGGCATCTTCACTTCTCAGCGGTACCACACACTGAGAGCGTGGAGGAGCATGATAATCACAAACATTTTCATCATGATTAAGAAGAGAAAAGGTTGCACATTTACAGTAAATACTGTGATTATATCAGCAGACTAAAAAATAAAAAAGCCACAAGAAAATAACCTTTGAGCTTTTTTGCCACGTTTTTGATGGAAAACACTATTTTTATTTTTGTGTGGGCGTATTTTGAAAGATATATGATTTTATATTTGCCAAAATCTACGGCATTTTTTAAAAGCTCTGGGGCCTCATTTATAACGCCGTGCGTAGGATTCACGTGGGAAGGTTGCTTACGTAGTAGAAATCCAAAAAATAGGTACAGAAATGTTCCGACAAGTGCGTACAGCACTTTCCTCGCCGGTTTCCCTTTATAAATCACAATCGACTCGAAATGCGGTGCAGCTTTTGCGGGCTTTACGTAACGCCCATATTTGCCTATAAATAGTGACTGACTTTATGAAGAAGAGCAGAAATGACGACAGAACAGTTAAAAAAGACATCTCACACCGTGTCAGATTCTGGTTATTTTGGGGAGGTGGAGATAAATCATATTGTTTGGTGGATGCAGTTTGAACAGAGTAGCAGCATGGAGGTCGGATCGTCACCAACATAAATAAATAAGTGGTCCGAAAAAGGTTCATGACAAAAACAATAGACATAGCCTTCCTCAGGCAGTGTGTTTGTACCGGGGACAGGAGACACCCCCTTGATGAGAAACTGTAAGAAGTGATCGGGGAATCCCTCCGGAGTGTAGTCATGACGACTGGATCTGAATGATTTTTTTTGTAATTATTTTGGTGGTTTGTGTTCCAGCTTTCGATCAGCAACTCTATATCCACCAGTTAAAGGAAATACAACTAATGTGTTGCGTTATATTAGCTGTACATATTAGCTTCCATACCTCCTTCGTTTTACGAGCGACTTATCAAGTCTTAGCAAACGGCATAAAACACGATTAAACGTGATAGTATATAAAACCATGCTCGTATCTACAACCTATAGAAATGCAAAACAGCGTCAGTTTAGACGTAATTCTGTCCTCCTGCTTACCGCATCATTTATGAGAAAACATTTCATAACATTAACACAACATATTCAAGGTGGTTTTAAATAACATATCCGTATTTATTTATTTCTCCAAGTTATGTTTTTGTGTGCACTCAGGAGTCTCAAACAGGTGTTTGTTTAATTATTTTAAGATTGGCTTTAATCAATGTTTGAAAATGAATTCTTCATATATGATAAATGAGGTAACATTTTATTTATGATATTATTTCCACATATTTCTCTCCATTCTTCCTTCTGCCAACGGTGTCGCAGTTTCTCGTCTCTCCCGTTGTTGTGCTTAGTGCGTACGCATGGGTTAGAGTTTGCGTGGTGGACCGCACGTTTTCCCGTCAAGTTAGTATTTTATAAATCGCAAACATTGCGTAGAAACTGGCGTACGCCATTTTTTGAGCGTATATCCCTTTATAAATGAGGCCCCTGATCTTTTTGCTGCTGAAGGCTGATAAAGCTAAATCAATTATAAGCTCTTTATAGTGAAAATATCATATAGTTTACCTAATAGTAATAAGATTGCATTTTCTGACCTGAAAAGTCTCTCAGTAAAATGATTAAATAGGCCCTATAGGACCTTTTTTTAACATTAAAGCATGTCACAGTAGGGGCACAGCACACCAATATGACTCATGAAAATGAGCATAATATGTCTTTTTTTTAAATAACTGTCAATCTTGCTCACACAAAGCAGTTACTGTTACAATTACCCAATTCAATAAATGAATATATAAATAATTCCACATCTATATAATCACCATCCACCATCACATGATCAGGTTCGAGTCTCAGAGCAGGGAGGCAAGCAGATGTTCTTTTCCTGGATAACTTAGCCAGGCATGCTGGGAGTTGTAGTCACCTTTTCAGTGAGGAGTAGAGAAATCTCACTTTTGCAGTGATTCTATCTGTGAGCTTCAGAGTGAGAATTGACTGCTAAATTGAGACAGGGACTCCGAAAGAAAGTGCTGTAAAAGCCTGACAGAGCCACAAATGAGATCTACCGGCGCTGACCTTTAGAGCCGAGTTAAGAAGAGGTCAGTGTGGCGCCGAATCGCAGCAGGATGGAGCGAGCTTCCTGGACTAATGGCTGCTAATATCATTATCTCACTTAGTTTAATGGCCACATCAAGCCTTTCCTCAGAGTGGAGAGAAAATACTTTCCCTTCTGGGAACCAGACAGACTGGCGCATGTTGAGAAGAAAAGATAAGAGGGCAAAGAGGAAGTAGGGAGATGTATAAAGATGTACAGTAAGATGGAGGGGGGGAATGAAGAGTGAGATGGAGCAGACAAATAGGGAGTGCAGGAGCAAGTCGGATGGCAATAAAACAAGAGAAGGAGTCAGGAAGAAAAGAGTTACTGACAGCGGCTATTATCTGCCTCCTCCCTCATCTGTCATCATCAAAGCGGCGCTGTCAACACCTCCATACATCAACACCTCCATACATCAACACCACCCTACCCCCACCTGGGACTCAGGGATGATAGTTCATGGAAATGAAAGTAAGGAAATAAAGTAGCCAAAGTTTTTGCTGGAAACTACATAAAGTCAGCTTTTCTGTGACATTTTCCCCGCGCAGTTAAACCCCGCCCGCCTGGTGCTCGGAGCGGGTGAAAACAAACACCCTGCAAGGGAGCGTTTGATCCAGGGCCGGGTCGCCTCTGGCTGTCTGCTCTTTACAGAAAGAAAAACGCCTAATCCACTTTGAAATGGAGTGAAGGGGAAACAGTGAGGGGCGAAACAGAAAGGAAGACAGACAGATAGATGATGACAGGTGAAGAAGAGAAGAAGAAGAAAAGGAGATTCAGGGGATAGAGGTGAAAGGAGAGATTGATAGCTGGGGAGAAAGCTCCGAGACAGCAAGAGATTACACTTTTATGGTGTCTGTGGTGGAACGGTTGACTCGGTTTTAGCGATGCAGCAGATCACCCGGCTGTCAAAGGAAAGGCAGCTTGGAAATGTCAATCAAGAGGGAGAATCTGTCATCAATTAGGAGTTATTTGTCCCTTCAAAATAAGAGCTTATTTCAGTGTACCCCCCTAATGAGAACTTGTGAAATCAAAAGTCAGTTGCTGCCAGCCAGCGACCGATAGATGGTGGTGAATTGCTGACTGCAGCCATTCAGAGCGGCTGCTCGTTTGGGATAAATGGAGCAGAGTGAGTGTAGAGCCACACAGGCCAGTGATCTCTTTCCCTGGAGAGGAAACCAAGTGTTAAACTGATGACTTCTACACATCAGCAGGCAGAAAGAGAGTGTGTGTGGTTGGCTTGTTGAATAGGTGCTGCTCACAACATCTGCTTTGACTCTGCGCTGCTGTCTGTCAGTCATTGTGCACATCTGCATTAACACATCTGTTCTCTCTCTGTCTACTTCTGCCCTCTCTCATGTCAGCATAAACGGTACCCGGGTTTCCATCCAAGACACTTTTGAAGATTCTAGTTGGAAAACGATGTGCTTAATAAGATTAGGTGCCTTTGAATACATATTAAAACTATATCATAAGCACCAGAAAGTGTTAACTTGATTTTCTGCATTTTATTTTTCTACCAATCTTCTCAAAGCCTCAAAATGTTATGTATTCAATACAAAATGCTACTTTCCCATTAATGCATCATTAACAATAATCCAATGTAGCATTTGAAGAATAGGATAACTGCTTTGTAACAGGAAGTAGCAATTCCAAGATAATATAAAATGCTAAATATGTCTGACGTTTGCTAACATCAGCGCTAGACACAGTCTGTGCAGTATTTCATCTCCAGGTAACATCCATAACGTTTGCTGAAGTGCGAGTAATAACTGCTACCCAATATCAGTTTTGGAGACTTTCCATTTTCTTGTAAATGTGTTTCTTGACACTCTGCTTAGGGCTGCTCGATTATGGCAAAAATCATAATCTCGATTATTTGGGTCAATAATTGATATCACGATTATTAAAAACGATTATCCATTTACTTTGAAAACATCAATTTATTGAAAAAAAAAAAGTGAACATTATGTTTTTAACAGTTGCTTACCCTGAACTTTAAGTAGAACTCAACTGAAAAACCAATACAAAAAATAATAATTATAATAATAAACAAATAATCGTTTTATTTCGATTACGTTGTTTTCGTAATCGTTGCAAGCCAAAATCGTAATTGCGATTAAAATACGATGAATTGAGCAGCTCTAACTCTGCTGATGGAAAAACACGTTTCATTTTTACATTCAAAAGTTCACGTAAAATTAGCTTGACATTTGGATGGAAACGGAGGTTATGTGTATTCATGTTACTTTTTTCTGCTCCTTCTCTTTCTCATCTGTCCTCATCCTCATTTCCCATCATCACTCGCTCCTTGTCCCTTCTTCCCGCCTGCTGCATCTCTTCCTCTTCATTTTAATTTGGCGTTCGGATCCTTTTCGCTCGATGTTTTGCATTCTTTCGACTCTCTTTTCTGGTCTCTCTTGCCAACTCTCCCTCCCTCCCTCCTGCTCTGTCTCTCCATCTCTCTCTCAGATCACAGTGAGTGTGGCTCAGGGCCGAGTGCAGAGTCCCTCCTCTCAGCCTCGCTATAAAAGCTATGCCTACACCCAGGCTGCATATGTCAAGTCGCCCGAGCAAAAGAGGAGGCGTTGTACTGATCAGGTCCGTGTCCTGCAGCTCTAACACTCCACGCCACACGTCCATCCATCTGTCTGTGCACGATCCGGCTGCCACTGTTTGTCTGCGTCATTCACTAAAAATGTCCATCTTAGCAAGTCTATGGTTTTATATATATATAGGCAATTGTATTTTTAAAGGTGGTTTTGCCAAATAAAAACACTTTAAAAGTACTTTCAAATATTCCTAGTCTAAATTTGTAAATACCTGACTTAGTTTGAAAAGATGAAATACTGTCAAAATATGAATTTACTTCAAATATCTAAGTATGTACATGAAACCATGGGACTTGTTAAGTTGGACTATTTGATGCTTAGGCAATAATTCATGGTTGAAATGTTTTGCGTGTGATATGTTAGTGTTTATTATATAAGTAATTCTAACTAAGGTTTTTTAACAACCCTTTTTTCCCCAATCGAGCAATATTAGGAATCATAATTCGGCAAACTTTACCTGTTTATAATAAGATACAAATATCGATATTGACTATGAGGCTACAACCTGGAAAGAGTGTAAACCTTATAAAACTGAAGGTCCTCTGTATATCACTCCCTTTGAAAACACAAATCAACACAACATGACATTTCGAAATGTTCCCATGCCTTATCACAAAATGGGGCTCATTATTCGCTGGAATGTGTTCAGAGACTGTCAGATATTTACTGTAACAGCAGGGGGCTCAATTTGTCTAGTAAGCTTTATTGAAGCACACCCGCTGTTCTTTTTAAAGTGGAATGTAAAGCAGAACACGGCATATAAAACCCCCATCTTATCTCCACAATGTTGCTTACATGTTGAGATAAGAGAAACCGATTATCTAGTTTTCTCTGTCAAACACGTTTTTGAGGACAATTTAGTACCTGCTAGTAGAATATTTAAAAAAGACCATGTTTAAGAGTGTCAGGGACATGAATATCAAGCTTTTATTTTAACATTTGATTCCTTTACAGTCTGTACAGTCATTTCTGAGTCTCAATACAAAACAAGTGACGAAGGCTGGACAGTTATCAGCCTTGTGTATCTGTTCAGGAGCAGAGAGAAGAATAGAGGGAGAGGAGGAGCATGGAGCCCAGATAAAAAGTTGTTAGTGTCCAGATCAGCACACAAAGACAGATAGGGGGAAGAGAGATAGAAAGAGGACAAGTTGTTGAGGTTGGAGCGAGGCCAGAACTGCTTGTCAGCGACGGTAATGGCTTACACTAACAGGCCTCTCCTCGTCTCTCTCTATCTTCTCTGTACTGCGTGTTTTCCCCCCGAACCCTTTTTCCTAACATTTCCTCTACTTCTCAACCCTTTTTTCCCATCTTACCCCCAAACCCAACACTTATTTCCCTCTCCACAATCATCTCTGTCCGTCACCTCCCATCCGCCCCTCCCCTCTCTAGTTCCTGAGTCCGGGTCACGAGGAGCTGCAGCGGGGCCTCAGTCCTCTGCCTCCAGGCTCCACCAGCCTGGAGAGCTACCAGGCCGCACTGGAGGAGGTATGGTGGTCATCAAGACCTTTTTCATATCTTATATTTCATGTATTCTTCTGTTTTATGCTTTTATATTTCTGATAGTCAATAGATCCAAAGTACTGTGTGTATCAAAGCCTCATATATCGGCTCAGAGCTCAGTTATTTTGGTCCATAAAGCGTTAAAAATACATCAACATGCCACACTTTTGCTCTGGCTGATGTATAACTTTATAACCGTGATAAACACTGTAGTTTTATTTGAAGTCAATCTCACATTCGCCATCTTGCCGCTGAAAAAGGTCCCCAAAGAATGACCTATTTCCTCCTGTTTAAGAACAACTACAGTTACCAGCTGTTACTGAGCTCTTTTTGTATGTATTCAAATGTTTCCATCATCAATAGCAACCACTTAGCTTAGTAGACAAACAGAATATCTCACACTCTTATACTTCGAGTGTGATATGTTATTTTGAATCTGAAGGTGTTGACCTGGCTGCTGTCGGCTGAAGACGGGCTCCAGGGCCAGCCTCCCATCTCCGACAATGTGGAGGAGGTGAAGGAGCAGTTCCACACGCACGAGGTGAGAGCCAGAGCCGTGCAGTCTGCTGTAACTGGTGATACTATCAGAACAGCTTTTTCAACTGGTAACAACAATTCAGAGTACTTTGCACTTAACAGAAAAGCACCTCATTACAAATAAGGTATTTAGTGTTCTTAAAGGAGTGGTGTTAAGATTAAGTGATATCCAACGGGTAATGTACATGTCTATATTCCCGTAAAAAGAAATGATGTGAATTGATTATTTTTCCTAACAGCATCAGTTTGATACTAGAAAGATGTGCTCCGCAGGGTACACACATGAATGATACTACAGCCAGATGTTCATTGCATGAGATGTTAAATATTTTACATCATGGTTTCTGACAGTGTTAACAGAGCAGCAGTAATGTGCCCCCGTTGTTGGCTAAAAACTAAAAAATGCTCAGAGAAAAAGAGGAACAAGTCTACAAATACTGGTTGTTCCATTAAGAGTAAAACATCTCCTGATTTTGGATTGATCTGTAATTTTTTTAATGTCTCTCCTCCTACAGAGCTGCAGCTGTTTTAAAGCTATCTGAGAGTGTTGAATTAACTCTAATAGATGTGGACTTGGCCGACTCGCTTACCACTTTTATGCTTTCAAAATGAAATGAACCCTGACCATTTTGCTGTGTGAGGATCATATAGGAGTTAAGTACTCAGAGGAAATAGAGTTAGCTCTGAGTTGAGAGGATGAAATGTATTTTGAAAGCAGTTAAAGTGAATGAGGGTAATTCAGTGGGATTAGTGACGTGAAGTGCTCCTAATTATGCAAAATGAGAGGAACCGGTGTGAGTGTGGGATGTCCTCTCTGTCTCCAGGGCTACATGGTGGAGCTGACCACCCATCAAGGCAGCGTGGGGCGGGTCCTCCGGGCCGGCGCCGCCCTGCTGGGGGAGAGGAACCTGAGTGAAGACGAGGACTCGGAAGTCAGGGAGCAGATGAACCTCCTGAACGCCCGGTGGGAACACCTGAGAGTGGCAAGCATGGAGAGACAGACCAGGTACACACACTTGAAGGAATGACACCATAACAAGTGCCGGGTTGTATTCAAACCCAGGTCCTTTGCAGCTGGAACGGATCCCCAGTACTGCAAGAACTTTGTTCATCGTGTCTCAGTTTATAATTGTACAATCCTAGGGCTTATGGCCAAATACCATCAAATAAAGACATACTTTTCATATTCTAAATTGTGTTTTAAAGTGCTTTGAGTGGTTGCTAAGTCCAGAAAACCACCATATGTAAAGCAATCCATTAACATGAAGTCAAATAAGCAAGTGAAAGTACCAAAGAATGCATATTTGAATACATAACAACGACATTGAAACAGATTGAAAGTGTTGAGGGGTGTGAAAGAATGCAAAGCCTAATGAAAAATGATACCCGGAGACACATTCATATGGTTTCAAAGGATTTATTTATTGCTTTGAATAAAGTTTCTTCTCTTCTCACACAATGAAGAGGAACACAGTAGCCGGCATTGTTGGATACAAAGGCCTTTCTAATTATGGTGCATTCAATGATAACTGACATAGCCAAATTTAATTAACTGCTCAGCTATCTGCTTTGATAATCTTGTTGATTCACAAAGCCGTGCAGACATGGACTGGACTACCAAACAGCACTTAGACAAAACAGCAGGGGGTCAGTATAAGAACAGGAGAGGTAGCTCTTATCATGTCTACCAATTAAATCAGCTGCTTGAGGCATCAGAGTCTTTAACCACACCTTTATCTGACCTTGTGGCCTCCTCATGAGCTGGACTCTTTCTGATGAGCACTGACGCCCACCATATCAACGTTTGATTGACAGCTCATCGAACTGTCTCTCACCCCCCAGACTCCACGAAGTGCTGATGGGCCTACAGCACCAGCAGCTGCAGCAGCTCACCGACTGGCTGGATGTGACGGAGGCGCGGATTAAAAGGATGGGGGCCCAACCGATGGGTCCTGACCTGGAGGACGTCAAGCACCAAGTGGAAGAGCACAAGGTGGGTGGCTGCCGTCGAATAGTAACACAAATCTGGTCCCGTGTCTTTCTGAACCACTTTTACTGAACCTCAGTGAAAAACGTCATGGAGTTAATGAAAGATGTGCTTTATGAGAACAACAGGAAAGCCTATACTTCAGCAACCGAGCCCATTCATGTGTCATATTCCTGCAGATTATGAGACAACGATGCATAAAATCCCCCTTATTGTACAGTATACCAGCCCCCCCTCCTTCTGCTGGTCTTTTACTCATATTATGCAAAATGTAAAATAAATCTTACTGCTGCTGGTAGAAATGAATTCACACGTACTTCAGATTTGTATTATGTTTAAGAAGAGTGGCAGTTCTTATCCTTTCTAAAACATCTTTGTTTCCGTGACGACTGGGACTGAAAGTTACTAAATGGAGCTTTTGTTGTTCTGCAGTGTGTTTAATAGTAAGTGGATTTTGAAGTTGTAAAGACCTCCAACAACTGTAAAGCATCAAAAAAGTCGACCATGACTGCATTTCAGGTTATGCTTTTGTTTTCTGCCACTTTTAAACATAGGGTGTTAGAGCCACAATGAAGTCAACGTTATTATTTAGCTTCATAATTTGATAAATGAATTAATGATGGAAAAGGATTTATATTGCCATGGTGAATATCTTTTGATGAAATTATTGTTTATTTTAAATCGTAAATATGATCTGTTTCTTTGTACCTTCCGGTGTTTATTTAAGTGAGGTAATTGAGGACAGCCGCGGTGCTCTGAGACCTGACGAGACGGGGAGCGGAACAGTTTTTCGACCGCAAATTGTAATGATTAGTGTTGCAAATTGGACTGCAAAGCATAGTTTATATAGGAAAGTATATCGCCGAAATATTGATTTAGATTTGTTATTTTGAGACTATTTAAGTCAATACTTTTTTGTTAATAAATTACATTTTTTGACTGAAAACCTTCGGCTGCTTATTGCTTTGGATTGCGTGTCGTCAACCCCGCTCTAGTGGCAAAAGGAAACCTTGGATACCATTACATAGGGGTATTGGCCTCTGAAACAAAACTGCTGTACAACTTTACCCCAAGAGTGAGGACTGACACCGGCCTCCCCGACATCCACTTAGAAATCATAGGTCTGCAACAGAAACAAAAATCAGCAGACCAGGGTTTTGTTTATTTTTGTGTGTCCTACTTCTTTTATGTTGTTTTCGTAACCAATTCCCCTGCTGCACACTGGAATCTCATTCCGACTGGGAGTGCAGAATCATCTGGAGAAAATGGGAGCTCTCAGAGAAGATTTGGAAATTGAATCCTGTTACCAGCAGTGGAGGCTTTACACAATATGAAAAATGCCACTTTAAGATTTGTTGTTGGGATTTGCTCTATTTTGTTGCAAGGTTTTGGTATCACTATGTGTACAGATTGAATAATGTAAAATATAGAAAGGTGACTCTTACTGGAAGCCTTGAATGTTTACAGCATGTGAAGCTTCCTGAACACAACACAACAGTACAGTGTTCCTGACTAAACAATCGCTCAATTATAATAAGAAATCTTCCTTTTTGAATAAAAATAAACACAACAAATAATACTTTTTTTAAAGAAATGTTGTGTGTGTGATGCTGAAAATGCAATTAGAATAGGTAAAGACGTTAAAGTGGCAATTTAATTTGAAATAAATTAAATTGGCAGTTAAAGTTTTTTTTGGTTTTGATGGAAGTGTCGATTTAATTGTGAACTTTTCAGAAGTAAAGCCATCAATTTAAATAAGTGCAGAGAGAAGAAATGATAGGTTAGGTTGAAGCATTGACATTTGTCTTGAGGACTCAGTTAAACATCTAATTTAAATGAGTGAAAGGAGTTAGAATGCGGTTAATGTGAACGTATTTTAAAAAGCTGAAGTTAAGGCATAGATTGGAACATTCTGTGCACTAGACAACAATATAAAACTTTAAAACTCCTAAAAAAAACAACTTCAAACAAGATAATTTAAAAAGTTTGACGTCAAACTCTCACATGTCAAAAATGACCAGAAGATTTTAAAATGTTATTGATAACAGTTTTAAAAATCTGCCCCAAAAAGAGAAGCTTATATCCAAAGTGAACTACAACTGTTCTGTTTGCCTGTGTCTGTGTTCGAGTAATCCAATTGAATCCTTGCTCTGTGGTCTCTTCGATCTTACAGTAAAGCAACATTGTTTAGCTCTCCTGCCATTAACCCTCTTTCACATGGTGTGTGTTCCTGTTGCAGCTGCTGCAGGAGGACCTGGAGCTGGAGCAGGTGAGGGTGAACTCTCTGACCCACATGGTGGTGGTGGTGGACGAGACCAGCGGAGACAGCGCCACGGCGGCTTTGGAGAGCAAACTCCAGGTAACCACACACACACATTGTCTCCTAGAGTAACATCTGTGTTCACATCGCACACACTTTGCTGATCACACACAGCGTCGAGGAAACTTTGTGGTAAAAGAAATACCTTAGGGCTAATTCCATTTCATTTTATAAAATATTTCTCTCTCTCCTGATTGAAGCCGGCTCAGCACTTACCGGTTGTTGTTTCTGGGGGGAAATAGATTGAACAGGAGATAGTTTTGTCTTTGCTCTAGCGCAGTAATTAGACCTTGCCGGCGAGATGTGCTTTATGTGAGCGCGTTGCAGCTTTCTGCTGATTTTGTTTACTCCATAAGTTATCATCAGCCAGACTCTGCTGCCTGTTTGTGTGGCTAGTTTCTCTTAGCGCCTGATGCATGGGCCTTCGTTCCCCTCGTTAACTCCTGTTCCCTGCAAAAATAAAGCTTAACATCTATTAAAACTGCAGCCGCTGATTTCCACTGCTTTCTAAGCACTTTGCGATGAAGCACCCTGACATTGTTACTGCCACGGCTAAAGGATGTAGGTGCTGATTAGCAGTAGAGCAACATCTGAAGCTCTTCATGAAATGCTGCAGTGCTGCGACCTCTGACCTTGTGTGTGACAGAAAAGGTCCTTTATGCTCTTGGCTCAGTAAAAACGGTTGCACTAAGAGTTTAGTGTTGTAAGTTTGAAGTAGAGCTGGTTGTGTAAGCTGCTGTAAGGCTTGATGGTTTACATGTAGTTATTTATAAGAAATGAGGCTCGGGTGCTTTTTAATAATGTAGTTATGGGACGTTACGTAAGCACAGATGGATGGAGAGTCATTAGCCTCCTCTGTCTTAGTGCTCTTTGACGGCGATGTCGAATGGCATCCTGTTGAACAAATAAGGGACGTTTTGAACCGTGATGTGGGGCTGCAACACTGGAAAATAGGAAGTGAATGCGGGGAGAAAAGGAGACGTCAAGGTGGGTTAGTCTTGGGAAGTTCAATGTGTTATCTTTGAGGAAGGTGGTTAGAGAAAGAAGTCACTAGTAGAGGAACAAATCCCAAAAACAATGCAGCACACAGTGTGCTAGTTGTTCTGTTTGCAAAGTATAATCAAACTTAACATTATTATGAGAAACCTAATGCAACTCTGTGTTGGGCTTTCTAAAGTGTCTGTTTCCTGCAGTGCGGTTTATTCCTAAGTACAAGATAAGAGCGTGAAATAGCTGAGGGAACAGCGTGTGTCGGAATGTAAAAATGCAAATGGAGGTGCCTTCCCTGCTGCCGTTGAACTGTCACTTGATTAATTACAGGCCATTCATCTTAAGATTAACCTGCTGAGCCTCTCTCTTGTCTTACACTTTTCTGCATCTCATTGTCTTTTTATTTCCTCCCCTCTCTCTCCGCCTCCGTCGTCTCTGTCACTCTGATGACTCTGTTCAGTGGTCACACTGTGGCTTTCGTCTGTGAGAGTTAAATGGAACGGAAGAGTGTCTCTCCCATTTTACTCAGCTAACAGCCAGCTGCCAATATGCTGATACAATGGATTCAGGAAAAATATAGTTGTACATCTCGCAGGCTCTCTGTGTGTGTCAGTGGGTTGGAGGGTTGAATCCCTGTCTCCTTCAAGATACTAATCCTCACATTTCGCATAGCAACTCCTCAGCCATTGCTCTGTGTGTGTTTGAATGAATGAATAAGAGCATTAAATATTCAGTCCAGTTTGATTAAACCATTCCATTTTAGTGCAGCAGCGCAGGTTCAAATACAATGAAAGTGATCTAATGTGAATCATGTTTCAAAAATGATAATTCCCTCTAATATCATGAATCATATCGCAATTGCAATATCACTCCAAATAATCACAAATCGTTATGTATCCAAATCCTGCCGCACTATTCCAGATCATCATTATACTTTCTTTGTTCTGCCACTGGACGCAATACACTTGTATATAATAAGAAAACAAATATATGTTGTCTTCGTCGTCAGTGTATTTCATGCCCTTCAACAATCATGATCAGCTGCGAGGAAGAAGAGAATGGAGCTGCATGTTTGGCAGCTTAAAATGGAACTGGCAAGTGAAGATGTGGATCCATCAGCCTCCGAGGCAACATGATGGGAATGTTTCAGTCCCTCGAGGGAAATATTTCCAAATGATTTTGTGTACTAATGTAACATTCCATTGATGATCGTGTGCGTGTGTGTGTGTGTGTGTGTGTGTGTGTGTGTGTGCAGGTGCTAGGTGACCGCTGGGCCTCCATTTGCAGATGGACAGAAGAACGCTGGATCCTGCTTCAGGAGATTCTACTGAAATGGCAGCACTTCACTAATGAACAGGTATGAGTGTGTGTGAGGAAATATCACAGCAGTGTTTTCTGCATGTATAATGAGGTTAGATCATCCAGATTGGTCTACTTCCATATTTGGCAGTCTTTATGCAGAAATATTAAGCTAAAACAGACTTCATATTCAGAAGAAGAAGATGGACCTTTATTAATCCCCCGAGGGGGAAATTCAGTTTCCACTCTGTCGTACACACACATGCGTTTTTATACAGGTCATACACACTTTTTACAACATGCACATACATATACAAATACACACACAGTTATATGCACACATGCAGTTGAGAGGTGAGAGCGGAGGCAGCCAGTCTAGCCGGCGCCAGTGAGTAGTTGGGGGTTAGGTGCCTTGCTCAAGGGCACTTCGGTAGTGGCCCAGGAGGTGAACTGGCCCTTCTCCAGTACCACTCCACACCTTTGTTGGTCCGATCGGGACGTGAACCGGCAACCCTTCGGTCCAAAATGCAATCCCCTACAGACTGACCCACTCCCGCCCCCAAGGGAAGGATAGTCTCAAACAGTTTGGGAATTTACACAAAACAAAGCTTTTTGAAGATGAAGTTAGTTTTCAGACGATTTGACAAACCACCGTGGATTTGTGATATTCCATTTGTTATCTTTGGCATATTTTGCATTTGAATTGGACATCAATACCATGGGGTCAGCCCTCTTGAACTTCATTGACACTTGCTTTTCACAAGCTTAATAGTTCTTTTGATATGAGTTCTGCATGAATTGTGAGCAAATGTAAATATGCAGATAATCATCGGGGCCTTGGAGGCTTCATTCATTATAGCTGCTGCTGCTTCTATTTGACTTGCTTGCAGGAAAAGGCAGTGAGTTGATCTTGCAACTTGCTGGTGGAGAATGTTGTTATACTGTATCGATTGCGTTTAAACCATCATTGATGTGATCACAATGCAAGCCAGATGAGGTGTGGCTGACCCAGTTACATCGCTTTCACACTGCAGTATTGTACTCATCCAGATCCTTACACATGCATGTCAAAACTAAATTAAAACTTCCATCCTGTCCTTTGATAAGAATTGTGAATTAGCTGCTGTTTTTGATTACTTTCACGTCATCATATTTTCTCTCTGCTTTATTCGCCTTTTTATATTTTTAGCCACAGCATACGTTGTGAAGGAAATTGAAAGTGTCTTGATATCCGACTTGCTCATATTCTGTTATTAATAATGGAGGGAGCTAAAATAAAAACATTGGATTATACAAGATAAGCTGATCAGTTTGAATTAAACACAAAACTGGTCATACTGTAGGCATTATTTGTGGTTGCTGGATTTATTTTATTTTTTTATTTTATGTACTGCTTTGATAACAGCGCTACTTATACAGGAATCAAATACACATGTCTTTATCAATATATCTTTAACGGATGCATTTCAGATATTTTTGTATTTTTCATCTTTTGTCCTCTCCTTCTTCCTCTCTTCTCCTCTCAGTCTTTGTTTGACTCCTGGCTGACTCAGAAGGAGGAGCATGTTCGATCTATCAAGACCACCAACCTGAAGGACCAGGCGGAGATGACTGCCTGCATCCGCCGCCTCGCTGTGAGTCTCCCTGTACCAAAACCACTAACACTTTCACGTAGCTGTACAAACACCAGGAAAGCTTAAACCCCACCCTGTGTTTGTGTATGTCCCACCAGACGGTGAAGGCAGAACTGGAGGTGAAGCGTCCCACCATGGACAAGCTGTGCTCCATGAGTCAGGATCTGCTGTCCAGCGTCAAGAACAAAGAGGTGGCCAGCAAACTGGAGGCCCGACTGGACAGCTTCGCCCAGCGCTGGGACCGCCTGATCCAGAGTCTGGAGATGAGCAGCTCCCAGGTACACTACCATTAGAACATCTATAGAGCAGATTTTATATTCGGATGACAGCATTGCAAACGTGTCCTATACAGCTGAATGTCATGACTTCGTAGCTGAAAGAAAGAAACACTGCTGTGAGCGAACAGAGCACGGCTAGCTGCAGGTGTTTGGCCTCAGGGAAAGAGAGGAGTGATGGGACTGGAGGAGAGGGGTCACTGAACATCTAGAGGTTTATATTACACGCCAGGGGAGCATACTGAGGAGGGTAGGCCCAAATTAGGACTGACACTTGTGTGTAATCCTTTTGCACCTGCCTTCGCTTTCCTGAGCAGTTCCAGGGATGAGGGATCAAACAGCACTGCCATACAATTATCACTCCTCATAATCACTCTTCACTCTTCTCAGTTTCCGTGCTTTAAAACTGACATGCTCCCTGACAGTGATAGGATAAAGACAAAGTGCTTCTGTTGTGTGAATTGCTGATAAAGATGCTGCATTTATTCTCAGGGCCCTCTGGAGTGCCTACACTTGAATAATATGATAACTCCTATAACATGTGATATGTGCTGAAGTGGCTCTTACACCATCCCTTTATTCCGTCTTGGTCTCCTTCTAAATTACTTATCCATTATAATCAGTCTGATAATTAGCAGACTGACCTCTACGTGCCGTCTCTAACCACTTCAGCTGCGCACATGCACGTTTCCATGGTGACAAGGCTATCCTAGGAGTTGCACCCGATGCTTAACTGTCATCAGACTCTTCCCCGAGTGTAGGTGAACAAAACCTACACACACACACACACACACACACACACACACACACACACACCACACACACACACACACACACACACACACACACACACACACACACACACACACACACACACACACACACACACACACACACACAACTGGTCGCAAGAATGCAGCCAACAAGGCTCACAATCAGCACAAGCACACGCACCCAACAATTTGTCTGATTTCTCCCTCCTCTGTTTGTGCAGTTACAATCTGTCACACAATTCCCGAGTCGCTACTTAACCCTCTTGCCGCTGTCTAAATACATACACTCACACACACATCCATACAAACACACACAACTGTAGCTGTTGAGTTTCCACAGACATACGGTCATATGTATTTCTGATTGATTTTTGACTCCTTAAGAAAACTGCATTGGAGAGAGTTTGTGAGTGTGTGAGTGTGTGAGTGAGTGTGTGTGTGTGTGTGTGTGTGTGTGTGTGATTGTGAGTAAGTGATTGAGTAAATAAGGTAGTGATTTAGTCTGTCTGTTTTTGTGTGTGTTAGTGTGTGTTTGAGAGTGATTGAGTGTGTGTGTGCGCTTGCATGTGTGTGTGTGTGTGTGTGTGTGTGTTACATGGGGTTTTGGGATGTGTTTAGTTTGGACAGATCTTTGTTAACTGATATTCAGGGTTCGTACGGTCATTAAAAACCTGGAAAAGTCATGGAAATTCAAAATGCAAATTCCAGGCCCTGGAAAAGTTATGTAAAACAATATTTTTGGAAAAGTCATGGACATTTAACTAAAGTTACATCAAATATAATTTATATTTTATCTAATCGCCGAAATAGTAATAATACTATACTTTATCCCTTTTGGCGAAATGTGCCGTTTTGAATCCAAAATAGGTAGTTTGTGTGATTCGTGTAGATCTGCATTAAAAATATTGTGGGGGTCTGGGACCCGGAGTAATCTGCGGCCGCGAGCTGTTATGTGCCATCATGACGCATGGTGTTATATTTTAATATATTATAATGAAGCACGAGCTGTATGCTCGAATCTTCCTGTCTGTCGGCTGAACTCTGCTGCTCCGCGATGAGGGTCTAACTTCAGCAGCTACATAAAATGTAGTTAAAGTAGCGACAATAAAAGTAGTCATTATGCAGATTGGTCCATTTCAGAATAATATATATGTTTTATAATGATTGATCATGAAAGTGTTCTCAAAGCTGGTGAAGGTGCAGCTAGTTTGAATGACTTTGTATTCTGCAGGGTAGCTGGTGAATTTACTCCAGGTGGAACTAAAGTCTGATTTAAGACTTGATTATATTTCACATCATTCATCCACATCTGTGAAGTAACTAAAAGTATTCATTACCATTTATCTCTGAATTGTAGAGGAGTAGAAGTACAAAGTAGCAAAACATTGAAATACTTAAGTAAAGTACAAGTATCTCAAAATTGTACCCAATTGTACTTGAGTTTATGAACTTATGAATAATGATAATAAATACTGTATCGTATAGTAATGAAACGTAGAATGGCATTTAACTGTCGAGGTATTTTGCTGCTGAGAGATGTTTACAATCACGCCCTCTAGTCTACAGTTGCTTTAGCCAGAAGCTAGTAAGCCTACTATTTGATTTGTTTTAGATAGGCACAACATGTTTCATATGCAGACCTTATTTTCCTGTTCCATGTTAAAATTAACAATTTTCAGTGGTACCGCTGAGAAAGAGTAATTATTTTGGTCATGGAAAATGAGGTAAAGGTCAGGGAGATGTCATGGAAAAGTCATTGAAAATCATTGGTGAAAAAGTGTATGAACCCTGGATATTGTATCTGTCGCTGTGTCTAAAAGTTTATTTTTTAAATGATTTTGTGCGCAGCTGTCGACTGTTGTCAGCGTGGTCCAGCAGTCGGAGCTGACCCACTCTGTTGCCACGACCGTTACCAAGGTGACAACAAGGGAGAAGATGTCAGCTGTGCGCCAGACTCGTGAGTCACCGCCACCACAGAAGAAGAGACAAGTTGTGGTGGATTCTGAACTTAGGAAAAGGTGAGGAGGTCATCTTTGAATTATTATTATCAGTACCACACCATATAAAGCTTCTTTCCTAACTTGTGGTAAATGTTCAGTTTCATGCACCCCTTTCTGCTGTCTTATCTCAGCTGGTAGGTGATGAAATACTGCACAAACTGATAATGATGATATGTGATAGTGATACAATTGAAGTAAACCTTTGATAGCAGTAAAGTAGGAGATGGAAATCCTCTTACGACGTGTAGAGAGACCTTAGAGGAGGAATGCAGTGGTGGAGAGTACATTAACTAAGTACTGTGCTTTAATACAGCAACTTTAAACGTCTTCTGAACAACATTAATAAACCTGATGATGTGATAGTGATGCTATCAGGGTTACAATTAAGTACCCACAGTACTCTCCGAAGTGAAGGAGGTGAATACTTCTCCACCACTGCTGTTATGCTATTTTAAAGTGATTACATAGATGACTTTAAAATGATGTGTTCTAGGAAATGTCAAGTACCCACATTAGAATACAATTCCCTTTTCAATTAAACAATATCATACTGTTTGTATCATGTGTCTATTATTGTTTTCAATATTGTTCATATAATAATTATGATTATTATACCAAAAGTGTTGAGTGTATAATTACATATACAGGTGCATCTCAATAAATTAGAATATCGTGGAGAAGTTAATTTATTTCATTAATTCAATTCAAAAAGTGAAACTCGTATATTATATGGATTCATTACACAAAGAGAAATATTTCAAGGCTTTATTTGTTTTCATCTTGATGATTACGGCTTACAGCTAATGAAAACCCCCAAATCAGTATCTCAGAAAACTAGAATATTACATAAGACCAATAAAAAAAAAGGATTTTTAATACAGAAATGTCGGCCTTCTGAAAAGTATGTTCATGTGTTTGCACTCAGTACTTGGTTGGGCCTCCTTTTGCATGAATGACTGCATCAATGCGGCGTGGCATGGAGGCGATCAGCCTGTGGCTCTGCTGAGGTGTGATGGAAGCCCAGGTTGCTTTGATAGCGGCCTTCAGCTCGTCTGCATTGTTGGCTCTCGTGTCTCTCATCTTCCTCTTGACAATATACCCATAGATTCTCTATAGGGTTCAGGTCAGGCCAGTTTGCTGGCCAATCAAGCACAGTATCTCCATGGTCACTAAACCAGGTCTTAGTACTTTTGGCAGTGTGCGCAGGTGCCAAGTCCTGCTGGAAAATGAAATCAGCATCTCCATAAAGCTTGTCAGAAGAAGGAAGCATGAAGTGCCCTAAAATGTCCTGGTAGATGGCTGCGTTGATTTTGGACTTGAGAGAACACAGTAGACCAACACCAGCAGATGACATGGCTCCCCAAATCATCACTGACTGTGGAAACTTCACACTGGACTTCAAGCAACTTGGATTGTGTGCCTCTCCACTCTTCCTCCAGACTCTGGGGCCTTGATTTCCAAATGAAATGCAAAATGTACTTTCATCTGAAAAGAGGACTTTGGACCACTGAGCAATAGACCATGTCTTTTTCTCCTTAGCCCTTGTGAAGCTGCCCCACATGTTGTAATGGCCTTTGCTTGACAATCCTCTCAAGGCTGCGATTATCACTGTTGCTTGTGCACCTTTTCCTACCACGCTTTTTCCTTCCACTCAACTTTCTATGGATATGCTTGGATACAGCACTCTGTGAACAGCCAGCTTCTTTAGCAATGACCTTTTGAGGCTTACCCTCCTTGTGGAGGGTGTCAATGACTGTCTTCTGGACAACTGTCAAGTCAGCAGTCTTCCCCATGATTGTGAAGCCTACTCAACCAGACTGAGAGACCATTTAAAGGCTCAGGAAACCTTCGCAGGTGGTTTGAGTTCATTAGCTGATAAGAGTGTGACACCGGGAGTCTACAATATTGAACTTTTTCACAATATTCTAATTTTCTGAGATACTCGTTTTGGGGTTTTCATTAGCTGTAAGGCGTAATCATCAAGATTAAAACAAATAAAGGCTTGAAATAATGTGTGTAATGAATCCATATAATATACGAGTTTCACTTTTTAAAATTTTTCCACAATATTCTAATTTATTGAGATGCACCTGTATATATTTATATATATTTTTTATTTTATTTGTATTTGCAGTTTTCACTTCTAAATTATGTCAACTATTTTTTTTTGTTATGTTTTGTTGGTTTCATTAACTTGGAATGTAAAGGGCACAAAGCACAAACTGAAACTACTTGCTCATTTATTCAATATTTGTTCTTCTTGATGTAAATACATGTTAAAGATATATGTACTAAATGACCAAGTCCATGCCCGTGTGTGTGTCCTCAGGTTTGATGTGGACTTCACAGAGTTGCACAGCTACATGACCCGAGGAGAGGCCATCCTGCAGAGCCCCGAGTGCTCCGTGTCACGCAAAGACGGCAGCATCCAGGAGCTGTACGACAAAGTGCTGGTGAATACACGCCACTACCTTCATATTTAGCACACAGGCAATCGAGTATTATTGTTCTTCTCATCTAAATCTCAACATAAAATATTTGTCTTAACTACCCCTTTAAGTTTTTTTTTGTTTTTTTTTTCAGTCTTTATTTCGAACAGATTAAAAAATAACATAACTTGTTTGCAATATTGTTATTTTGCCACTAAAATGCAGCAAAAACCTACACATATCCGTTGTTGGCCCATGAAATGCTGAGGTTGTCCTAAATGTCAGAGCAGAATGAGGTCAGAGGTCGATGCTGCAGGAGCTCTCACTCTTTGGAAGAAATAGCCTGTTGAATTGGACATTGATTTTCTTCTTCTGTGTATTCAATAATAATTCTCCTGGTACCTGGTACTTTTTCTCTCGCTGCCTCTCCGTGTCTGTCTCCTGTCCTTTAACTTCCTATCTCTCTTTGCCACAGGCGATAGAGCGAGAGCGGCCGGAGAAGTTCCGGAAGCTTCAGGAAGCCACGCGCACGGCGCAGACCCTGGTCGAGCAGGGTAACTCTCCCACTCACACACACAAATTCCCATGCATGCACACACACACGCCCTGTCTGTCCCCATGGCAACGCCTCCACCTGTCCCACCCTCTCCCCTTGTCGCCATAGAAACGCTGATAGAGAGAGGAAGAGACAGAAAGAGAGGGATGCTTCTCTTCGTGTCCTCTCCTCTGTCCTTGTGTTATTGTTGGGGCTTCTGAAAGCAGAAACACTCCATTTATACTTTTCACTTTCACTGCCGTAAACACTGGACAGCGCTCAACTTACGTGTGTGTGTGTGTGTGTGTGTGTGTGTGTGTGTGTGTGTGTGTGTGTGTGTGTGTGTGTGTGTGTGTGTGTGTGTGTGTGTGTGTGTGTGTGTGTGTGTGTGTGTGTGTGTGTGTGTGTGTGTGTGTGTGTGTGTGTGTGTGTGGTGTGTGTGTGTGTGTGTGTGTGTGTGTGTGTGTGTGTGTGTGTGTGTGTGTGTGTGTGTGTGTGTGTGTGTGTGTGTGTGTGTGTGTGTGTGTGTGTGTGTGTGTGTGTGTGTGTGTGTGTGTGTGTGTGTGTGTGTGTGTGTGTGGCCAGCCAGCATCCACAAACGTTGTACAAGTAAATGGAAGCTAGTATAGGTAGGATTACTGGAAGGAGCAGCAATCTGGAGACCTGCGAGCCAGGTCCAATTATTATCCAGCTGATGGGCCTCAGTCTGCCCTTTGAGAGGCCGGATTGTGAATCCATCTTTGTACAACTTTAGGATTGATTTCCCACCTCCTGCAACGTCTTGGAGGTTTTCATTTTGCCGGGCATTGGACTTTTACACTTAAATTGGCCATTTACATCACACAAATGTTGCCAGTGAGTGTGAATGCACCATGAGAGAGTGTGAGTCCCGGTGTTCAGGGGCATAAAAACAGACTTTGTGAGCAGAATATTGATGGCTCGCCTCACCTCTCCTACAGATGACATTCACCAGGAGAGCGTGTGTTCATGTCTGTCCCCTACAGAGACACCAATCATAACCATGTGAACTGTGAAGCATGTATCACTGAGTATGTGTGTGATATGTCCCCCCCCCCCCCCCTCCAGAGGGAATGCGTGCTGATGACATTGCCCAGGCAGCGGAGCAGCTGAACCAGCGCTGGGTGGGGTTCTGTGCCCTGTTGGCAGACAAGCTGGCATGGCTGGCTTACCAGACAAAGGTACACACACACACACACACACACACACACACACACACACACACACACACACACACACACACACACACACTCATCATGTCCACTCACATGTCATCACGCACTTTGTTTCAATCAACTTCAGAAAGTGAGGAGAATCTGCACTCAAATGCTTTAAAGCATGCAGGTATTACAATGATAATCCAATTAGGTTTTTTTTTTTAAAGCTATATTATTTTGATCTCGCTTACATCATCAAATGTGTTTATATTTATGTGAAAAATAGTTGAGAAATAGTTTTAAAATGCCATTTGCAATTCATATTATCTTCAAAACACTGGTTTCTTAAGTTCTTCTGCTTTAATGAATACAACATTATACTGTGGACAGTCATTTGTCAGCTTTTTCTCAAATTGTAGACAGGAAGCACCAACAAGTGTCACTATTAGGGGTGTAACGGTTCACAGAAGTCACGGTTCGGTTCATACCTCGGTTTGGGGGTCACGGTTCGGTACGGGTTCGGTACAACAAGAAAAAGCCAAAAAAACTCCCAAATGCATAATTCCAGGTTTGTTGTTATTTATTTTTGAACAGTAGTGCAAGTTTCAGTTTAAAAATAAGGAACTCTGACATTTTGAATAATTAACTGTATTAAACAGTTAAAAACGGACCACAAACAGTACCACACACACTCAGATGGCCATATTATCTATAATGGCTGATGTCAAACAAAAAGGTTTCATCTAGCTGTAAAACTAAAAAGGATGTCTTGAAAATATGACATCATAAATAATAAGAAAGTGTTAAGAGCGCATAGTCGTTGAAAAACATATGCCAAAAGCTTCCGTTATTTATTTTGGTCTCTCGGCTCTCATGTCTATGGTCTTCTTAAAAACAGCGGGGATCAGCTGTTGAACTGCTGTTGTCTTTTGCCGGCTCCGGTGATTGGCAAATCTCGGTGATGCCTTCTGATATGATTTAGCATGTTTGGCGTGTCCATTAGCATACCGCACCGCTATCGAACAACGTCGACACACCGTCCTCGTCCGATCCACCACTCGCGCACTCCATCGTTGTTGTAGTCCACAGGGAACCCAAAATGTTCCCACACAGCTGATTTAAAAGAAGCAGGTGGGTTCTAGCTCCTGTGTGTTATCTGAAATCGCCATACTTTTCTTCTTCTTGTATTTTGTTCGTTTTGTTGTTGTTTCTTCTTGTTCTTCATGTGTTGTTTAAGGGCGGCTGGTAAAGCTTTTAGGCGCAATACCGCCCCCTGGATTATAAATAGTGTAGTGGATACTGCCCTGAATGACAGACTTTTTTCCCACTCGTAAAAAAAAAAGGCGTATTCGTCGTGTGGCGAACCGTGATGTCCGAACCGTGACGGTACGGGACGAATACGGATACTGTTACACCCCTAGTCACTATATAGCCATATTTTTCTTTCTCTATTTGAAGCATATGGTGCCCACAGTATTTCCTCTGAAGTTGTCCATAGGCAATGAATAGCAAAGATTTACTATGCATATAATTTAGACAACACAATTGCTACCCAGGCAGGCTACACAGCATGAATTTAAATGCGATGTGACTCACTCTCACATTATCGCGGGTGCGGAAAGAGTTTGCTCACTTTGACTTATGATGCAGCTCTACTGCAAAACAGATGTTGTGTGGGAGTTTACATGAGGCTTATTTCTCTTTTAGTTAACATGTTGCTGTGTGTGTGTCCTGCAGGTGCTGGCCTTCTACAGCCTGTTTGAGCAGTGTGAGCAGGCGGTGGAGACCAGTGAGAGCTGGCTCAAAGTGCAGGCGCCCCCAGCCTCTGAACCAGAACCTCTCAAAGTACAGCTGGACCGGTGCAGGGTGAGTGGAAGAAAGTGCTCTCAACCCAAATTGACTTCAAAATGACCCCTAAAATCTGTAATTAGCAAACAGATAAACATCACACACAATTTCCTTTTTTGTTTGTTTGGTTTTTCATTTTTTCTTCATACCATATCTTTACTTGGTTGGCAATGACAATCCTCCAACAGGCTCCTAGGATCCTCCAACAATGCAACATAAACATACCTAAGAAATAAGACGATGAAAATAGTGCAAGAAGAAACAGAAGTTGTTGGAATCTTTCTTCCAAGATTATGAGGAAACCCATCTGATATGTTATCCCTCTGAATACTACGAGAACTTAGCTGAAGCTAGCCTGGCTCCTCAAAAATGGCAGATTAATGAACCATAATCGTGTAGTAAATGTAAATGTGCTGGACACTTTTTTAAACTTTAGACTGAGACGGGCTTGCTGTTTTCCCTCGCTTCTAGTTGTTATGCTAGGCTAAGCTAATTGTTCTCATGGCTCTACCTTTGTACGGATTTCAGGATTGACTGTGGTATCGATTTCCCAGCTAACTGAGGCCTCCCCAAGGGACCACGGTTAGAGGGGGGGATGCAGAGGGGCAAATTTGTGTCATGTCAAAAAACTCATTTTTTTAAGATATAGAAATGAACCAATAACTTGCCTGGGAATGACAAGGCTTTACGTTTTCTTCAGAATCAAAGCAATCCAAGGATAGTTATCAGAAATCCACTACTCTTATTATACTTTTTAATGGGGACAATTTTTGCAGTTTCAGGGGAGGTTCAGACTCTGAAAAGCCCTGATTTTAACCTATGTGTTTGTGAATGAGTATTGACTGGCGAAAACACGCACGTTCATTTAGAACATCCAAACAACAGGAGAAGAGAGGTGACAAGCTGTTCTGGGGAACATTCTTTTAAAAGGAGATATAAGAAGAGGGGAGGCATAATTAAAGTGAACGAGAGGACACAAAAGAAGGTATAGAGAGGAGTAAATACCACAGACATACGAGAGCAATACGAATGGAGATTGATTAAGAATGAATTAAAAGGAAGAAATGATCAGGAGAAGCAAGGAGAAAATAAGACATGGAGTGCTGGAGTTCGATTTTTCTTGGAAGATGTGTCAGACCAATTCACACAAACAAGCTTTCCCTCAGAAGTGCGCCCACACATTTCCACTTTTTTTAATTTTTAATTTATTCTACTAAAACAAAAACAAAAACGTATAATTCATCCACACAAATGAACAAAATTAGTAGAAGCGGGAGGGCTGAAGCATAGCTTATGGGGAGTAGCCCTCCCGTGCATCATCATTAGCATCAATATAATAATGGCACTTATTTAGTCAAAAAACGTATAGAAATTAAGGAGTGCAAAAAAAATAAAGAAAACTGGAAAAAAATAAAAGTTAGGGCAAGAAAAAAAGTAAATGCATATATAAGTAATACTGGGAATATCAAATACTTGTTAGCTGGAGTAATCTGCACTTCACACACACAAATGGTGAACACACACTCACACATGAAAACGTTCTGTGTTCATATCTCCGTATTAAACAGGAAAGACTTCAGCAAAAAGTATTTATTCAAATTTCTGAAACAACCTTCCCCATGGCAAACTGTGCCGCCAACTGTCAGCTTATGAAAACATAGACTCTGCTGAGGTTATGAATGCTTGTGTTTTCTAACATTATTCATGAAGTGGAGCGGGGCTTTAGGCTGGAGTTTAAGTTACTCAGCTGCATTCAAAGCCAACCCAGTACAGTTTAGAGAGTATTAACCTGCCCTAACGGCTACATCCCTACTGATACTTCTTACTTTTTGTCATCCAAACAAGACACTAAATGTTGATTAATGTGCTACTGAAAAGAAACCCCAACAAATACACTTTTTCTGCTTGTTTGAGTAATCACATAGTAGTTTGTGTTTTTAGGAACTTTTCAATTTCAAGTTCCCTTTAATTTCCTCTCATGGGTTTAAAAAGATTAATTTGTTTTTTTCCGATGGATTTTTTCTTCGGAATATTGGTGTTTCAAGATAATTCAGAACATCAGAACAATAGGCAGTCCCCTCATTGCAGAGGGTTAAAGGAGGCACTGATATTAGCATGCTTTTGTTTTAAGTCTGGAAGCAGGGGGGTCACCTGGCTCTGTCCAAAGTTTAAACAAAATCATCCAACCAGCACCTCAAAATGTGACTTATTACTCACTTGCTGGAAATATTTTTGTTCTACTTAGCAAACAGATTTTACAGCAGCGTTCAACAAACAAACTGGGTGTACTGGACCCAATGTTTCCTTTCAGAATAGGCTCTCTGATCCGGCAACTTTGAGTCGTTTCTCCTGGAAGCTGATGGACCTTAAAGGTTAACAGAAACTTCCCTGATCTGAAATAACATCCTGCTAAGCTCTGATAAAGGCTCAAGATATCAGTAGTTTACTGAGCTGCTACAAAGACTCAGACCTGCTCACTCTTCTAATGCCAGGTTTACTGATAGCACCACTCTATAAATGTTATCAGCAGCTGATCACTTTATATTGTAGTAGTACGGAAAATAACCATAGAGCTTTTCTCTTAACCTCCATGGTAACAACCCCCTCTGTCCTGACAGGAGGAGGTGGCTCGCCTGGCCTCGCTGCAGCCTCAGGTGGATCTTCTGGAGAAGCACCTGAAGGAGCTGAAGGAGGAGAAGGAAGGGGACGAGGACCCTTCAGCTTTCCTTGACGCTGACATCAGTGCCTTCAAAGAGCACTACCGGCAGGTGCTGGAGGACCTGAGGGCCAGAGAGAGGCAGCTGCAGCTGGGTAAGGGAGTGCAGAGTTAACCTTTGTTACTACACCTGGTGATCCATGCCTGATAATGAACTCTCTATTTGAGGAGTAGGTAGGTCAATTCTAGTAATAATAGGAAAGGAATCAAGAACAAGACCATTTAAAAATTCATGTCCTAACACCATCCACTTCTTTTTACTTTGTAGAAAGAGTTCAAACTTATATGGGTTTAAAATGAGTTATAGTTGACCTCGTTTGCAGTTGGATGTGTTCTGTGTAAGGTTTTACAGACGTTGCTTTATGGCGTTTTTATGGTAAATTAGATTGTGATTTACCTAAGGCCCCCTCTGAGGACCTCCACACCCTGACAGCTCCCACCGGATCATGCAGCAAAGCAATCTACATTCTCCCGTAAAATAAAACAAGGAAAATCTCACTTAGACTCTCTAGTTTTCTGTCATCCTGACTCTAAACACGTTTAAATTAAATGTCTCAAAGCCAATTTTACCACTGATTTACAAGTCGAGTGACTCATGTGTGAACAGTCTGCTAGCACTCACCCGTGTGGTTACACCTTCTCACCTGTCTGCATGCTGAGAAGCGGGTGAGGGTGAGTCATTGGTTCCTATTTGTAGTGTTAAGTGTTACTGTGTTAAGATGCTCCCTGTGAAAACATTGACAATAAGACTTAATGAGATAGAAACATGAGCTGAAAGCATCGCCCACCAAGAACAGAATAACCAAATGAGACAGACAAAACAAGAGCGCACAGCTATTTATAATCATGGGGAGTACAATGATTGAAAAGAAGGAGAAAACTAAAAGAATAGTCACTGAGAAAATTAAGAAGGAAGAGGGAGGAGGAAGAATAGAGAAAGATGCTGACAGTCTGCTTTTTTACTCAGTCAGACAGCTTCTTCCACACTCTGCACTTTTGTACATATCCAATACACATATTTAACCACTCACACATGGATATAGCAAGATGAATGATATAGATTTAAATTCAGTTCAGAAGCAAATAGAAAATAATTGACCTGAAAGAAAGCCACAAAAACGACTTTCTCCTATAGACTCAAGTCAGCACATTTGAGATCAAATCATGGAAGCTTTTTAAGAAGGAATAGAAAAGTTAACCAGAAAGAAATGTCATACTTGCCTTTTGCAGCGCTCCAACAACGCCTACAGCCTCTCTGACATATCTCTCTGTGTGCCTCTAGTTTTGGAGAGCTTGCCCCCGGCTCGTTACAAGGAAACTATAGCCACACTGTTGGCATGGCTACAACAGTGCGAGGCCAAGCTGTCCATCCCATCCACGGCGGTTACAGAGTATCCTGTGATGGAACAGAGACTTACGGACGTTCAGGTGAACACACACACTCACACTCTGTCTGCAGATCATGTGTTAACATCTGGACTTAGAATAATAACAGCTGAGCTTATGCGCTGCTTTAAATTCAGCATGAAGAAGTTGTAAAAACAAACATTACTATGGGCTGTTAACTGTATTATTATGTACATAGTTACTCATTTATCTCCATTGAGCTGTAGTGGTTGTGTTGCAGCTGAAAGGGAAAGCATATCGAGCTCCAATCTATTCTCCATTAAGGAGCTAGATGCATAAAACTGAGAAAGTGTTTGCATTTATTCAGCTTTTGCTTACTGAAAACAAACAACTTAAACCAGCATAAAGCGCTTAGCCTTACTCACCACGGTTTTACTGACCAACTTCTTTTTGATCGTACACTTTAACATGTCAATACTTACCAACTTCGTTCAGATTTTTCTTTTCAATGTGTAACTTCTGCTATACACAACAGAACAGTGCTTAAAGACTTATTTGACCTCAAAAGACCCTGATACACAAGCCAAAGGTCGCTCATTTTCCAGGCTATGGGTGACTGTCGCCATAGTTTTTTCTCAATATTTTCCCATATTCTCGCACTGTTGCTGAGATAAATCGCCCTGATTGGCTGTTCAGCTGAAGGGAATTGTTTGTGCTAGCTGGTTGTTAGCTGTAGCCCTGCAATGTATTAATTTATTTGGCAAGATGTAGGCGACGTGAGTTGGCTTACGTCTCCAATCCTCCACTACTTTGTCAGTTTGGTGTTTCTGGGCTTTTATACAACTGACATTTCAACTGAATTTATTTTCTAATCTTGCACTCTATGAATGAAGTTCATCGTTTTTCACCCTTTATCGCAATTTTCATGTCAACTGCATTCATGTCATACTTTCAAACTTTCATATATTTCAAGTTATGCTTTAAATTAGAGTTCAACTCCATTCATCACTGACTGTCCATCTCACAGTTTATTTCATTTTTCATTTCAAACCTTTATTTACCCAGGTGTATCCCATTGAGATCATTGATCTCTTTTTCAAGGGAGTCCTGCTCAAGTAGGTTCCACATGAAACATAAAAACATAAACAGAACAACAAAAAGGACATCATACAGCATCATTACAGGGTTTACAATTTACAATAACTATCCACATGTGCAAGTACCAACAGCTTCCGATTGAGTAGCATCCAACCGAGCTTTACAAACATTTAGTGGCACCAGATTGCTCAGTTTCCATTTCAATTGGACCGGGGACCGGTACCGGGCTGCGGAGGTGTTACTGCCGGGCCGCAAAATAGCTGTGAGTTTATCGTAATATTTGCAGAATTATAAATATATAAAAATATTTTTATCATAATTGTTTCGCACCTATACCAGTCATATTATTTAATCCAGTAGCTAGTTAATCTTTCACCAGAAAACCGTTGAAAATGGCTTTTATGATGTTCCGAGGGATTCGGCGGCTCAGCCTGGTCTCAGCCTCTCGTGCGCACGAGAAAGTTACCGGTGCCAGAGTTCCCGTTAGAATATTTTTTTGCCGGTCAACATGTCCGTTAAAGTTTAAATCTTCCGGACAACATTTGAAAAGTGCCGGTCAAAGGTCTTCTTTGTTATTTATTGAGCTTTAAAACAAATTGATATGATTCGATATTAAACAAACTAATTATAGTAGATTAACTACATTATTCAAAAGTGTTCATTAATTTACAATAACACGGGAATAATAAACGGAGCGCTCTCTCCCTCTCCTGACAGCCCGTCAGTATCATGCAGCTCGCGGATCAGTAATGAGTGACCCGACAGCGAAACTAAACATATCTATAACTAGTTACGGTAGTTTGAGAGGTCATTAAAATAGCTACGTGTGATATTCTAACCTGAAGTGTGTGTTTTGTTCTGCTCACCGCTGCATGTGATCATGCAGAGCTGCGTGTCGACTCGTCAGCAGCCTTCGCTGTGTTTACCTTCATCAGAACAGCTTAAGAGTGACTGCAGGCTGCTACGTGTTAACCACACACACCTCTACACACATCTCTACACACATCGAACTGCCCGATTACTCCCCCTTTTATTCGTTTTATGAAGGAGATGTCCAGTCACCAAGGCGTGTGTGTGTGTGTGTGTGTGTGTGTGTGTGTGTGTGTGTGTGTGTGTGTGTGTGTGTGTGTGTGTGTGTGTGTGTGTGTGTGTGTGTGTGTGTGTGTGTGTGTGTGTGTGTGTGTGTGTGTGTGTGTGTGTGTGTGTGTGTGTGTGTGTGTGTGTGTGTGTGTGTGTGTGTGTGTGTGTGTGTGTGTGTGTGTGTGTGTGTGTGTGGTGTGTGTATGTATGTGCTCAGCTCAGCTCTGTGTGTTCGGTGTGTTTGTGTCTGTCCGACACCGGCATTTGTTTTCAAATGACCATGAATAGTAATTTACACACATCTGGCTAACTCCATAGGTAGCCTATATGCGGGTGTTCCCAAAAGAAGTTTAATCTTAATCTCGATGTAGTGCTAATTCTGCTAAAGGCTATCGGAGTGCATCGGAACGAACGTCACTATCATAATATCTTCTGAAAACAAATGCCAGTGTCACGCAGACACACACACACACACACACACACACACACACACACACACACACACACACACACACACACACACACACACACACACACACACACACACACACACACACACACACACACACCCTGGCGACCAGACATCTCCTTCATAATGTGCCTTCTCCTCGTTTTCCCAACATTCACTGGATTATCCGTAAATCATACAAACAAAACCAAAACGTTGATTTAACTGTTTTCCCGTTTTGGTTTTAAAAACCGAATAACGTCGGTTTTTTGGTTTTCCGGTTTTCCGAAAAACCAAAAAACGGCACCGGTTCTTTCGTAAACGTTAATATGTCTTGGATGCATATTGTTCTAGTATTCGTTCAGGCTGTTACATACAATTAGCTTTTGTTGCTACCTGCTGGTGGAGAGTAAATATTAAAATCAGTTAAAATTGACAACCGGTCCGCGATTTTTTTTAATGTATCTGCCGGTCCTTGGCAGAATAAAGGTTGGGAACCCCTGCTCTAACTCACAGCTCAACTTATTATTTTTTTATTTCTTCAACTGCTCAAACTCAGAAAAGCTCAACCTGTTAAGATATTTGAGATGATCAGTTAACATGTAATGTAGTTGAGTGAAGGTTGGCATAATGGCAGCCCACTATCTGGTATGAATCACAGGTAATTATGCTGTCTATTCTATAATCCCATCGGCCACTAGGAGTCAACAGTGTAAGCACTTGACAACACTGCTCCTAAGATCTATACACAAATTCCCATAAAACACCAAAATGGTGCTGGCTCTATCGTCCTGTGGGCCTGTGTAACAGTGTAATCAGTTTTTTACATGCTGTAAAGTTATACGGCCGCTGGCGATGCCAAACTGCCAAAGCAGCACTCTTTTAAAGGATGCTTTTCTGCGTCTCTTTGAGGAAACAGGCAGAGGATAAAGGAGGGAGAGAAAGCAGATGAAATGCACCATTAACCAAGATGCTGATTCATAGCCACAACCTGAATCTGATACACAGGGGCATCCCTAAATCACTGCTGTAAACATTAAACCCTTTGCCAAAGTGTCCTTTAAAAAAGACTAAGTGTAAATAACAAAGGAGTCTTTTAGGAAGCACATTACAGATTATACATATTTCTCCTAAATTGTGATTTCTGGAAGGCCACTCGAATGCACAAATCTCAAACTATGGCTGTTTCCATAAGTGGAAAATAATGTGTGTATCCCCCTGGGCTCTACTTTGGCCCATTCTTCAACTTTCCAGCAAGTTTCATGAATATAGAGCCACTAGTTGTTCTTTTGACAACGATATTTGTACAACGAAACGGCGCTGTTGTATGAGAGACCAGCTTCGCCTGCTTGGATCTATCATCTGTTTGTGCTACTTTAAACATGTTGACATAAGACACTGGTGCTCAGAGAAAGGCGGTATGTGGACCTTTTTATCTAAATTATTATTTCCGTTCCAAAAATCCACTTTTAAGAATGAAAACATCTTATATAAGTACCAAGAAGCTAATACAATCCTCCTTAAAGCCATTAATATACAAACTATATATATAAGTCACTTCTTAAATGTAAATCCTGCTGCAGTTTCACTTCTGTGCGCTGTAGTCTGTATTTACAAAGCAGCAGCACGCTAAAATCTATATTCTGAAACCCCCAAAACAAGGAGAGAGAATTTCAATTTCAGTGCAAATGTGTGATTTTGTGGAGCCAGACTTCCATCTGCTTAACATGCAGAGAGCAGGTCTGCTGTGTGTGCGTGTGTGTGTGTGTGTGTTTGTCTACAACTCTGCAATTATGAGAGGCGGGTGAGAAAATCCCAGGAGAGAAAATCAGTGTCTCTGTTTAGCACAATATCTGTCAACACACAAACACCAGTGAGTCAGAATGCTTACAATACAAAGGTGCGTACTCACACACATACATATTCATTTGTCAGTGTTTATCGGTATTTCCATTCAAACACACACTTTTTAGTTGTTTTAGAAGGGTTGGTTTATATCTTGTGTGTGTGTGTGTGTGCGTGCGTGTGTGTGTGTGTATGCCCCCTCTTTAAACTTTATAATGGTCTTGTGTCATAGCAGGGAGATGAAGCCTTGTATCGGAGATTAATTAAAGTTGATTGTAGATAATAATTAGGAATTCATTCTGCATACTGATGAGCTGTCATTAATTTTCACCACAACTCTTTCCCCTCTGCTCTGAGGCACTTCTGCGTGTGTGGTTAGAAACGGTTCTTTTTTTACCCAGGTGACGGTATCTCCCCTCGCACTATTTCATTAAAATAATGAGTTTTTGTCAGGTGGTAACTTTGCTAGAATCCTAACCTCGTGTTTCAAAATACAAAACTATAGCAGATAATGGTTGAAGTGAGTGACAGATGATTATTAATATCCTCCACAGCTACTGGTAGATATTATTAAAGACCTTAAAGCAGCATTAAATCACTACCTATAATCAGGCGTCAATACATCTGATGAATGATTTGTGATTTTGCTGTAGCGATGTATGGATCAGTAAGTAGGGGTGGACTGTATAGATATATTGATGTAGGACTCTAGTTTACTTCAGAACACTTACACACATTTGATTTGAAAATGAGATATTGAGTTTAAATCTTTACATAGACATAAAAAGTTAAAGTAAGGATGTGTAATCAAAAAATAAAGTAAATATATGTATATGAACATAAGGAGTTAAAGTCACATTTCCCAGTTTGACTGATTCATTCAGACCATAAAGCATCACAGCTCATTGATTGTTCCCAGTGAACTACAGATATTAAAGGGTGGCAGCCCCGAATATTTTCCGTATTAACAATGACGGAAAAATCTGAAAGCCGTCCGTCATTTTGACAGATTAGAACAAACGCCGAAATGCGCCAAAGTTTCCCCGCAGCAAGGCTCCGGTATTATGCCTTGTCATGCATGCCAAAAGGAAATGATATCGTTTCCATACCTAACTTTGCCGAACAGATCAACGAAAGTATTTGCTTTACGCTGTGCGCGTTCCCGCGAGGTGCTGTGGGCACGACAGGTAATAATGGATTTTGACGAAAATGTTGCGATCCTGCCCAAATTGACGGGCAGCGAAAAAGTCTAGCGCAACCTCTGGGCAGCACTGTAGAAAGAGAGCGTCCTCTTGAGACAAACAGCAGCAGTGGTCATTTGTAAAAATGCCAGAAACAACTCATGTCTACCGGCAAAAACCTCCTGTGGCAGAGAGAATTATGACTGTTGTCAGGCCAGTAGTGTTGTCATAGCACCACAAGCAAATCCTCTTAGGGAGGACATGTGCTGTGTTTTGGGTCCATAAAGACAGTGACTTGGAAATAGGAGACCATTGTTTTAATCCCATTTCTTAGAGACTATAATCAGTTTTGTCTGATGGTGAAACAGATGCTTAGGTTGATAACAGTTGGCTCATCTTTATAACATCAAGTACCATGACAGAATTGCATTAAACAAGGCCTTTTTGGGACTTAGGTAAAGTAAACTCTCTATTGCAGGGGTGGGGAACCTTTTTCCTCTCAAGGGCCATTTCAATGTTTTCAACATCCTCCGAGGGCCGTACAAATGATTGACCTCTGCTTAAATACTATAATCACAGCCCATTCATTTCACCTTTCTTTCATGCTGTGCAAAGAAAAAGCAACCTCTTAATCCAGATATCTTGCCATGACTCACGCATGCATGCACGTGCAGAGTTGTGGCATGACCACCCAAACAGAAAGATATGGACACAAGATGTGTGCAAATGTATTTAGACTCCTATCCATGTGAACATGATTTAAGTGGGGGGGACCTAACCTTCTCTAGGGGGGTCCGGGGGCATGCTCCCCCGGGAAGATTTTTTTTTTAAAATGTTGAAGTTAAAAGCATCAATCTGGTGCACTTTGAGAGCAACATTAGATCTATGGATACATCTCTCAACACCCATATGAAACAGAACTGTAAGCAGATTTTATTTTTCTTTATGGATATTTTACAAATCAATCCCTTTCAAACTGTATTCTTGTTTATTAATAACAACTTTTTTTTACAGTCATATAGTATTTTATACCTGTTTACTTTATTCTCTTATTTTTTTATAACTATAATGATCATATAAAGATGTGCCTTTACCTCACTGGTTGTAGAAAAAGCTTCTTATATTCGTTAGCATAGCTAGCTAACCAGATGCTAATAACAACAAAGTTATTGACTGTATGATCAGTATGACAGACAGTGATTCCTGCAGAAATGAAATATACTTTGGGGGAACGACTCGGGGTGGGGTGGGGGGTGGTGCGTGAAAAAAAATGTCCTCAGAAATCTCTCAAAAATTTAGGAGCGGGGCTAGTCCTGGTGCGCTACCCAGGCTGAGTGACAAGGTGGCATCCAGGAAACTGAAATTTGCAGGTCACTGCCATCGACACCAGGAACTTCCAGCTGGCAAGTTAGTACTCTGGAAGCCAACACACGGGCACCGACCAAGAGGGCGCCCCACGCCAACATACGTGGAGGTGCTGAGGAAGGATGTGGGGGTGGAAAGCTCCACAGAGCTGGCCGGGTGTATGGAGGACCGTGAGGATTGGCGAACCCGTTGGCAAACTCGTCTAAGGACGACCTAGTAGTAGTAGTCCTTGATTGGCTCAAGTTCACACCTTTTTAGGGGCGGGGCTAGTGATGTTGTCCCGGTGATGCTTAGGAGTTGATAAAGGAGATAATCCCACTGACGTCATCATTTGATTCCAAAAGTGGGTCTGGACTCGCGCCCATAGAGGCTGTTTACCAATATAATGGCTCCCCCCAAAGTATAATTTATGGGTGGCTCCCCCCAAAGTATAATTTATGGTTTTTTAAGTTTTTTTTACTCACTGAGCACTCATTGCCACCAATGCAAATGCAAATGAGTGCTCACTGAGTAAAAAAAACAAAAAAAACACACAAATTATACTTTGAGGGGAGCCATTATACTTTGGGGGCCCCCCAAAGTATTAACATGCTGTGGGAATCACTGACAGATGAACAGATCGCCACTGGGCTTACAACTAAAACACAGCCACGAAAAAACCTGCAGCATGGCTCCTTATGGGTACTGCAATTTTTGGAAGTGCCGGAGCGGAGCGGCGTTCTGGTGCTCCCCGTCAGAACTACACCCCTGTCAGACGAGACATATACCACGTGATGACACGTTAGGCTTGTGTTGTGTTCAAGGACCCTGACCTTGGCCAGGAAAAACAGGCACTCACTTGTTTAATTATTTTGCCGTCTAGATTTCTTTAATTTTTTTCTTTTTTGCGTGTGTTTATAAATTACCTCGAGGGCCACACCAAATGGTCTCGCGGGCCGTATACGGCCCGGGGGCCGGAGGTTCCCCACCCCTGCTCTATTGTCTAACGTCATCATATTACACAACCATACCCTATTGGAGTAAGGCTGTCCATCGATGTTGACATTGTGATGTATCACCCTCTCACCTTTCCGTTGTACCGTTAGTGAAAGTGAAAATTGAAGTAAAGAAACAGGCTTATCCATGTGCTCTCAAATGGAGCTTGGTACAAGTTGAAAGAGAGAAGGAAAGAAAAGAAAAAGCCCTTTGAGCAGAAACGTTGAGTCTCTAATGCTTCCTTGCTTTGGATTCAGTGTTGCAGCAGAAGGATTGTGGGTAAGCCATAGTAACTGACGGATGTCCCGTCCAGGAGCTGAGCTAGAACTGAGCTAAACTAAGCCTCTGAGCCACCTCTGTGTGAACGAGGCTTTCTTCCCAAAATCTTCCACTGCACGCCAGCTAGAGTTCACCGGGAATTCCCTCACCTCTCCACTTATCATTCATCCCGCAATCAAAATCAAACGGTGTGAAAAGGCTTTCATTACAAAATGTTAACAGTGGCAGCCTCATATCCTCTCATGCTCGTCATCCCTCACTCTCCCATTTCCCCCCCGCTCAATAAATACTGAGTAATGTTACGGACAAGCTTTTGAATCGACTCTTTTTCTCCATGGCATTTACGCCACTTACGCTAGAACACGTGATAGATGGTAATTGGATAACTCGTTTATGGATATGGGTTCCCTCTGCGTTTGTTGATACATGTGTGTTTATTTATCTTTTTATTTATTCTGGACTGGAGGCTTTGGGCCGCATGTGAATTCTCTTTTTAGATTTGACCTCAGAGATTTTTTGTAATTCTGAGATTAAAGTCAGAAAGCTGACGGTATATATATATATATAGTCAGGATACTACTTTCTTTCTCCGAATTCTGGCTTTAATCTTAGAATTCACTTACTGTAAGGTCAGATCCAAAATAAATTCACATGTGTCTCTAGTCCTCTTTTATAACTAGTACTTTCTCAATCTAAACTTCCATTGCCCCTCCTCATTATTCCTCTGTCTCTCCCCCCCCCAGGCCCTGCAGGTGGCTCTGGCTGAACACCAGGGGGAGGTGGACTACCTGACCTCCACTGTGGAGCAGGTGTTCCAGAAAGCACCAGCAGACATCAGCCAAAAGTAAGACATGGAAAATAAAGAGTGCTGTGTAATCTATTGAAGGAAAGGATTAAACACAATTGAATGGGTGCAGATTCCATTTGCGATTTACTAGGAAAGTCGACTGCTAAAAAACGACCGCTGCTGTAATGTTTAGTTGAATGAACCCAAATCAAAATGGTCTTAACCCCTGTCGAGTGTATCTGATGTGTTTTTTATTTGCACGTCTCCTTATTGATCTATGCATCTGTCTGCTTAGGCTCTGAGCAGGCATAAAAGCAAAGTCGATGCCCAATAAAAATGGTCTGAATATAAAAAAATAAAGTTGTGTAGAACTTGTAAAGCTTAGGTAAACATATATGCCATGTCACAAGCCAATTGTGAGCCTCTGTGATTTCCTGCAGGTATCGCATCGAGATGGACGGCATCATGGCAAGTTGGAAACGCCTCGGCACGACGCTGACAGACAACGCCCAGAAACTCCAGGAGCTCATGGCCAAACTGTTGCAGTTTGAAGTGAGATTTATAACGGGGATCACTATATGTTGCTTAGAAGTCAAGCTTACTAAGGTGAGATATCTTTAATCTCAATACTCGTTCTTGTCTCGCCAACAGAATGACGTTAAGACTCTTAAGAAGTGGATGGCAGATGTGGACGTGTTCCTGAACGAGGAATGGCCAGCACTGGGAGACTCTGAAGCTCTGGAGAAACAGCTGGAGCAGTGCACGGTGAGGAAATAATTTAGACCTTACTTCAAAGTCTTATTTCAACAGTTTCCCTTTCCTGTCATCAGCTGCGTAAAGCCTGAGGTCCAAGCTGGGCAAGCCTAACTTTAAAGGACAACGAATGACAAGGAAATATGGCAACGTTCTGAATATTTTGCATTCTGATTGGCTAGGCTTTGGTGAATGACATCCACACCATCCAACCCAGCGTCAACGGCATCAACGAAGTGGGTCTGTACCTAAAGAAAGAGGCCGAGCCACCCTACGCCGTCCACATCCAGAAGGAACTAGACGACCTCAACGCTCAGTGGGAGAACGTCTGCAAACAGGTGCGGACCCTTCATCCAGAGGTCGTGTTTTCCTGCTTTATGTGTCCCTACACCGTTAAATGTTTTTCTTTACCTCCGTCTAGGCCTACGCCAAGAAGTCGGCCCTGAAAGGAGGCCTCGACAAGACCATGGCTCTGAGGAAGGAGATGCAGGAGATGCAGGAGTGGATCAACCAGGCGGAGGAGGACTACCTGGAGAGAGACTTCACATACAAGACTCCTGAAGAGCTGCGCAAGGCTGTGGAGGAGCTCAAGGTGTGTGAACCGGACAGTAGATTGCTGTTGCTGTGACAGTAGTTCCTAGAGTAAATATCACATTTGTTTTAGTCTGAGAGTAATGATCAAGAGTTGAAAAGGGGCATTATGGTTTTGTTATATTCACTATTTCTTTGCAATTCATTCAAACTAAGATACAAAAAATGTTCTTGCACCATGGCTCATAAAGGAGGACTTCTCTGCTGAGTAAGCCTCAGAAAGGGCTGACTCAGACACAGTGATTTACATAGGGTCTTTATTCACAGTACAGACTCACATCTCACTGACCTTTCTGCACCTGCTTCACCCTGTCCCTCTCTTCTGATCCTGGTTCATTCCTTATCGATAGCCCCCCGTCTGCCTGCCTCTCTTTTTATTGTGAAGAAAAACACTTTTTTCGGTCTTTATTTATTTCCCCCTCTCTGTATTCTTCCCTCACAGCTCTGAGTCTAACCCCCCTCTCCACTCTCTTTGTCTCCATAACTCAATTTCGTATCAAATTGCATAAATTCTAATCCCTCCCTCCTCCTCCCCCTTTCTGCTCCGAGCTAAAGGAAACTCCATTGGTGAATCTGCTCAGTTGCTTACTCTCCAAATCCCCCCCCTGCCTGGTTTGGGAATGTATTAGCTTCATTCATTGATTCGTTGCCTAGGTTGTTCCCTCCGTCTGTCTCTGTCCCTTTACACTGTGGCTTTGTCTACTGCAGACACATTGATTCATTTGTTTGTGCATCCGTCCCTCCTTCCATTAAGCCTCTCTGTCTCTCTCTGTCCTTCTTCCTTCTCTTGCTCTTTCATTGACCTCTAAAAGATCCTTTTTGTAACAAGGCTTATCAATAAAGTGGTGCAGGAATGAGTCCTAAAACAGTATTTTTTGGTTGGTGAGATGCCTGAAATCATACGTCATCACTGCACCACTATGCAATTGGAATCAAGTGTTTTGAACAGACTAACAAACATCCCTTACTCTATCTTCCTCAGAGGGCCCAGGAAGAGGTCCACTCCAAGGAGCTGAAGGTCAAACTCCTGACTGACAGTGTCAACAGTTTCATCGCCAAGGCTCCCCCCACGGCCCATGATGCCTTGCGGTCTGAGTTGGACGTTTTGACGGCTAACTACCAGCGCCTGTGCAGCCGGCTGGATGGGAAATGTAAAACACTGGAGGTAAGAACTTTCTCTGTGATCATTTGGAAGTGTTTATCGGACATTCTCCCCATGCTTAGGTAAAGACAAAGTGGGAAAAGAGAAAGTGTGTGTCCATGTGTGTGTCAAGGCCAAGGCGGTAGTGTACAAAATACATCAGTGCCAGTGTGTGAACGTACTCCGTTTACTATAGATGAGCAGAGGCGAAGCGAGGTTAGCCGAGTAGAACCGTTTCAGGCTATCTTCTTGCATTTTGTACCTCTTGACTTAGTAATTGTAAGATTAATCAAAGTATAAAGTACATTTTAATGAACACAAGGTGGTTAGATGTTTCATATTAAGGCTTAAAGTGATGGGGATATGAGCTCGATAAATACATGTTCTTCAGAAGAAGATATTCATTATGAAAACTGTGGAGAAGACTGCTCTGTGGTCTGGAGGCAGAAATCTCAGAGCAGATCGATAGTGCATGACAATATCACATCTTTGGTTTTAATAATTGACCTTCTCTTTCATACTTTTCTTATTTACTTTTAATGTTCTTATTATTTATAAATATCCTTTTTTATTTGATTTGATCTTTTTATTGCACATTTGACAGACTTTGTCCTGTGTGAAGAAACTTGTGCCATTCGGAACCTATTTTTCAAATGAGCTTCATTTCACAATTAGAAAGCCAACTCAATCACTGAGCCAGACAGAGGCAACTGTTGCTAATTTGCAGACTGGAACGAACTCATCAAACATGTTGATGTTGAACAGATGTTGATATGACGGCCTGCACCAACGCTGAATAAATGAAAATGAAACGCTGAAGTGAAAATGAAAAACTGGTAGTCATGGGCTTTCAAATTTACGGGGAAGTTCTCTCTTTCACTATCCGTCTTTTCCTGCACCGTTCATCTTCCCAAATGTCAAAATGTTCATCTGTTTTCTTATGAATAAATTCACTGATGCATTTCCTCTGTGTGTGCCTCCCTGTGTGTTTGCAGGAGGTGTGGGCGTGTTGGTGTGAGCTGCTCTCCTACCTGGAGCAGGAGAACGCCTTCCTGGACCAGCTGGAGCAGAAGCTGGACGAGACGGAGAACCTGGAGGGAGGAGCGGAGGAGCTGCAGGAGGCGCTGGATGTCAGTATGCCTTTCGTTTGTATATTTTCTTCCAAGATGATAAAGTTAAAATAAAACAAGCTATTATATCAAAAACAGGTATAAAATACAAGAATAAAAGCAGGCTTATACCAAGGCATTGTGATTCTTAGCAACTTCAGTGTTCTGCTGTGTTGTGGTTAATCGGTGTCCCTGTCTCAGATCAGCTTAAATAGTCGCGGTGCTTACCGCTCAGCTAGGCTAACCCAGCTTTTAGAGAAGGATGACCAGTTTAAGGCGACCGTTTTTCCAATCCAAACAGCCACCAGACCCTCAAGCAGGGAGCTTGATCCTTGTAAGCTTTAAAGGGATTTCTTTCCTCTTTTTAATTAAACAATAACCATGGGAACTCAGATCTCCCTCAGCTACAAGCTCTGCTAAAGTAGAACCCCTACCACCACCATGAGAAGAACATCAGAAACCCAGTGGGCTTAAATCGAGAACACATAACAGAAACATAAACAAGATTGGTTCTGTAATGCAGACGTTTGTATGAAATTCAAAAAGTGTTAATCCCATGGAATTTGCATTGAATCCTGTAATTAGAGACACTGGAGCTGCCTGGCCTTCTTTGAGGAAGTAAAGTGAAAGGCTTACATGTTAACCCTAACTTGTTAATTTGCTTAAACTGTGCTTTTGCAGAGTGCTTCAGATGTTACATCCAGGGATTTGGTGAGATTAAACAATGCAAAAAGCATTAAGTCCCTCCACCATGATGCATTATTTCATTAAAACTCCAACAGAACAGCAAAAATGCAAACTGCCTACTCAGCTGTATTTCACTTCGCTAAACTGACATCAGCAAAGATTTAGGAAGATGTGGAAAGCTGTTAAGCACCCAGGTCAGACGTACAGGGGCTAATTGACCTATTTAAGCTTTGCATGTCATCACCAAACGCTCTTATCCTGCATAATGTTTAATACGTGTCTCCTAACCTTATCCTGAGTCAGCTTCAAACAAAACAAAGTATGCAAAAAAACAGTTGAATCAAACCCATATTTTTCAAAGTGTAATGGTCGAGTGTAATTGATGGAGGTTTTCTCTGTGTTTACAGAGTCTGGATGTTCTTCTGCAACACCCGGATGACAACAGGAACCAGATTCGGGAGCTGGCCCAGACGCTAATGGACGGAGGAGTTCTGGATGAACTAATACAGCAGAAACTGGACGCCTTCAACACACGATGGGATGAGCTCATGGCGAGGGTAAGACAAATCATACAAAGTCTTTCATTAAAAAAAAAACTGTTGTCTAATTATTTATCACCCCCTTACTTTGCTTTGGTGTGCTCTGTCAGCGTTGGCTCTTATCGAACATGCTACAGTTATTGGGGTATGTTGCCGTCTTATCCTGGAAAATCAAGTTGTTGTCATTTAGGAAGAAAATGTGTATTCTTAGGGGATTAACATTTTAAATGTCACCTTATTTCATCTCCTTAGACCTGAAGCATGGACACACTTAGGTCAGATGGTACGCTAAAGCCTGGTTAAATCACCTCTTAGATGCAAATAGTTAAATAATATATGCAAGCAGAGACATTGCAGGGTTTATGGTAATGATATATGTTAGCATTAGCATCAGCCATCACTTCCTGTTGGGTTTTTAGTTGTTGCTTACTAAACATGAGTTGGACTTTTGTCCTACATTTCTCTCACAGTCAGAATTTTGCTGCAGGCTGTCGTTGGTTGCTTTAAGACAAGTTTACAGTACGACGTTGGGCAAGTGTTCCGATAGATAACCAAAGAACAAAGGCTTTGAGCACAGCATGTACATGTGGACTGGAAATGCTGGCAACTGCAAGATAAACCAAACGTGGTCCTTATACCAAAAATACAACTGGTTTAGTTTTTTCTGACAAAGATTCAACCATGTTTTTTACGAATAGACATCACAGTGTAAAGGGGCCTTCAAAATCAAGCCATCAACTTTCCTTATAGAATGAGCATGACCCCCAGCTACCCGAATTTCCTTGTTGAGCTGCAAAACAACAATATATATAAGTGATGAAATGGTAGCAGAGAGTTGATAGGATTCCATTTAAAGGACAACAGACTGGGTCAACATCTGAGAACACATTTCAAGAAACTTCCATTTTTATTACAAATGCTAAAACCACCTCAACAATTCTCTTTGGAAAATGTACGTTTTATTTTCTGTCAGTATTTGGTACGTCCTCATTTGGCCTTGATAACATCATGATCTCGAGCTGGCACGGACTCCACGAGTTTGTTCAAATCTGACGACACATGTTATCCCAGCATGAACTGACAGTGTTCCAAAGAGCTTCTTATGATGATGCATAACACTTGGCTTTCTCACTGTTGTCCTCAATGTTCGATGGGGGTGAGGTCAGGTGACTGTGGAGGAAAATGCACAATAGTCAGGACTTGTTCATCTTTGCTCTTCAAGTAGGTGCATTTAGGGTCATTATCCTCCCGCTCTAAAATGCTCTATCTCTGAAGAATGGAGCGCTTTTATTCTGGGTTTGATAAACTGCAATATCATTCTCTCAACTGTTCTCTCCTTACATCCCCCCATCTGTTGCTGCCACAAATCCCATTCTTGGATTCATCCGTTTATAGGACTTGATCCACCTCTACATTTTTGTATTTCTCAGCCCACTCAAAGCGTTTCACCTCACTTCCCCTCCTGAGAAGTCCTTCTTTTGATCGTGCTCTTGCGTTCCTTATTTGGCAAATTCTGCTCTATCTATCTCTGGACCAAGCTTGATGTATTGATCTTCTGATGCTGAGGTCTTGTTCGGTCTGCCTGATCGTGCTTTGGATAAAACCGATCCAGTTTCTGCAAAAGTATTGGAGTTCCATGCACTGCCCCTTTGGAAACCTTTAGTCCTGAGGCTGAGCTTAGAATCAAATCAATCTGAGTGTCATGGAGTACTATATGTTTAACTATTTTCAATCATTTTATTGACCAGACAATGAGTGTATATTAACAAAAAAATACATCTGAAAATATTCCTTATTTTCCGCCATATTCACATTTTTCTTCCTCCTATTCTCTCACATTACCCTTCTCTTATTCATCACACCTTTCCAATCAATTCTCTATTCCATACAACCCTCCTCTCCTTTCTCCCTCTCCTTCCCCAGCTCCGTCTGTCTTCTCTTAATTGATTGTCTCTTCCTCCACCCCTGCACTCTCTCCTCCTCTTCGTAATCTTCCTCCTCTTCCTCTTTCAACGTCTTCCTTCCAGCCCTCATCAGCCGGCATCAGCGGCCGCGATACATTCTCAGCCTCTTGTGGTGATCCTCAGCGACAGATTAGACATTCTTGCACCCACACACACACACACACACACACACACACACACACACACACACACACACACACACACACACACACACACACACACACACACACACACTGAGACACACACTCATTGCCCGCTGGGTTGATCCTCCCTCACCATAGCACCAGATTAATGTTCTCCTTGCAGCCTGATAAGCCTCCCTTTGTTTGTCTACCCATCAGAGACATTGTGTGTGTGTGTGCGTGTGTGTGTGTGTGTGTGTGTGTGTTTTATTTCAGACTTTCGTATTTTCTGGTTTGGAAGTGTCATTGTGTGTTATCAGAAGCCGGTGTGCTTTGTTCCGCGGTGTGTGTCAGCATGTGAGGTGAGGCGGGGGGGGCTGTTTGTTTGTTTGTCATCGATAAAGAGGGAGACAGGAAGCGGGTGTTTGAGAGTCACTCTGGAAAGACAGATGCAGGAGCAAAAGCACACAGACCAAAATATTGCCTTAATATTTCCCCTCTTTTGACCGGAGGGAACTGTAGGAGGGATTTCTTTTTAAATGTATTTCTTTTAAACTTGGATCGTTGTGTGGTTTCAGGAACGGTCATTTGTCATCCTACCACAAGACAGACACTAGACAAATCACCTAGAAGGAAAACTGACATGCAGTGGTTCTTTTTTTTATTAAAACAAACACCTTAAATCATCATTAAAACCGTCTTTCCAAAAAGGTGTTTAATGAGGTGAATATATACTGATATATCTGTTTAGGCATCACAGAAATAAAGGATTTTTGAAGAAAAATACACAGTTAATTCTTATTTTTTTAAATCGGATTAAGAAATACTTTTAATTTTCTAAAGCCAGTTGAGTAGCACTTGAAATGTTTTTGCTCTATGAAACCTGATGTACTTTTATGATTCTGTTTTCTTCAAGTTGTATTTTGTTGGACGAACGCACTTATTGTAAGTCGCTTTGGATAAAAGCGTCAGCTAAATGTAATGTAATGTAATTATCCCAGGGGAAATTGGGCGTTCATGGCAGTTGTTCAATTTTAAAATGAATGATGTGTTTGGATCCATATGTATGTATTTAGATGTATTCATATGTATAGGTCCTGAACAACTCACTGAAAGACAGTTTCCCCTTAATAAAGAGTCTTCTTTTTCTTCTAAAAAGATCAAATAAAATTGGACATAAACTGAAGAAACTAAACTTGAATATCCTATAGATAGTCTTTACTAAATTGTAAAGGTGCCTCTCTAACTTAACTAAGACATTTTATCAAATCAAAGTAAAACATCACAGAAGTATAATTCTTATCTATTTTCCAACTTCTTTCCATCCACAGTATTATAAATTCACGACTCAAATAGCTGACTGTCAACACGGGTCCAAGAAAGTGCAGAGACAGTGGAATATAATCTCATTATATCTGTGTCCCACTTTAAAACTTATGTTGAGATAAATCCATCTTGTTATATCTCTGTCTGCTGTTCCTCAGATCAAAGAGGCGTGTTTGCCATTTTAATTTGGAGCTTTTTGTAACGGCTGAACAACCAATAAGAGGAAGTGTAGCGCGGAGATCGCTGCTTAGCCGACGGCGTTTCCCACGCAAGGCAAACAGCGATCCTCTATCTCGCCCGTTCGCAATCACTGACTGCCTTTCGGTGTGAGAGAAATTAGTAATAAGGGAAAACTGAGTGTTTAATAAGAATATGTATTCATGAGCCGACAATTGCCAGGGAAATGAAGTACATGGCCACGGGGAAGGTTGTTATCAATGTTTGTCTAAATATTTAATCTCGCGCTCATTTCGTACATTATCAGCCATGAAACGGTGACATTGGGAGCACTGTGAGTGTGACACAAGCGTTAGTGGCTCACGGCTATATTTAGAGTCATTATCCTTGTGCATGAGCTTAGCATGCTCACCTGTGACCACATACGCAGCCTCTTCCTCTCAACTCACAAGCTCTTACAGGATGTGATGCAACATGTCCGTAGGAAAGTTAATCTCGTAGGCAGACATGATGTGGAGAGCAGAACAGAAACAGTAGTTGCAAAGGGTCCTACTTCTCAGGCATCAGAAGATCGTTATTTGGGTTGTTCGTGGCAACCTTGATGTTGTCGTCACACTGAGGCAACATGAGAGAGAAACCCCGGCCTCCGTCCTTCAATAGGGTATATGCAGAGAGAGAGAGAGAGAGAGAGTGTGTGTGTGTGTGTGTGGTGTGTGTGTGTGTGTGTGTGTGTGTGTGTGTGTGTGTGTGTGTGTGTGTGTGTGTGTGTGTGTGTGTGTGTGTGTGTGTGTGTGTGTGTGTGTGTGGTGTGTGTGTGTGTGTGTGTGGTGTGTGTGTGTGTGTGTGTGTGTGTGTGTGTGTGTGTGTGTGTGTGTGTGTGTGTGTGTGTGTGTGTGTGTGTGTGTGCCTGTGTTTGTTGTTTGTTTTTAGGTACATAGAGGGACGAGGGATTGAATATTTCTCTTTATATACATTATATACGTTTCCCATTTGCTGTTTTCTGTTTTAATGGTCCACTTCATTTGTTTTGTGACGCAGTTTTGTTTGTGTTTACCCAGGTGGGGCTCAGGAAGCAGGAGCTGGAGAAGAGTGTGCAGTGGGCCCAGGAGAATGACAAGAGTCTGAGGCAGATCCAGGATTCGCTTGCCAACACCGACCGACACCTTACTGCGTACCTGGCTGACCACATAGACGCCCAGCAGATACCGCAGGAGGCTCAGGTAGCCATCAGTGTGTAGCTGTGTGTGCGTGTAGGGACTAAGGAGAATCGTCGTGGGCCATAGCTTCTACATCATCTCTATATTTTTCCGTTCACTAAGACTGGCTGTGTTCATGAGCCGTTCATATCACAGGGATCCTCCCCACGGAGACCGCCATCTTTCTACAGTAGCTCAGAACGGACAAACTAAAAGTGGCTTTAGAACTTGAGAGGTCCTTTTATTTCATTCATTGTGTCCTAAAAGTTTAAAAAGACCTAATTAGTTGAATTATTTTCATGCTGCCTTTTATGTAAATGAGACGTTTGTGCTCTATGGGACAAATATGTGGGAGAGCATCCTAAGATATTTTAGTTTCATGCTCCACTGAGGAACTTTTCATAGGAATGAATGACAATACTTCAACTAAATGCTAGCGTTACTGATTAGACTTAATCAAACCAAACTTCACCCCACTGATCCCGATGTAAGCAGACCCCAACTGGACCTGCAGTAATTAGACTACGCCAGGCTGAAGTCAGTTTAAATAGAAATGCTCCTAATGTAGAATAAAGATGCCAATTCATCATCAGTAAGTGCAGCTTTTAGTTGACTCATGAAACACTGTCAAGCTTTTTGCCCTGTCAGGTTTGACCACGAAGAGTGACAGGAAGAGGAATGACAGCTGAGTGGAAATATACTTCAGAGAGTGTGTGCGTTTGTGTGAGTCCATGCATGGGAACCCAAGAGAGAATGGCGAATGCTCTTTTTCTCTCTGTTGTCCTAATTAAGCCCGGGGCAACTTTGGACACGGGCAAGAGTGCACACACACACACACACACACACACACACACACACACACACACACTGTTCTGTCTGTTTGTCTCTTCCTCCAACTTCTTCTACATATATATATATATATATATATACACACAGCCTCTAGACAATTCAGACAGTCGATGGTGAAATAATGGCCTGCGATGATAGAAAGACTGATGAGGGAGAGTGTACGTGGAGAAGAAAGGAAAGATTGAATACACGTATGTTGTAGTAGACACACACAAACTCCCACACACACACACACACACACACACACACATATGGATGGGAGAATGATTGTATTAGATTGGTGTGGATGATCATATGTGATTACAGGGCACTTGGTATTTAAAAGTGAAAGGGGTGACAGAGGCCGTCTCTGTGTGTGAAAGGGGGGGGGTGACAGGTTGTTAATGCTTTTAAGCATCCTCTCCTATCTCCTTGATCCCTCATGCCCCCTTGTGGTTATTATTAGGAGGTACACTATCAATGCATTTCAACTGGTCTGACTTTCAAAACAACATTTTCAGACCCATTACATCATATTTTTATATTAATTTTAGTTCAAATAAAGTTATGGTTCATTAACATCATTTGTGTTATCCTTTTTATTTTTAATTGGTCTTTTACGTGCATGTGTGTGTTCAACAGAAAATCCAGGCGGAGCTGAGCGGCCATGAGGCAACCCTGGAGGACATGAAGAAGAAGAACCAGGACAAAGACCCGAGGGTTATGGGACAGATAGACCTCACGCAGGTACACACTCACACTTGAACATGTACACACACATATTGAGAAAAGTACAAAACAAAATTGTACTGAGGGATTTTCTGGAAAATTGTGTTTTGTCAGGAGATTTCAATGATTAATGAAGGTATCTAAGTTGTGCCAGCTGTGCATAACATAGCAGGAGAGGTGTGGATAAACAATCCACTGACAATATGGAGTATTCTTCTTCCTCTGCAAACTTCCCCTAACACCTGCATTTCATTATTTATCTTAATATATCTTTGTGTCCCTTCCTTTTCACAGAAAATGCTGGCAGACGTGTGGACGAAGTTCCGGCTCTTCCAGAAGCCGGCCAACTTCGACACTCGTCTGACCGAGTGTGAGCGCTTGCTGGCTGGGGTCAAAAGCCAGGGGGGGGTCCTGGACATCCGCAGTGTGGAGCAGGACGTGGTGCAGTCACAGCTGGACCAGTGCATGGTGGGTCATCCAATCAGATGCGGTGAATAGATGCTTTGATCCTACATTAAGCCCCTGCTGTGTGTTTGTGTCCAACAGAAGTTGTATAAGGTGCTGAGTGAAGTGAAAGGGGAGGTGGAGACGGTGATAAAAACCGGCAGGCAGATCGTGCAGAAGCAGCAGACGGAGCAGCCCAAAGATATGGACGACAGGGTGACCGCCCTGAAGCTTCTCTACAACCAGCTGGGCTCTCAGGTAACAACACACACAGATAGTTAGGCTCACATGATCATACAGGTCAGATTTAAACATGATTTATGTGTGTAGGTGACGGAGAGTAAGCTGGAGCTGGAGAAGAGTCTGAAGTTGTCCAGGAAGCTGCGTAAGGAGCTCAACGGGCTGACGGAGTGGCTCGCTGCCACCGATGCTGAGCTGACCCGGCGCTCCGCTGTGGACGGCATGCCCAGCGACCTGGAGGCGGAGGTGGAATGGGCACAGGTATACACAACATAAGGTCATAGAGAAACTTGCTAAAAATAGAAACAATTAACTGGAGCTTTCAATAGGTAATGGCATTCTGTCTCTCAACTCTCTTCTCTTTTAAATCCTGTCAGTCGATCCACGAGGAGACGGAGAGGCGCCAGCCGCAGCTGCAGGCCGTGGTGGACCTGGCGGAGGCCCTGAAGGTGGTGCTGCGGGGCCACGGGGGCCTGGTGGACGACAAAGTCAGCCTGCTGCGCTGCAACTGGATCGCTGTCACATCCAGAGCAGAGGAGTGGCTCAACCTGCTGCTGGTCAGAGAACAAAAAAACACATCTGATACATATTTATCCGTCTCATTAATGCCTAAATTAAACCCAAACTCTAAAAGTAACCCTCTAAAAGTGTCGTTGTTTGCACACTCAAGTTTCTCCCTCTCCTTTCTCCCTCAGGACTACCAGAGGCAGATGCAGAAGTTAGATGGAGAGATAAAGGAAGTGAACGGATGGATCGACGGAGCGGAGAAGAAGATGGATGAGATAGACAGCCAGGGACCCAACGACGCTGTGCTCAAGGTTGTAATGTCTGTCTGTGCATATGTTGTGCTTATCTTGTGTGTTTATTGGTGTTTTACCTCCAGTAATTCTCTGTAGATTAGATGTCAGTGAATGCAGTGTTTCTTAAAAACACAGATAATTATCCTGTTGTTAACAGCTCTTACAGAGAGAGATCAATCATTAACAAGCACTTATCTTCAATCTCAATCTTTATTTATTTATATAGCACATTTAAAACAACCTCAGTTGACCAAAGTGCTGTACAGGCAATACATACAATATAAAATAACACATTGGGAGTACAATAATAAAACAATAATTGAAAACATGATAAAAAGCACAATAACTAGAAACATATAGAAACACATACAAATGTAAAAATGTAACTCAACTATTATTAAAAGCCAGTGCAAAAAGGTGGGTTTTAGCTGAGATTGAAAAAGTTCAATAGACTTCTGTTAGCGCTCTCTGGGAGAATTTCCTTTGAATGTGTAAACTATTTTAGGTCATATTTTTCTCAAGGAATTTCCTTCCTTAGGAAAGAGCTTCTGTGGCTAACTGTGTGTGTGTTGCAGGTGTTGCGTGTGGAGCTGGATCCGACGAAGGGAAAGATGGAGGGGGTGAGGACTCTGGCCAAGGAGCTCATGTCCACCAGGGGGGAGAAGTGCCAGGCCCAAGTGAGGCCCAAAGTGGAGCAGCTCAACCACAGATTTGACACCATCGCACAGCGCATCACCAGCGGAATGGTAGGAAGAGTAAAGCCCTCTGAGTACTTTCATTTTGAAATTCTAAGAGCGTCTGATAAGATTTAGTCTAGATTTTTTGTTTGTTATTTAGCTTGAAAACAGTTAAATTGAATCTTTTTGCTAAACATTATAATCCAACTATTTCCATAAATGTACTTCCAAACATACTCCCGTTAAATACACTCTCCCTAAATTGATTTCTTTGAATAGACTCGTAATCTGCGCCGACCTCTCCTAATAAATGCTATCCCTCTAGGCCACTGATGAGCTTTCTTTTTCTTGTGTCTGTGTGTGTGTTGTGTGTGTGTGTGTGTGTGTGTGTGTGTGTGTGTGTGTGTGTGTGTGTGTGTGTGTGTGTGTGTGTGTGTGTGTGTGTGTGTGTGTGTGTGTGTGTGTGTGTGTGTGTGTGTGTGTGTGTGTGTGTGTGTGTGTGTGTGTGTGTGTGTGTGTGTGTGTGTGTGTGTGTGTGTGTGTGTGCATCTTTCCTCTCTGTGTGTGTGTGTGTGTGTGTGTGTGTGTGTGTGTGTGTGTGTGTGTGTGTGTGTGTGTGTGTGTGTGTGTGTGTGTGTGTGTGTGTGTGTGTGTGTGTGTCAGACGGCAGCGTCGGCTAAGGAGCTGGAGCAGTACCACAGTGAAGCTCAGATCTGGCTGGAGCTCCTGGAGGAGGAAGTGAAGCAGGGGGAGAACCTGAAGGAGGAGGACTTCCAGGAGGACAAGGTCCCTCGCACACAGATAATGATTTTTCTTTTCCTTTCGTATCATGTGTGCAGCTCTAAACAGAGTGTGTGTGTGTGTGTGTGTGTGTGTGTGTGGCGCAGGACTGTGAGGAAGGTGCAGTGAAGGAGTTGCTGTTGAAAGGGGAGAATCTACAGAAGAGGGCCCTGGATCAGGACAAGAGGGAGCAGATCAGGCTGAAGCAGAACAAGCTCAACAGCAAGTACAACACCGTCAAGGTAACACACACTCGGTTACACAGTGCAACACACAAATGGAGTAGAAATACAATAAATGCTGTCCTCCTTAAAGATTTAGAGAGACTTGCTACAACAACTTTATCTTTCTATATTTTGTGTGTGTGTGTAGGACCTGCGTTTGCAGAGGAACAGGAAGGCGTTGGCCATCGCTCCCCAGTGGTACCAGTATAGGAGGAAGTCACATGACCTGCTGGCCTGGCTGGACGACATTCAACGCAGCGTGGACCAACTGCCCGACCCCCCCGAGGGAGAGAGGGTCAAGGTGATAACACATTGTGCATATGTACATGGATAATAATATCTTTCTGCTATGTTTAGAAATAACCATAAAGCGTGAAATCCATTCTATTGTTTATCTCTCTCCTCCTCTTCATCCGGCTCTTCATCTCACGCTGTCTGTGTCTTTAATCTTTTCTCAAATCCTTATTCTCTTTGTTTCTCACTTCTCCTCTTCCCCTGCTTTTCCACAAATGCTTCGTTGCTTTTATTCCCTTAGGAAGACCATTTTCTGAATAATTGTTCCAGGACATCTTCCTTGTTTCTATTTAAAGAAAGTAATTGCTGATCAATTCCCTCCCCCCTGAAAAACGACAGTTTTTGTCTGGCTTTTTTCCGTGTTAGACCAAGCGTTGGAAGGAGGCTAATTACACAGTTATTTGTGAAACAGTGGAATCGTTATTTGTTTTTTATTATAGCTTATAACAGCTGAGGTTCAAAATAACTCGCAAAGTGAGTACATAATAATTATAATATTTTAATGTACTATTATATTTATATTTATATATTTTCTGATACATTTATATTTATTTAAATATGTATTCAGTCACAAAAACCTATTTTTTCTGTTAAACAACCAAAACACCCAGCTAATTAAATATGAATATGAAATACTGTATTTTATATAATTTATATAGTATTTACACCAGGCACAGATGTTTCATATGACAGAGTATGACATTCTACATACTACAATACTACTTAAAGTGTGTTATAAACCATTTTAAAGACATTACCAGACTTTTATTTTTGTATTCAGCAATTTCACTACACAACAAATACATTGATGGGAATGCTACACACTGATGGAGCACCTTTGAGCTCCATGTCCAATGTGTTGATGTGGAAAAGGCTTGACACTGGAGCCCTGGTCCCCCCTGTTTTTCTTCCCCCACCTTGACTTTGTGTGTGTGTCTTTCACTTTCAGATGGTCACTATGACATTTCGCTAAGGGGACGTCTGATTCGCTCGCCTCAGACTCACCTGTCATTGCCGCAACTGAGATTCCTCACTGTCTGTCTGTCTGTCTGTCTGTCTGTCTGTCTGTCTGTCTGTCTGTCTTTCCTTGCTTCTTTTCACACTTCACACTTCTGATGATTGTACTACTTCTCAAATGTAAATAAAGTATCACGGCATCTAATGACAGCACCACCTCCTTATTTGATATGGATTGTTGAAGTGGAGATACATACAGTATAGTATCAATATGAACCACTTGTGTATGTTTGACCCTTACAAACATGATGTCCCTTTTATCAATGTGTTGTGTCTTTGTTGGAGTGTGTGAGTGTTTTATCATTTTTACAATATATTTATCGACCGTGTGTGAATGTGTACTATTCCACATCCACATGCCTCTCTGTGCTTATCCCCCCCCTCGAGCTTATCCGATAGCGAGTGACCCCACGGTTGATCTCATCCAATAGGAAATTGGCTCAGAGTTCGACAAGAAGAAGGAGGAGCTTAACGAGGTGCATGGCTTAGCCAATCAGCTGTCAGAAGCTGGAGCCGCCAATCTAGTGGAGCCCCGCCAACTCCAGCTCAACACGCGCTGGGTTGAGGTGGAGGGCAAGTTCTTACCCTTCAAAAGACAATGTGTGAGTTTCAGTAGGCACGACTTCTATATCTACAGTACTAATACTCTACTACTTATTCCAGCTCCAAATACTAATACAACTATTTAAGGTCTGACCTGGGTTCAAGGACTCATTCCTGCACCACCCTATAACGCTAATTCCCACCAGTGCTATTTAGAAACAAAGTTATGCAACAAGTTTTGCCAGATAGAACCAAAGTTAACTTATAAGCTAACTATTGGCATGAAAGCTAATAAGCATATTTTGCTAAATGTAGGTAAGACATTTATCTAAATCTATTACAATAAATCGAGCTACATCATTTCAGTAATGCCCCTAAAAGGTCAAATAAAAAAGGTGTGAGTTGCTTTTTTTGTTTTTCTTTGCTGCATTTTCATTATTTTCTGTGTACATGTGAAGCACGCTCACATGTCTGAATCTCATTGGTTGCTCTGTCTTGCTCTGTGTCACCGCATGCCAACCAATCACATTACACCCTGGCAGTTCCCTGATCTGCCCATCACTGAAGATGTATGTATCCTGTCAACCAATCACATCAGTTGAATCAGCTGCATACACCATATGGTATACACTTGGACCAATGCACATCTGCACCGTCAGATCTCAGACTCTCAGTTATGCATTTATTCAGGCGCACTGAGAGGAATCATAAGCACGTATTAAGAGTCATCGAGAGAACCCACTCAGAACACACTCAGTGTAAGGCCTCTGAGCGGCTCCACTCAAGCTGTTTTGGCACTTTGGTGCATTGCTTTAGAACTCTTGAGCAGTAATTGGTGCACTTACTTTCCATATTCTCCAAGCTGGGTACGCGCTAATAATAGGCACCAAAACGTATGTAACACAAAGTGTCCTTGAGCAAATCACTCAATCCCTGCCAACTCCAGGGGTGTTGTGGAGCTGACCTTGTGTGGATGGACATGCGGAGAGACAACAGCCATCATATCAGATTGACATAAGACGTTTAAGAAGAATCCATTTATTCCTTTATATAAGTAATGTTACAATATGAATTCATGATATCTTAAAGGAAAGAAATAAGAATAGAGGGCCCATTGTAACCTTTCATTTGGATAATACAAAAACGTGAATATTAGTAACATGTTCCTCCTGAATTTTTATATTTTTGCGCCGCAACTGCTGCAATGTTGCCACCTATTATCATATTTTTTTAGTTTGTTATAAAGACAAAAACAGTTTAGATGTGTATTCAGTCCAAGTGGTATAGCACAAGAAAGGGAAGAGTAAACCAGATCATCAGAGAGGGAGACATTTTGAGTTTTTTTAAAACCTGGTCTGGAGTCACATTCAAGCATTTCATTCATATAACAATATACGTGTCTGGAGCAGTGGCAACATCAGATAATGCCAACATATGCTCTTCAACTCTGGTTTAGCTTAAAGATGCTGGAAGAAGCTTCCTGGTGCAACTGAGAGATTTCTGACTCACTTACCTGGGAATTAAATCTAATTCAAACACAATTCTCACATGTGTACAATGAAACAATTAACAAAGTAATACTTTGTAAGCAGAATGAGCCTCGTCAGAGTTGTGTTATTGGATCAATATTTTTGATTTTACCATTCAAATTCCAGCTGGAATAGCTCTGTGTGCAGCAGGGATACTGGGACTCTTAAAACTCTGGCCATATTTCACTTCATAACAAACATACATGTGTCAGATGTCGGATTATACTTTCTTCAATTAAGTAAAAATGGGGAAAAAAACATAAGACTGAATTTTTTTCTGAGCTAAAACTGATGAAATAACGGATGATGTCATCTGATCTCAAGCATGTGTTGTAAAATACGGTATGGAGTTAGAAAGTGGGTATTCACAAGGATGCATGGAGAAACAGTGAAGTGGCATTATGGGAAATGTAAGGCTTATGGTGTCTGACCCATACTTCAGACCAGAAATGCTTTCCACCCGTTATAGACGTTATTACTGTCACACCAGGCAAACACCGAGCCGACTCATTAAGGCCAGCAGCGATCATTAACGTTCTGTGAGGCTGCTAATAATGCTAATCTGTTTTTTATTTTGGGTTAATTACATTTTTTAATTTAAAGGCAGAAAGGAGCATAACACTGAGGTGAAAAGAACAGAGCCGATACCCAGAATCCCTCTGCACACATTGCCATGTTGAGTTTCTGTTGAGATGAGTATTGTGCATCATGGTCATGGAAATATATCATCTACTTCATATGAGGATACAAAAGTGTATTCAGAATCTATTGATTAAATATATCAAATGTGAGTTGACGCAAGCTTGGATATGATCATGATATACAATAAGGTTTAATAATGTGTTTAATTCCTGCTCAAAAAGAAACGATCTAGTGCTTCATTGTTGGAATTTATCATCTAAAATGAATCTATAATAATTCATTTTTACATTTAAACAAATATATGTATCCTTTTTTCATTGAAAATGTTAAACTGATTCAAATCTTGTCAAGACTTACATGTAATTTCACCCATGATCTTGTTTAATAATGAAGTCCCAGATCAGTTTCTATTGAACATCTGATATGTCCCCCCTTAGAGCTAGCTTTGATATGTTGCCTGTTAGAGAAGCATGATACAAAAGATATTTTTTTATATAAAGTCGTAATATGTTCCTTCTTTCTAAACTACCTCTCATCTTTGTGTGTTTGTGAATACATGCTCTTCAGGAGTACCTGATCGAGCTGCAGGCGTTGCTGCGCTCAGTGTCAGAGACGGACTTCAAGCTGAACTCTCCGGAGTACTGGCCAGCAGCGTATTATAACCTGCCGCAGCAGGACCTCTGTCTGAAGGTCAGTACTGCTGCACAGAAAACAGTTCTCAGCAATATCAAAGACATTAAAACAGAGAGTACATGCAGTCTGATAGATAGAGGGTGGGGTGCTGGACTTTGATGAGAATATTGATACCAATCAAATCTTTACAATATGATGATACAGCCAGTTAGCTTGGCATAAGGACTGGAGGCAGAGGGAAACAGTTAGCGTATTCATCTAAAGATAACTTCATCCATCTCCCACACAGGAGGTGAAGGCGAGCATTGAAGAGCTGCGGGGCCCAGTGGAGGGAGCGTTGGCCCGCAGAGAGGAGATGGTGTCGGGGGCCCGGCCCCTGGAGGGTCAGAGGATCCAGGAGACCGCCTCCCTTCTCAACACTAACTGGGACAAACTGAACAAGCTCCACCAGGACAGACTCAAGTAAGGCTGTACGGTTTTTGTGGGTTGAATATGATTTGTATATATTTGAACATATACGACATATCAAAAGATTTTTTTCTGATGTTGAAGCACGACAATGTTTGATTTGCCCTTTAAAGACAAATATTCCTCCTCTGCTTTCAACATAATTGCCAATTATTGTTTAACACTTGACAGAAGTAAGTAGGGGGTGGAGGGATCAATCAATTTTATTTGTCACATGTTATCATATAAGCTTCAACAGTCCCTTTTTGCCTTTTTAACGCTCTTCTTACATTGTCTTCTGCTTTATAATGGTCCAGTTTCCACACTGCAGCCCTTAGTTGTAGGCAGCAGTGTGTGGGAAATAATTAGCATGGACATTGATTCATCTTGTCCACATATTTTAATGACAATCTGTTTTGTGTGCGCACATCAAGGCGTTGGCAGGATTGCAACATCAAGTGGCAGAAGTTTGTGTCGGATCAGAAGGCGATGGAGGAGTGGCTGAACAACGCTGAGAGCTCTTTGAGACTGGCCGAGAGCGAGCCAGCAGCACACAAGCAGCACCTCAGGGTAACACACACACACACACACACACACACACACAATTATAAAGACAGGCTTGCACCATTGCACACACATCGCTGATTGCACCCAGAAAGCTGCTGAGTGTATTCCAGCTGTGCCTGAGTCATATTTCATCTCCAGTGTCCACCAACACTGCTGAAATGCCCTTGAGCAAGGCACAGAACTGCTTCCCTTTCTGTTTCTTAGTTTTCTGCACACACTGATTACATAAAAAGACAAATGATCTTTCACAGTGGGAAGAAGTAGCACACGAGAACAAGATGTGACATCTCATGGCATAACACGTAATATTAGGACATGCTGATATCAAAATGTGTCATCATGATTCATTTATGGTCCATTAGCACCTGATAAAATAATTACTTAAAGTATATTACGACAATAATTCCAGCCTTTATCTCTTATGTTTGTTACAGTAGTTTCATTTACTCCTGATATGCAAAACAAATGATTAAATGTACGCAGACCATGTTAATATTCCTTCTAAAAATAAGCATAAAGAATGTTATGAACTGCGTGTCCTTTTAATAATTTAGATAATGAATTCATTAAGTTGAAACTAACCCAAAAGTAGTTACAGAAAGAGTTTGATTATAATACAATAAAACTACATTTGTGTCTTGTGAATAGCACACACACACACACACACACACACAAATACACACACGTCTGCACATTGAAGGCAAGAGGAGAAAGCAGTGAGAGTCTAAAAATGCAGCGAGCCTCGACAAAGACATAATATTTTCCTTTTCAGACTTATGCAACACTATTATGTTCTCCGTTCTGACATTTCATTGTTACATCAGCCCAGAAAACTGGAAATTAAATTGAAGTATTATAGGAAGTAATTGGACACAAACAGTAGTTTAACATCACCATGACTGAGAGGAGGAATGGTTTTCACAGAGGGAAATGCACACGTTTTTGTGTGTTTCAGTAGCTGTGGTTAAACTGATGCATTCCACCTTGCATATTAAGTATTGTTACGTGTATGTGTGTGTGCATAAGTGTTTGTTTGCATCATCAGACATGCCCAGTCCACTTTAGGCTGCTGTGATCAGCTCTCAATGTCCACCTGCACAGACGAGGATGCACCGTCCAAGTGCCACTCAAGTGCCAACATATGTGTGTGTGTGTGAGTGTGTGTGTGTGAGAGACAGAGAACCATCTGCTACCTCAACGCACAAGCTGCCACCTGAACCACATCCAATCCTGATTCCCTACACACACACTCAGATATATTGAATGAAGTACTGTTGATACACTTGTGGGAGGGATATATTCAGGTTCATTCTTTAGAAACTACAACTCTGAATGGTTGCAGAAAAAAGATCCCATTACTCGAAGCATTTACAGGAATAGTTTGATGTTTTAAGAAATATAATTATTCGATTTCTTCCACAGAGGGTTACATATAACAGATTGTAAAAAGGATCATGTGTGGTTAGTAATATTTGGCTATACAGATACAATTTGATTTGATGAATAAATTATATCCCCTGAACGCAACTTCTCAACCTTCTGTGTGTGTGTGTGTGTGTGTGTGTGTGTGTGTGTGTGTGTGTGTGTGTGTGTGTGTGTGTGTGTGGTGTGTGGTGTGTGTGTGTGGTGTGTGTGTGTGGTGTGTGTGTGTGTGTGTGTGTGTGTGTGTGTGTGTGTGTGTGTGTGTGTGTGTGTGTGTGTGTGTGTGTGTGTGTGTGTGTGTGTGTGTGTGTGTGTGTGTGTGTGTGTGTGTGTGTGCAGGACCTGACGGAGGCCATCCCTCTGCAGGAGGTGGTGCTGGACAGGGTGATCTCTGCGGGAGAGGACATCAGCCAGTTGAGCGCACCGGACGATTCCTCTCGGCTCCGGACGCAGCTCAAATCAGTCAACACTCGCTGGGCCAACGTCTGCCTGCAGCTCAACGAGCGCAAGAGGAGGTGTGTGTGACTCTTTGAAATGTCCCTCAAAGAAAATTATTTTGGAACACTTTCTTTTTAATGTGTCATGTATGAGTTCACAGCAGAGAAAAGCCTGCTGTTTTGTATATGTCTACATTTCTGTTGTTGCAATATATTGGTCTTTGTTTACCTTATACAACATAGCCATCACTTTGCTCCATGAGGGCATTTCAGAACATGTCTCACTCGTCTCCCCCTTCAGGTCTGCAGAGGCCCGCTCGGCGACGGCGGGGCTGCAGGAGAACATGGGCTCCATGCTGGGCTGGCTGGATAAAGCGGAGGGGGTCCTGGCCATCCCGCTGCAGCCCGCCGAGCCTCAGCACATCAGAGACACTCTGGGGAAAGTCCAGGTAGCATCAGGACACAACACAGCATTTATAATGAGCCGCTGAGCTGTGTGTGTGGGTGTGACGATCAGCGTAATTCAATTTAGCTGCCGTCAAAGTGTAAATGAGATTCAGCTCTTTATTACTACACCAAGCCTTTAAAACATGTGTGTTAATTTCAGTGGCGAGCCGTGACTTTTATACCTAGGCCCTCTGACCCCCTCCCTCGAAAAAAAAGAAGAGATATTACGTCACAGTGTATACTTCAGCGGAATATCAAAACAGCGGCCCGGGGTGCAAAACGCATCAATGACAGCGACCCAATACCACACAAAACAACACCATTTATATAAACACCTATCATGACAGGGCACCCACAGCCAAGTAACAATTACAAATGAATTAAGTCGGCACGGCGGCCCACATTGAAAATGACTTAGGCCTACCTCTGATGATCAAATCACTGAAACACAAAGTCCATCCTCCTGTCCTTTTGGATGAAGCACTTGCGGGTCATTCAGCTGATCCTTTACCACTCCAGTTTATCATTGTAACTCAATCTTGAAAATGACTCGGTTAATAATTTCGCAACGATGTCATCACTATCACTGAAGTGAGCAATCATGAACGAACTTGTGCTAATTATAAATCTATCGATCATAAATCTATCGATTAGATTTATGATTCGAAAATAATAAAAGTAGGTAGACATGTGGATATTATCCGGCTGAACAAAACGTGCATTTATCTAACCGGTTCGTTTTCCACAGACCTTATTTCAAGCTATCTTCTAAAATCCTATGGAGAAATCCCACTGCTTTCTGTCGAGGGAATCCGAGCGAAGCTTACTTCCGGGTTTTAGGACGCGTCACTGCAGCTCTTGCATAGACCTCACAGCGGGCGGAACCTGTCATAAAGTCCGCGAAAATAAAGCCCGCCCATTTAGAGGGAAGATATGATTGGTCAATTGTACTGTCATTTGACATTACTCTCTCATTGCGTTACTATAGCTGGCCCTCTGTGAATGTAGAGAGGGACCAACAAGCTCTCCCGTCTTCACATAACTCGCAGAGACGGCATTTAACCATTCACATTCCAACAGAAACTGAACAGGCAGATTCGAAGGATTTATTTCTTTGGAAATATTATTTTAAATACAATTAAATCAAGTTATTTTTGGTAAAACTTTTTTTTTTTTTTATGTTTTCAAATATTATTTTTTAGAATATCTTAGGCACTCACAGAGGTCCTAGAGGGCGCTGACGGCTCGCCACTGGTTAATTTAAATTCAAAGCGTATGATGGTTTCAAATTAGATGCTATAATGTTTCATTCTGAAATCCAACCTTATTTGTTGGTGTGTTTGTGTTTACATAATTAGATTGGAAGAGCTGTGTCCTACTTTAAGCGGCTGCAATGGTTTCTTACTGAATTCACCGTGTGTGTGTGTGTGTGTGTGTGTGTGTGTGTGTGTGTGTGTGTGTGTGTGTGTGTGTGTGTGTGTGTGTGTGTGTGTGTGTGTGTGTGTGTGTGTGTGTGTGTGTGTGTGTGTGTGTGTGTGTGTGTGTGTGTGTGTGTGTGTGTGTGTGTGTGTGTGTGTGTGTGTGTGTGTGTGTGTGTGTGTGTGTGTGTGTGTGTGTGTGTGTGTGTGTGTGTGTGTGTGTGTGTGTGTGTGTGTGTGTGTGTGTCAGGCACGCGTAGAGGAGCTTCCTGCCAGGAGTGCGCTCATGGGGGATCTGAACATGAAGCAGAGGCAGATAACACTTCCTGCTGACAGACAGAACGACGTCAGGGTCATCAACAGTCGCTGGGCTCAGGTCAGCAGCCGTCACTAAGGAAACCACAGCACAACAGTGTTTTGTTCATATGTAGCTAATCAGAACAAAGCAGCAGCAAGCTAGAATCATATCAGTTAGAGACTAGCTGATAAACATTTAAGAGAATTTAGAGGCAAACATATGGCAAAGCTATGTAAGGGATAATTATCACATTATCCCGCTTATTACACGGCCACATTCTCAACAAAGTAACGACATGACTCCCAATATGAATTGAAATGCTTTTATGGATTTAGAAAATGATTTTATTGATTTAAAAAATAGTTGTATGTATTGATTTAAATTGACATGCATCCGCTAAGAAAAATAGTCCGTTGATACTGTTTGAACTAACGTAGCAACTGCAGGAAGTGCTTCGATAGCGTTTTTGAGGAGCGTTTTGATTACAGATTTGAAAACATCGCTGCTTGCTTTAAAAGTAGCACAATTCATTATGTCAAACCTTGGAAAGTATCTAGATATCCCTGCCCTAATGCCAAAGGAACTGCACACTGAATATGTGTTGCCGTTCGATGTCTATGTCTGGACCGCTGCGTAAAAAGGAGGGTTTCTGCCCGTTACTTCTCCGCTGTTTTCTTGTCGCTCTTGTCTTGTCAGTTAGAAAAGCAAACTGCATGCAGTTTGCTTTTCAGCCAAACTGTATACAGTTAAATCGAACGGACTTCTTTGTGCAGATGTGAGCGTCCTTAACAACGGTCAATAAGTCCTTGACAGCGGTCTGTCTGTTCTGGATTAACAACGTGTCACGTGTTCTGAATTGACCAATCAGAATCAAGTATTCAACTAAGCCATGTAATCAACCTGAATAAAACCCATCCTGTCTTTGTGTAGGTGTCTAAGGCTCTCCCAGAGCGTCAGCTGGAGATCGAGGCTCTGCTGAGGGAGCTGGAGCAGCTCCAGGGTCAGCTGGATAGCCTATCAGCCTGGGCCTCCATCACCAGAGCCAAGCTGGAACAAAGCCCTGATGAGCCCCGGGTAGGACACACACACAAAAATTCATGTGAGTCCTTTTGAGTCAAACGTTCTATTCTAACTGTCTGTTGTTTCTCCAGCTCGTTGAGGAAGTGCAGGTGAAGCAGCCAGAGGTGGAGGCAGTTCTGGAGCGAGCCGATCAACTGTTCAAGGAGAATCCTCCCAACCAACAAGACAAGGTGATGGACATGTTTGTGGCATATATGTGTGAATTTGCCATATCAAAATAAAAGCCTTTGATTGCATCTGTTCAATGTTTATCTGTGAAAGTCCATTATCGCCAACCAGTTGTTCTTAATTTTGGTTTATGTTGTGACAGGTGAGGTATGTGAAGCTCAGGGAAGACTGGACTGTGACCCTGGAGCTGCTGCGGCAGCGTAAGGAGAGGATGGCCGCTCTGCTAATAGCCAAAAAAGCCAGTAAGACTTTGAGCCTGTGTTTTTCTTCAGTTGCTGTGTCAGTTGAGGTCTATGCGTTTGTGTGTTAGAGAGCATTGATGGATAAACTGTTGTGTTTTTGTTTTTCCCAGCTGAAACTCTGACAGGAAGTTCCCAGGCTGAATCTGCAGCTTTGGCTCAGTTCAACAAGTCCTGGGCCGAGCTCACCGATTGGCTGACAATGCTGGACAACATGGTGCAGAACAAGCAGGTGGTGGTGGCCGACCTGGAGGACATCAACGAGAACATCAGCAGCCTCAAGGTAGAAAAAATACGTCAGTAAATACCCCACTGCTTTTTGTCGAGGGAACCCTTTCGATGCTAATGTCTCTGTCGCCTTCAAAAATACTTCACCTCAACCACTCTATAACCAAATAAATTACAAATAATGATCATGTGTTTTTTAGTTGTCCCTGCAAGAGATGGACCAGCGTCGCCCACTTCTGGAGAGACAGGTCACAGCAGCTCAGAACCTGAAGAACAAAACCAGCAACCAGGACACCCGCAACGCTATCACTGAACGCAGTATGCCTCTCACACACACACACACAGTAAATACACACATAAGTCTCATGTAAAATATATTCTTCAAAATCAAAGCAAAGAAAAGCACAATCTTACTCATTCTCATCGTAATTTTCATAAAAACAAACTTTGCCATTCTCTTTCTGTCTGTCATTGTAGTGGACAGGCTTCAGGCTCACTGGGAAGACTCCCAGACCAAACTCTCAGACAGGACGAAGCAGCTCCACAACATGCTGCAGGACTCCACCGATTGGCTGGATGCCAAAAAGGAAGCTGACCATTTCATCAAGCTGGCCAGTGAGAGGCTGGAGTCCTGGCAGGAGATCACGTACACGGTGGAGGCGCTGAAGAGACAAAACTCTGAACTGAAGGTCTCAAACGTGTTTCTAAATGAGCAAAAAATAATCTAGATGCACACACACAGTTTTTCACCTTGAATCAAGTGAGATTCGTAAACAGATGGCTGAAAAATACGATACTACTCACACAGGGGATGACTCAAAAGACATTTATAAGGCGAGGGTGTATCATCGCCTTTCAGAATTGTTTCAGTTTGTATTTTCTTCTTCCCTCATATGGTTCACAGTCCTTTGTGAGGGAGCTGCAGCAGTGGCAGGGGCAGGTGGAGGAAACCAACGCTCTGGCTGACAAACTGCTCACGCTGTACGCCAACGATGACACACACAAGGTCACCCAGGTCAACGACAACATGATGGCCACCTGGACACACATCACCAAGCGGTAACGAGACACACACTACCTGTACAAAACATCTCTCTACAACTTATCAAAGGAAAAACAATCGATGTGGAGTGAGCCACTTGTATTCCTGTTTGTGCACGTAGTCTACCTTGGTGACATTTTGTCCTGTTTCTGCAGTGTCTCGGACAGAGAGGTGGCTGTAGAGGAAGCTCTGAAGCTGCTGCAGCAGTTCTACCTCAACCTGGAGAAGTTCCTCAACTGGCTGACGGAGGCGGAGACCACCTGCAACGTGCTGATCGGCGCCACCAACAAGGAGAGGATGCAGGAGCAGCCGGACGCAGCCCGCAACCTGCTGGCTCAGTGGAAGGTAGAACACTGTCAGATACTCCTGTTCCTACACTGTGCACACAGGACAACACCTTATTAAAGGGGCCCTATTCTTCAAACCCTCAGGTTCATATCAGTATTTAGTCCCTACGGTGACATGTTCACATACTGTAGCACCTCTTTTCCCCCTCTGTCTGAAACCAGCTGCATTGCAACAGTGGTGATGCATCTCTCATTCGGAATTACTAGAGCACACTGTGGGAAGCAACACAAGGTTTTTGAATTATTATTTGCTTTACAACTTTTTGTATACCTCTTACCATTCGACCCTGTTCATGGCAGTGCATATGCCTTAATGGAGCAAAGCAATAAACCCATTACTTGTTAGTGGCTGCGGGAATAAAGAGTTATTTGGAACAGAAGATGAATAATTTCACCGAGGTTACAGCAAGATTTAAAATTCACCACAGAAACAGTGCTAAAAGATAATTAAATATTAATGTTGTGCACAACCTGTCATATTGGATTAGACATTTCCAGTTTATGACCCGAGTTTGCTCTTCCTCGCCCTGGCTGGTATGACAGGAATGCTGACACGGCAGCATCGAGAGATCTCATTGGCCAGTCAGTGCCTTGCAGACAAATGCAAAATCCCCCTACTGCATTGTGGGTGTTGAAGGGAAAGCTCTGTTCTGCACGAGAACAAATTCTGACCCTCGGCCTTACCCTGCGCCCACATACTGGTGGAACAGCGTGTGCACGAAACACACACTTACTATAAAGGAAAGCAGCATTTTGGAAATTAATTTCCACACACACACACACACACACACACACACACACACACACACACACACACACTGTTCTGTCAGTACAACAGCAGCACTGTATGCAGAGCTGAGATAGTCTTCTGTGTCCAATTATAATGGCGGACGGCAACACGGAGTAGCATCCAGGGAGCGCACACACACTCTCAGGCTGCAACGCTGCATGCAGATAACGTTTAATTGGAAAACGAGCGCACTCATCCTTTTATGCCTCCTTTCAAGTTCTCTCCTCCTCTTCTCTCCATCTGCCCCCTGTTCTTAACTAACTCTCCCTCCCTTCCTCTTCATCTCCAAATCTCTTTGTCACACGCGCACATTTAAACACTTATGCTTCCACATTGGGAGCTAATCTTGAGGGACTAGGAAGCAGAAGATGACGCCTTTTGTTCTTCACGTCTAGTTCTGGGAGTAAAGTTTTGAGGATGCTGCGCAGGAAGGTCTACAATGTTCAGGTTGGGAAAGAAAATCAAGCGCTGGTCTTTTGCAAATAAGCCTTGTATTCCTAAATGTTTATATGGAAGAATGTGTCATCAATCGAAAATAAATCAGTATATTAAGCTAAGCTAATTGTTGAGTGTTTGTGATGTGGCGTTTAGATTCAATAACAACACTACCACACATACGGGAGAGGAAGTGCAACGTGTGATGTCTGAATTTTGTTTTCAAATTTAAGTCAGATTTGAGAGATTAAAGTCAGAATTCTGAGATGGCACTGAGGCTCCCACTATAACCAACCGAACAAATAAATAAAAAGTAATATTCTTAATAAAACATTTTTGGTTTTATTCGAGTTGTATAAGTCCCCTCCAGTATCTCTCATTTTTCCCAAAGACACCCCTAAAGAACGGTTGTTTTTATTGTTTTTAAGATCATTATTAAATTACAGTTTATGCAGTGATAACAAAATGTATATGCATCAGGAGCAATTGTATCAACGAAACCAAAAACAATTGTTTAATCGCTTGTTGGATCATATGGCCTGTTAAATACAATGAGAGAAATGACATGCTTATTGACGACACAAAGTTAAATGAATACAAATAACTGGAAGATTAATGGATCTGTCAATGTTAGTGTTTTAGAAATAAAAAGTGTATATTTAAACTAATATATTCCTTTTAAAACGTGGCACTTGATTCCAATACTTTTTATTTTACTTACCATAATGTAATTCAATGGTAAAGCTAAATGCCAGCCATATTAAAGGGAAATTGCATCAACCAAACAAGAAGTGTTCACAGAAGTTCAGCTTTATTCCTTTTTCACTCTGCTAAGATTGGTTTATAGTACCTTTGTAAGATGCATCAAAAGTTTCCTTAATGCATAATTTCTCTGAAAGATGTACACACAGGTTAGACCACCGCTCACTGAATAACGCATTTTGACATTTACGTGCTACAAAACGTTCCATTTCTAATACATTAAGCCCTTTATTACGTCGCAATCCTGCTGATGGCTGTAAATCACTCTTTCTGAAGCCATTACTCATCTCTAATTCAAGAAAGGTTGCTGCTATTACCAGGGAAGTATTTACTACTACACTACTATCTTTTCCCCCCTGACTCATGCTTTGTGTGGCCAGGAGCTGGAGGCAGAGATTGACGGCCACACAGAGATGTACCACTCCCTGGATGAGAACGGCCAGAGGATCGTGTCCTCGCTGCGGGACTCTGGGGACGGGGCCCTGCTCCAGAGACGCCTGGACAACATGACGCAGCGCTGGAACGACCTGCGCAACAAGACCCTCAGCATGAGGTGAGGAGGGGATCAGTCTTTACTGCAAAATCATGGAGTTCCTATGAAGTACGAGAAACAAAAAAAAGCCTGTGTGTGTTTCAAGGGCCCATCTGGACTCAGAGATGGCCCCGTGGAAGAGGCTCCACATGTCGCTCCAGGAGCTGCTGAACTGGCTGAGGCTGAAAAGTCAACAGCTGGAGAAGGAGCCGCCTGTAGGGGGCGACGTGCCCACCGTGCAGACACAGCTGGACACTAACCGGGTAGGAGGACACACACTCTACGTGGGACACAAACAGACACGCTGCTTGTCTCTGCAGCTTTTTTGTTGAAAAGCTAACATTCTGCTGATTCTGGAGTTGTTGAATGTTCATGAAGTTGTTGCTTTTTTTACTAACAATGTGTACAAAACAACATAGATGTTGTTGTGAGCGCTGTTGTGAGCGTTTGGCCACTGTAGGATTAACAACAAATGACATCATTTGTAGTTATCTTTTTTACTTTGAATCTGGGGCAGGGTAGATCAAATTGGGGGTCTTACATACAGGACATTTTTGGCTTTTATTTTCCTTAAAGTTTAGCGGTCTCATTGCAAAAAGCAGCCATTTACATATGAGGTAGACTTCCTGTCTCTCTGACCACCATTATGCAAATCTAATTCTCAGAATAAATGGGAAGTATAGTCAAATGAAAACCCCATTTTGTGCAGCGTTTTATGCAAAAAGCGAGATGATTGACTTCGCTGATTTGGTCATTTCATGTATAAAACTACAATGAGTCTGCCAAATGGTGAGTACATGCATATAAGCATTAGGAAAAGGCTTTTAGTCAAAGTATTTCATAATAAATGGATAAATGTTTTAGCTTGAGGGGCTATTCGGGCACAAAGACATTTAAATCTAGCATTAGTGATGTTTGTGCGTTAAACCACACACGGAGTACATACAACATTTCTAACAACCTTTTAAACATGTCTTTTATCATAATGATGTAAAGCACTCGCTACATCTTGCAGTGATGTGTTGACTCCCAAAGCTGTTCATTTTTGCATTTCTGCAGCAGGTGTTCTAAAGCTATTTTATCTTGGGGCCTAAAAATGTAAATGTCCCAGGGACCCAAGCTCATGAATGCCTAAACGACCAGGCAGAAACACAACTACTTCAGTATATCACTCCCAACCTTTCTTTATAACCTGTTATTGATGCGGATAATAAGTTGTGTGTACATTCGGTGTGTGTTCTCAGGGTTTAAGGAGGGAACTGAGAGCCAAAGAGCCAGTTGTGACCAAAGCTCTGGACGATGTGGGGGTCTTCCTGTCTGAGCTGCCCCGAGAAACACCCTCACCTGAGCAGAGAGGTAACACACACATTCTAAAAAGGATTCAATCCGGACAAGTCTGCATATAGGCTTTCCTTCCATGTTTCTAACAGTGGTTACATTGTCCTATTTCAGTCCTTCAGACTTGTTTTGATGTTTTTTTTAAGTTGGATGTACAGATTAAGAATGTAAGCATTGTAAGCAGGACAAGCTCTTTCTAGGTTAGGCTATTATAACTAATCCTATTCCCATTTAATTTAGAAAACACAGAAAATTGCTCATTTATTACCAGGGCAACGCCTTGATGGACTTGCAACACTTCAAGTCCTACATTAAAGTACGGTGGCCGTGAAGGTCAAAACTCAAGAACTTTTATTCAGAAAACACAAACCTTTTAATCAGAATATGAAATAATTCATCTCGGGGGACATTTTGGAAATTAGAGAACACAAAAAAAACATTTCAGAAAACTGAATTACATTTTAGAAAACACAACAAAATGTCAGAAAACACACAAAAAAACACCTCACAAACATTTGGAACAACACATACAAATGTGACCTTCAGGGCCACCGTATGAAAGGAAAACATGAAGTAAATTTAACAGATCTGTCTCTTCTCAAGACATAAAGCTCCTTTTCTTTTCATCTCTGACTCACATATTGAACTTTGGACCCTAGCAACAGCCTGGTAACAAACAGGGGTTAACGCACACACACACACACACACACACACACACACACACACACTTTCCCGCAGCACCCTCTACACCATGGCTGCAGCCCGGTTACCAGGCTTGCAGAAAACAGCTGAACTTTAACTGTGGGCCATTAAACCCATTCAACCAGCAACTCAAAAACACTCAGAGTACACAGAAAGAAAGAATGAACTCCAGCTGCTAATCACCGAATGGAAACAAGCACTTACTCCCTTTTAGAAAGTATTCCAGACTCTGCGATCTGACCTTCACATCGGCAGCGTTTGGGGACATCTAAAAAAGCTGCATTGACACAGCGCTTTAGAGTATATGACATTTTGCTTGGTTTAATTTCCTTAAAGATAACCAGTGTCTCCAAAAAAAGACTGAGTGCTTTGACATATAAATGAGACGCTCTCTCAGGAGCTGGCCTTTATTGGCACAGTTAATGTTTATGCTTTAAGAGAGGCTTTTAAACACAATCATCAATGCGAGTTAAAAGTGTGAATGAGTAAAGACATATAATGCAAACTGCAGGTGCTTTTTTCTTATATGGAATGATGATCATTTTCTCCTCATTGGGACCCACAGTTGTTGGTAAAAGTTAAGTGGACATTCATTACATACTAATCTGCGCATATGATGTAAGATATGTTCTTTGCCTCAGACATCAGCCCGGAGGAGCGTGCTCAGAACGTGGGGCGAATCCTCCGCAAAGAGGCAGACGACGTGGTGACCAAGTGGGACCGGCTGAACATCGACTGGGCCGACTGGCAGCGGAGGCTGGAGCTGGCCCTGGAGCGGCTGATGGACCTCCAGGAGGCCGAGGACCTGCTGGACGGACAGCTGAGGCAGGCCGAGATGGTGAGGGAGGCATGGGAACCTGTGGGCGACCTGCTGATCGACTCCCTGCCGGAGCACATCGAGAGAGTCAAGGTCAGATGGGGTGCCTTTAAATGAAACATTTAGGAAAATGTAGACACCCTTTTCAGCAATCAACCATTAAAGGGAACACATTATGATCATTTTCCTGTTAATATTTGGTTGTTGGATTTCTGCCAGAGCATGTTTGCATGCTTTAATGTTTTTTTTTTTTCCTACTGATCGTCTTAATATGCCCATTTTATCCCTCTGCCTGAAATTCGTTTAAGAGCCTGTGGAAAAGCCAAGTCTGATCTGATTGGCTAGCGAGAAAAAATTGAAAAGGAAGTTATCAACACATGCATAAGCACTGAACAAGTTTTCTAATGATATGTCTGCTTTAATGTTACACTGGTAGTGATGTTGCATGCATCGTACTTCGACCTGTCAGTGTAACACACATCAGAAGCATTAAACAAGCAGCAGAGTTGAGTTTACATAATGGAGGCATCTGTTTCTCACTGTTAGAGCTGTTGAGGTGAGACTGAACCGGTGTCTTCTAACAACCTGTCTGTGCCCCTACTGTCCTCTCACCATCGTGTGTGTGTGTGTGTGTGTGTGTGTGTGTGTGTGTGTGTGTGTGGTGTGTGTGTTGTGTGTGTGTGTGTGTGTGTGTGTGTGTGTGTGTGTGTGTGTGTGTGTGTGTGTGTGTGTGTGTGTGTGTGTGTGTGTGTGTGTGTGTGTGTGTGTGTGTGTGTGTGTGTGTGTGTGTGTGTGTGTGTGTGTGTGTGTGTGTGTGTGTGTGTGTGTGTGTGTGTGTGTGTGTGTGTGTGTGTGTGTGTGTGTGTGTGTGTGTGTGTGTGTGTGTGTGTGTGTGTGTGTGTTGCAGGAGTTCCAGGAAGAGATCGCTCCCATCAAGGACGACGTTGTACACATGAACCAGTTGGCGTCCACTTTCGGTCCACACGACATCCAGCTGTCGCCTAGCAACCTGGAACGCATCGAAGATCTGAACACGCGCTGGAAGCTGCTCCAGGTAAAAGACAAAGCCACCCCCCCCCCCCTCCTGCTGCGGCCTCGCCAGGTCTGAGACTAAAAGGAATCCCCCTGCCGTGATGAATTGAAAATATTGCGTTTGTGTTTCTCGCTATGGCCAATACTGAGTATATACTGAGATCTCTTCTACCACAAACATGCACAACACTTTAACATGCGACAAAATCCAATGCTTGACAGGTACACTACAATACACACACACTGCATGTGTTGCTGATCAAAGGCAGCGCAGGGTGTGCCTCCATCAGTCTCAATATAAACCCAGGTGCAGCCATGCTGGATGTCAGACAGTGATTGTTACTGGGGGTGTCACACAGAGCCAATCTGCTGCCAGGGAGACAAGCTGATGCAGATTCCTGGGCAGAGACGGGCACCACGGTGACACCATGGTGACGGGACCAGCCGGTCTGTCACTATATATATATATATATAATAAATATTTAAGACAGGCTCAGTTTCCTTTTAATGACCTCATGAGCATTTACATTAAAAAGCATGTTAAAGTCAAATCAATGTAGTAAGGCTCAAGTTTTTTTTTAAAGTAGGAATAATCGTGAAAGATTTGTACTTGTATGTATTTAAATGTTGGAACCTTGATCAATAGATTGCTCTCTCTGTTTACACTGATGTGCAGCAGCTGATACACAATTGTAAAAAGAGAATCAAGTATCTCATTTGGCCAGAAAAAAGGATTTGACGGCCAGTGTGTGAAGACTCAGTTTCCATTGCAGGTGGTTCATTGTGAGCGGGAATTATGGTGTGTGTGTGTGTGTGTGTGTGTGTGTGTGTGTGTGTGTGTGTGTGTGTGTGTGTGTGTGTGTGTGTGTGTGTGTGTGTGTGTGTGTGTGTGTGTGTGTGTGTGTGTGTGTGTGTGTGTGTGTGTGTGTGTGTGTGTGTGTGTGTGTGTGTGTGTGTGTGTGTGTGTGTGTGTGTGTGTGTGTGTGTGTGTGTGTGTGTGTGTGTGTGTGTGTGTGTGTGTGTGTGTGTGTGTGTGTGTGTGTGTGTGTGTGTGTGTGTGTTACCTACAAATTCAGGTCACTTAGTTCATTCACAGAGTTTTGTCGTGCCTCAAAAGGTCGAAGCTGATTGGTTGGCGCGGGGACATCTTGCAATCTGAGTCATTCGGACAAATTCTTCCTCAACAATCCCACTCCTCTCGTTTGTACGAATCTAATTAGGTTACCGTGGATATGGGGAAAAGGAACTCAGGCAGAAATGGATTGGGTGAGGTGGACTCCAAGGTAATTTTATCCATTGGTTCCATGTCATCAAAACCCAACCCAAAAAAAGAACTGGTCATTACCGTCATAGCTTCGTCTGTTCTCATCGCATACCATGAATCACACACACAAACAGACACACACATACACCACACACACACACCCCTGACAATGTGTCATCCATCTTCTTTTGGTTGTGGATGAAAATAATTTTTTTTTGACTTCTTTGGTTGGAAGTTGAGACCCTACCGTTTCCAAGAACACTGTATTCATTTTGAATGAATGTGTCTCTAATCAGAGTCTGCCAGAGCTCTGCATGCCGGCCCGAGCTGCACGTGTTGCCTGGAAACGCATAGATCATTGAACATCATACTGAATGTAGGCTGAGTTGAAATCCATTTGAGTATTGACCACTAGCCTTTCTCGCATTTCATCTTCAAACTGCTGTATTATGGCTGACAGAAGCTACGTTTTGCAGGGTAGGGTCTGTGGGGCAGTAGATTCATGTGCTGCCTCCTACAGATCCTACTGATTTAGAACAATTATTTAAAATCCATCTAGATCTGAAGGAGGCTCGCAAGTGATCCTCTCTGATTCCTTCACTACAAATGATATTATCTCCACCATGCTTGTCTTTGTGTACTTCTTGGAGTATATCATGTGTATTCATGTGACACAAAGTGTATTCCTACCATGGCTTTATGAATGTATTCATCGCTTTGAGGAAGCATATGGGCTGGAAGTTTCCATGTGATTCCTCGGATTATATTTCATCTTTTCCTAGGAAATATGGATTTCTCACCCTTTGATTTTAAAGTATTCTCATTTCATGCTGTCAAATTAGTCATTAGCGCATGAGAATCCTGATCTTTTAATTTATCTTTGCATTTATTTTTATATTTCACCTTCAGATGTCCATCAGTGAACATCTGAAGCAGCTGACAGATGCTCACAGGGACTTTGGCCTTCTGCACGGTGAGTAACACACACTCACACACCAGTTGAAAGTGGGTGTAAGAAAATGTGTTAGACTAAATGAATCACTTAGTGGCACTCAATAAGTGATGTGTTTATTAGTTTGAGAGAGAGAGAGACACAGCACTCAACTGTCACTCAAGTAACTGAATAAGTGAAGAGGGAAATAGTTTTTAAAGACTCGTCTGGTTGCTAATTAGTGGATTGATTTACTTTAATTTTGGGTATAAAAACATTATTCTTAAAAAACAAACATAAAACTGCCTGACACATGTTGGGATGATCTCACACACATCCAATACTCGAGTGGATGATCATTCCATAAGAACAACTAGTTTCTCATTATGCTGTTCTCCTTTGGGTCTTAACACTTACTCTGGGGAAGTGACTATGTTAATGATGTCATTATATAACTGTCATTCTGACGGAAAGCTTGAGGGTGTAGCAACAATATCACATTTTGACCATTTGCTTAGCAGAGCTTGGTGAAGGTTCTAATCTTTGTCAAACTAAAATGTTTAAAAAATACATACAAATTATTACTTATTATTATGATTCAAAGGTTTTACTGTCATATATGCACAGGAGCTACAGTGCAGTTTTGGCATTGGAAATCTGAAGTATAACAGAAATTAAATACCGTACGGCAGAATCAAATAGTCCATCCATCCATCTTCTCCCGCTTATCCGTGGTCGGGTCGCGGGGGTAGCAGTTCCAGCAAAGAGCCCCAAACTTTCTTTTCCCTGGCCACATCAACCAGCTCTGACTGGGGGATCCCAAGGTGCTCCCAGGCCAGCGAAGAGATATAATCCCTCCACCTGGTCCTAGGTCTACCCCTTGGTCTCTTCCCAGCTGGACGTGCCTGGAACACCTCCCTAGGGAGGCGCCCAGGTGGCATCCTAACTAGGTGCCTAAACCACCTCAACTGGCTCCTTTCGACGCGAAGGAGGAGCGGTTCAACTCCGAGTCCCTCCCGGATGACCGAACTTCTCACCTTATCCCTAAGGGAGACGCCAGCCACCCTGCGGAGAAAACCCATCTCGACCGCTTGTATCCGCGATCTCGTTCTTTCGGTCATGACCCATCCTTCATGACCATAGGTGAGGGGTAGGAACGAAAATGGCCCGGTAGACAGAGAGCTTTGCCTTCTGGCTCAGCTCTCTTTTCGTCACAACGGTGCGGTAAAGCGACTGCAGTACCGCTCCCGCTGCTCCGATTCTCCGGCCCATCTCACGCTCCATTGTTCCCTCACTCGAGAACAAGACCCCGAGATACTTGAACTCCTTCACTTGGGGTAAGGACTCATTCCCTACTTGGAGTGGACAGTCCATCGGTTTCCTGCTGAGAACCATGGCCTCAGATTTGGAGGTGCTGATCCTCATCCCAGCCGCTTCACACTCGGTTGCGAACCGATCCAGTGAGTGCTGAAGGTCGCAGACCGATGAAGCCATTAGAACCACATCATCTGCAAAAAGCAGTGGTGCAATCCTTAGTCCACCGAACTGCAGACCCCCTCCCCCACGACTACGCCTCGAAATCCGACCCATGTATATTACAAACAGGATTGGTGACAAAGCGCAGCCCTGGCGGAGGCCAACTCTCACCGGAAATGGGTCCGACTTACTGCCGAGGACCCGGACACAGCTCTCGCTTTGGGAGTACAGAGATTGGATGGCCCTGAGTAGAGACCCCCTCACCCCATACTCCCGCAGCGCCTCCCACAGTAACTCCCTGGGAACTCGGTCATACGCCTTCTCCAAGTCTACAAAACACATGTAGACCGGATAAGCGTATTCCCAGGCCCCCTCCAGGATCCTTGCGAGAGTAAAAAGCTGATCCGTCGTTCCACGACCAGGACGGAATCCGCATTGTTCCTCCTCAATCTGAGGTTCGACAATCGGCCTGACCCTCCTTTCGAGTACCTTAGAGTAAACTTTCCCGGGGAGGCTGAGTAGTGTGATGCCTCTGTAATTGGCACACACCCTCTGATCCCCCTTTTTGAAAAGGGGAACCACCACCCCGGTCTGCCACTCCTTCGGTACCGTTTCCGGAATCAAATAGTGCTTTTTCTAATCATATATACATATGTGGGTTGATAAATGTGCTGTAAAATATGAATACCTATGAATTATTTAACTTGATAGAGATCATTTGGCATATTTCCAATGTAAGTACAGTTTGCTGACCAGCAGTTTTTCAGCAAATGAACGTTCAAAGATATAAAGCACATTTACAGTCTTCGATTCTTACAGTCTTTTTTGGCTTGAAATCTATTATCAAAGGAGCAGAGATATCATTTTTTTCCAGCAGCAGCAGATTCAATTAACGAGAATCCCCCAAAAAATGAAACCAAATCGAAAGCAGCCGCAAGCAATAGCTGTTTCTCTTGCTCTTGATTAAAAATGGATTCAAAGCACCACAGGGGGGCTTGTAATAAGAAAACAAGTAGAAGCAAAAAGTGAAATCAACACTTCAGATATAAATGAAGTGGGTAAATAGCAATGACACAATCAGGTCAGATGGTGGAACAGATTGGAGAACAGCCCCCACATGATATAATATCGTAATATCCCTTCTATTTAAAAAATGTCTAATATTCCCATAGTCACATTTGATCGTGCATTAATGTTCCTATTAACTTTATAATTGAGCTATATTAAAAATAACAGGACAGATTAAGACTGGGGGGCTTAAAATTAAAAAAAAGGAACACTGTTAATTGACACGTTGTTCATATCTTACTGCTATGCATGTGTTCTGGCACTTGTCCCACGATGCATCGTTCTGTTTTTAACTGCAGCAAATGTTACCCGTGAGGCACAATAATACAGCGGGTAGTTTCAGCCAAGCGATCTGATTGGTCAGACAGGCGTTCCAACTGTGCTGTTGATTCCCAGAAAGCTTGGTCTGCTTTAGTGGTTGCTCTGCCAACTGTTGGAGGCATAATAACTTGGATAATTAGCAATATTTCTCATGTTTTTCATTATCATGTAGATTACTTTGAAGAAAATGATTCATGATGTTTTCGTAGCTGCTGCATACACACTTCCTGGGTGGGCATGCGGCTGTAAAATGTGTCTGTGAAAAATCAAAGGGGCCCTATTCTTTATTACATTTAAATGACATACATTTTTTTATTTTTGTACCTTGTTTCTCTGTTTTGGCAGGATCTGTGGAGAGCCCCTTCGAGCAGGGCATCTCCCCGAACAACGTGCCCTACTACATCAAGTAAGTACGGACCTCTGAGCTGTCGTTAATGGAACAGTACCATTAGTACACACACACATTCTGACCTAATTATTCAGTACTAGTCCCAATGATTTTGACATGTGCTCAACACTGATTATTGGTCTGGTTAAATGTCATGGAATGAGCACGGATTTCTCACCTGAGTGTACTAACCTTTTAATAAACTTAAAGCGCTGTTCTGTGCATTGGCACAAAAAGAAGTATCCAACTTGGCAAAAGTATTAGAAATAATTGTAAAAAAATATGTTGGTATCAAGGCAAGGCAGGTTTATAAATATAGCCAAAACAAATGAAATATTTGGCTGACATTGACAAGATAAATATAAATAAACATTTATACAATATTACAACCAACTTTTTCGAAATATTGTTTGACAAAATCAATCTTAGTAGGGGAAAGGTTGTAATCATATTTATACAACAATGCAAATAAAGTATTTTTCTACCTTATTCCTTTCAATTTTTACATTTGGATGAATAACCCACTCATGTTTTTGTCAATCTGTTGTTGCCTTAATACATTAATCCCTGAAGAGAATGTAATATTGTTCTTTGACGAGTATAATCCAGTGTACTCTACAGAAGTTCTTCATTTAGCCTGCTGAGCCTACAAATGTATGTCTCTCTTTTAAGGTTCAATTATTTAATTCCTAAATATTTCAGAAAAATACTGGAGGATTTGATTTCAATGAAATGTTCTGCAAATGGATAAGTCTTTTTAATAAACCAGCCTTTGTTTGAGTAATGTGGATGAAAATGAAGGGTTAGGGTTAGATTATTGTGACTGACATTCGCCGTGTCTGTTTCAGTGTGTGCATTCTCAAAGTGAGACAACAGAAAACACTATAAAATAATGATCTGGTATATTTCTAAAAGTCTATTGTCTGTTTTTAAGGAAGTGAGATGCTGCCAAAATATTGACTTTCAATCCTTTGAGCTGGATTGATGCAGTGTTGCTTGTCTGCTAACTTCAGTTTGTTGTTGGCTTGCCGTGTGCCTAACATGCATCCATTTAGCCTCTCTGTCTTTGTTGCTTTGAATAATTCATCTAACGGTTTGTCCTTTCACATTAAGCACATATATTCCTTCATTAATCCATTTATACATATATACATGTAGCCCCAGATAGCATTAGGTAACCACAGCGAATCGACCCTGGGTCAGAACATCAACATGTGGTAGTTATGCAGTATTGGCTTATTATTTGCCACCTGAAGGAATTAGATTGGTTTTGACTTGATAGCGCTTCCAAGGTCTCATGATATTCATACAATGGCAATTCTAGAATGTGTATTTATAATTATAGAATGTTAACTCAAAATATACATTATCTCCTTCATTATGTCTCAAAACCAGCTTGTAGAGCAGTTGGGTTTCTGTGGATGCTGGGAGACCGTTCAGAGACTGTTCAGGACTTTTCAGCACCCATCAGCAGATAGCATACGTCTTGGAGGGGGGGGGTGTTGCACAGTAGTGAGCTCTGTCTTGCAGCTTGTGCCTCAGCACCGCAGGGTGCACAAACAGGCGTGCTGTTACAGCAACTCACTGAGTTAAACATGTTGATGTGATAATACAAAATAAATCTTAGCACAACATGCAGTTCCTGCTAAATTAGATGTTTTTGGTAGCGGTTAGGTTAGGAACTTTGGATTCTGCACTTTAAAAAAAAAAGGAAGACTTTTCTCTTCTTACAAATAAAAGTCTAAAGTATAAACAATAAGACGCACACAAGGTATGGCATGTAGCTTAGAATAGCTAATGTTGGCTTGTGTTATATTTGCGTGGTGCATAGTTTCAGCTAGTGTATTTGAACAGAAGAACATCGTAAAATACTCACAAAAACTCGACAGCACTAAAATAAACAAATCCAAATAAACCCCTTAATTAACTGAGCTGGAAAATGTGCCGTCTCGACACCGTTTTTCACTACTGTCTCTATCTCCCTATGGTTCATTGAACATTTGTGAGGAGTAGCTTCGTCACAAAGCTTCTAGCTCAATTTATTTTAGAATTACACAACCATTTTTGAGGTGATTAGGCCTTTATCCTTCCATTGACACAGAATTAACTCTCCACCTCACATTCCTTACCCATTGGTCAGAAGAGCCCCACAGTGGGATTGATCTATCCCACTTCCTGCTCGTTCTTCAGTGGAGACATCATACAGTAGATTGCATGGATTTGGTAATCACTAACTAGTAGTGTGGTGTGTTTGAGTTAACACTTTAATGTTTGACGCTGATTTAACTGCAAGTGAGAGAAACACATTCACCAAAGAGAAAAAGAGGAGGAGGAGGAAGGAGGGAGGGAAAGAGAAGTGACAGATTCTCCTCTTCATGCAGTGAGAAAGCTGGACCTGACCTGATGACGGAGACCCTGTGAGTGCCAGCTGACCACACCCACACACCTACACACCTGTCTACACATACACACACACACACACACACACACACACACACACACACACACACACACACACACACACACACACACACACACACACACACACACACACAGCATGCACACACAGCATGCACACATAATATATAATAAAATATGGATTTATATCACACACATAATGCACATTTCATGGCCAAAAGTATGGGCTGGGTGGATCTAATGAAAGACGTCATTGAGTTGCATCATGGGAAATGTAAAATAGGTTTGATACATGCACGGGATAAAAGTCAGGTTACTTCTACTTCTGTTGCTTCTCTTTTCGAAGGGTTTCAAGCCATGAAAGCAAGCCCAAAAGTGTGCAATGTTTACAGGCGTGTCTGCATACATTTGGCCACATAGTGTCCTTGCACGCATTGCAGACTTCACACACTATAAACCCACACAGCGGGAAACATATGGCACACCAACTGCTTCTTGTGCACATTCAATTATCTGCTTCTGGAGATGGTTTCAAACTCAAAGCTGCTACATCCACCTTGCCTATCCGTCCTGTGAGGGTGTGTTTGATTTGCCTCACTGCGAGCATCCTCCCCCACGAGTGGAGTCAGTCTAAATCCACAACCTCCTACACAAACACAGTCAGCTGCAAAATGACGTCCGAGAGCCTAAAATCAGCAATCATGAAAGTTGTGTTGAATCCGTCCCTCACACACCTACACACACTCAGGTACACAGACACACTGTTGTGATGGGATAACATAACAGTTGAGACTTGTCCTATAAATTACAGGGCTGTTCCCTCTTTTTGCTGGTGCAACATAGCCTACATTTCTCAAGCCTTGAACACAGATTCTCCAAGCAAGAAACCCCCCTCCCACCTCCTCTCTCTCTCTCTCTCATCTCTCTCGTCCTCTCTCTCTCTCTCCTCTCTCTCTCTCTCTCTCTCTCTCTCTTCTCATCTCTCTCTCTCTCTCCTCCTTCCTCTCGTCTCTCGTCTCTCTCTCTCTCTCTCTCTCTCTCTTCCTGTCTCTTCTCTCCTGTGTACCTTGTAAAGAAAAAATCCTTTTGTCTCTCCCACTTTTCCTCTTTCTTTTGCCCCTCTTTCTTTCTATCTCTGTCTCAGCCTTGAATGTGAAAATATGTGTGCCTTGAAAAGCAAAGAGCCTCTCTCCCTCTCCCTCCCTCTCGTCAGGGAGGTGAAAAACCTCCTCGGATGGTGTGTAGAGGCTCCTTTGCTCTCAGAAACAGCGGGATGGGGGGAAGGGAGGCAGAGGCAGGGAGCCTGACATCCGCCTCGTCTAGCTAAATTGCGTGAAGTTTCCAAGATGCAGATAGGGCTAGACCAGAAGTGAGCGGTGTTGAATTTCAAAATAAAGGCATGAACTATGTTGGGTATTTAAAAAAAAAAAAAAATGACAACATATGTCAAATTGTTTAACCATCAACATGGCTATGGCTGAAAAAAAACCTTGGGGACCCTGATGTAAAATCAGGGAATGTCCTCTTATGTAAAAACAGCTTATCACATCATTGCAAAATAGTAGTACATATCCATACATACATTTGGAAGTTATTAAACTGTTATTAAAGTGTTGATGCACCCCATGTACTGGGTCCCTTTTTGTGTGTCATCACCCCCTCTATCTCCTCCTTTCAAATATATTTCTGGCTTTAAACCTGACCCAAAAAAACCTTAGAGATATACATAATGATAGTTATTACTACATGAGGGATTGTGTTGTTGCATCGATGGCAGTCCATACTTGATCTAACAATAGGAAAAGGAACATATGCTGTAAAATAAACATTCTGTACAACATTAACTTGGCAAAACACACTAGGATATTTACTTATACAGCTTTAAAACATTTTTTTAAAAAGAGCCCAGCATTGTTCAGGTGGAAGGTTTTATTTTGGAAACCTGAAACGGAAGTGGTCTCCGTTGCACTCGGGTGAATTGACCATCGTGTTTCGCTGGCCAGTCCGTCTCTGCAACCGCTACCTTGCAGAGGAACACACACATACACACATACGTAGGCTACACACGTTAATCTCGTACGCCTCTCTCCGGTGGTAGAGGACGCTTGGTCGGACCGCGGAGGGGGTCGGTACATTGCCTCGGTTCTGCCCGGGAATCGGTTCATTTCTGCTGGACGCTGAGCGCTGTGATCGGCCGGCGATGCGGGAGCAGCTTCGGAAGTGAGTGCTGGGCTGGGGGGCTGTTTATGGTGGTGATTAATAATGGTGATGGTAATTGTGCTGTTCGTAATGCAGTAAACCTTTTCTCACGGACCTCACACTGACTGTGGGTGTTCATGGCCAGCAGAGGAGCAGAGCTATCCCCCACACTCAGCAGAAAACGCACATTATTTCACTGTAGTACAGAATATGCGCAAAAACAGCCTCAAATTCTGGACATATGTACATTGACATTTTATATTGGACATGAGAAAAATATTTTCTTACTCCAAAATGCATTTCAAGTATTTTAAATAGCCTACATTTTGCCGATAATTCTGCAGCATGTCACAGTATTCAGAGGTTTAAAATACATGTTTGCATATAAGAGATGAAGCAAATCGTGCATCAAATATAAACGGGATGTTAACACCTCCATGAAAAGGGAGGAAAACTATTGTTTTTGGTAGCCATTAAACCCTACCAGCCCGTTTCTTCCCAGTGGCTGTTGATAGTGGTTGTTGCCGGGGAACCAGGCGAGGTGCACGGCCCGGTGAGGCTCCTCGCCCCGCTGTCCCCCTCCGGATCCTAAACTCTGAAGCCTCACTTTGCACCCTTTCAATGGCTCGTCGCTGCCATGTTGGAATAAAAACAAGGGCATTGAGTGCCTTAAGAATGCAAACGGTGCCCCGAAAGGGATTTGCGATAATGTATGCATTTGGCTTAGAGAAAAGAGCCGTGCGGAGCGGCATTGTGTCACTGTGTTGCATTCCTTCACAGCAACACACGGAGGTGCAAATACAATCACCTCCGTGCCAGCAGAGCAGCCCGGGCTGGATCAGTGCGTTTTTGCACGGTTTCTGTGCGGATATTTTAATGTTGGTCTATTTTCGGATGGGAAATAACGCCAGGCCTTATTTTTCCATCGCAAACAGCGGCGCTGAAGGTGCATGTGTGCAGTTCCTCCAGATCATCTGCTGATCAGTGGTCAGCTGTACATAGAGATGTGGTTGTCCTGCACTGATATGGCATGGACCTATTCATGTGTGATGGTGAAATGGGAGCAGGGAATGTGAACTGGCTGGTGCAGATGTTTGGCACCAATGTGATTGCAGGTGTGTGTGTGTGTGTGTGTGTGTGTGTGTGTGTGTGTGTGTGTGTGTGTGTGTGTGTGTGTGTGTGTGTGTTGTGTGTGTGTGTGTGTGGTGTGTGTGTGTGTGTGTGTGTGTGTGTGTTGTGTGTGTGTGTGTGTGGTGTGTGTGTGTGTGTGTGTGTGTGTGTGTGTGTGTGTGTGTGTGTGTGTGTGTGTGTGTGTGTGTGTGGGCACTGATTAAATACAGCTGATGGATATACATCCATAACACAAACAGATCCAACTCTAGTTGCTGGATGGTGGTGCTGACGTGCTCAGGCACGATTGTTATGGTGTGTGTGTGTGTGTGTGTGTGTGTGTGTGTGTGTGTGTGTGTGTGTGTGTGTGTGTGTGTGTGTGTGTGTGTGTGTGTGTGTGTGTGTGTGTGTGTGTGTTGTCTTTGTATTCAGTGTGGATGATTATCAACCACAGGATCTAGCCCATCCTGATGTGTGGTTTTTAGGGCACGTTTCTGCAGTCAGACAGAAGAAACTTTTCCACATTCGAGCTGCAAGCCTTTCCCGTTCAGGTGTCTTGGTGTTTGAATGACTAATCAATGACACTGGCTCTGATTGCAGAATCAAGAAAACAATGTGATATTTCTGTATTAGCATACAGTGGGGCAAAAAAGTATTTAGTCAGCCACCAATTGTGCAAGTTCTCCCACTTAAAAAGATGAGAGGTCTGTAATTTTCATCCTAGGTACACTTCAACTATGAGAGACAGAATGGGCAGAAAGAATCCAGGAAATCACATTGTAGGATTTTTAATGAATTCATTGGTAAATTCCTCGGTAAAATAAGTATTTGGTCACCTACAAACAAACAAGATTTCTGGCTCTCACAGACCTGTAACTTCTTCTTTAAGAGCCTCCTCTGTCCTCCACTTGTTAACTGTATTAATGGCACCTGTTTTAACTCGTTATCAGTATAAAAGACAACTGTCCACAACCTCAATCAGTCACACTCCAAACTCCACTATGGCCAAGACCAAAGAGCTGTCAAAGGACACCAGAAACAAAATTGTAGACCTGCACCAGGCTGGGAAGACTGAATCTGCAATAGGTAAGCAGCTTGGTGTGAAGAAATCAACTGGGAGCAATTATTAGAAAATGGAAGACATACAAGACCACTGATAATCTCCCTCGATCTGGGGCTCCACGCAATATCTCACCCCGTGGGGTCAAAATGATCACAAGAACGGTGAGCAAAGATCCCAGAACCACACGGGGGGACCTAGTCAATGACCTGCAGAGAGCTGGGACCAAAGTAACAAAGGCTACCATCAGTAACACACTATGCCGCCAGGGACTCAAATCCTGCAGTGCCAGACGTATCCCCCTGCTTAAGCCAGTACATGTCCAGGCCCGTCTGAAGTTTGCTAGAGAGCATTTAGATGATCCAGAAGAGGATTGGGAGAATGTCATATGGTCAGATGAAACCAAAATATAACTTTTTGGTAAAAACTCAACTAGACGTGTTTGGAGGAGAAAGAATGCTGAGTTGCATCCAAAGAACACCTACTGTGAAACATGGGGGTGGAAACATCATGCTTTGGGCTGTTTTTCTGCAAAGGGACCAGGACGACTGATCCGTGTAAAGGAAACAATGAATGGGGCCATGTATCGTGAGAGTTTGAGTGACAACCTCCTTCCATCAGCAAGGGCATTGAAGATGAAACGTGGCTGGGTCTTTCAGCATGACAATGATCCCAAACACACCGCCCGGGCAACAAAGGAGTGGCTTCGTAAGAAGCATTTCAAGGTCCTGGTGTGGCCTAGCCAGTCTCCAGATCTCAACCCCATAGAAAATCTTTGGAGGGAGTTGAAAGTCTGTGTTGCCCAGCGACAGCCCCAAAACATCACTGCTCTAGAGGAGATCTGCATGGAGGAATGGGCCAAAATACCAGCAACAGTGTGTGAAAACCTTGTGAAGACTTACAGAAAACGTTTGACCTCTGTCATTGCCAACAAAGGGTATATACAAAGTATTGAGATGAACTTTTGTTATTGACCAAATACTTATTTTCCACCATCATTTGCAAATAAATTATTTTAAAATCAGACAATGTGATTTTCTGGATTTTTTTTCTTCTCATTTGTCTCTCATCGTTGAGGTATACCTAGGATGAAAATTACAGGCCTCTCATCTTTTTAAGTGGGAGAACTTGCATAATTGGTGGCTGACTAAATACTTTTTGCCCCACTGTATAAGAAAAAACAAATGTTTAAAGATTATACTATTTTCACCACTACGGAGGGGCTGGTATTCAAAATGATCTCACTGGATTATATATGGTTGCATTCAATTGTGGTCTGATCTGACAACGATTTCCGATCCTAAAGATTTGGATTTAGTTTTGGTAATCCCTGCAATTGGGCATTTACATACATTCATCCCATACTTCATGTATGAGTCAGTAATATCAGTTATTATACATCTGTACTTATTCAAAGTAGTTGGATCTGTATTTTAAAATCATGAAAAATCACTGCTTGTGTCTACAAAGTCAAACTAATTAAGCATTTAGTCTTGCTGGGTAGATAATCTGCAGACAGCCTACACACAAACATCGGATCTGATAAATAGTGACAATGAAGCCGATGATAGATTGGGCCTGTTTTAAAAGGGTTTATAAAATCGTCAATGAGCTGTTTCATGAGAGAACAGTTGTTCCAAGTGTTATCTACAATAACTCATATTTACCAGTGGTTTTAAAGCCAAAAGCTTCAAAAGATGTTTCTCCCTCCTTTCATGCACATTGATTAATCCAGAAAGCAGAGGCTGTGAAAACAAAACATTTGCCAAAGGTCATAAAGTAAAAAGCGTGAAGAATTACATATCACTTTGTTCCAGTTCAATCATTTGTAGATCCTTGACTGTAGTTTTAAAGGTTTACAGTGGACAGACCCTTCATGTATGTGCATGCAGACAAATGCTAAAAATGAAGCTGGCCAATGTTCCAAAGCTAGTGTTATTTCCACATCAGTGCGACACCACTTTGAGTGATTTTGACAGTAAAAATTACCCGCTAAAGTTGGAACCTTCTCAAAAAGTCCATGAAACTTGACAATTCTTTTTTTATAGATACTTGAAAACCTTTATTTTTAATTTGGATCACCTCCCACACTGGGGACTCCATTAATGGCCATCACTGTCAGACAGTCTATTAGTGGAGAGTTTCTACAGTCCATTGGTTAGTCTTGCCTATCGTCTACTCATCATTGAATCATGTTTCGTTGTCTCTGCTCACTGATTGTGTGTGTGTGTGTGTGGTGTGTGTGTGTGTGTGTGGTGTGTGTGTGTGTGTGTGTGTGTGTGTGTGTGTGTGTGTGTGTGTGTGTGTGTGTGTGTGTGTGTGTGTGTGTGTGTGTGTGTGTGTGTGTGTGTGTGTGTGTGTGTGTGTGTGTGTGTGTGTGTGTGTGTGTGTGTGTGTGTGTGTGTGTGTGTGTGTGTGTGTTGCTGTACGTATTACTTAAACGGAGCAGAGAAGATCAATAGACAGGCAGACAGAACATGGTTTCTTATCCTGCTTTTGTGGTTGTAAATAGAACTTTTGGCCATCATTTCATTGTCTCCGTTGTAACAAACCTTTTTTTAATTACGGTGTTATTGATAGACTTGATATATCAGGATTTATTTGGGAGAATTAAACAATGCCATGTAAAATCAGACATAAGCACACTCAAAGGAATTGTATCTTTATTTATTTCCATTTTCTTGTGTTTTTTTTGCGAAGTTATTTTATTTAAACCAGCTATTTTTCTTTACTTCTTCTATCCCGGTAAATGGTGGCCGGGGGGTTGTGAATGTTGAATGCTGTTCCTTATGCTTGTCAGCTTCAATCAGGTCGCCCTCGAGCAAGGCAGCAGATCCACGACTGCTCCGCCAGCCTCGCCCAGTGTGCAGTAGTTTATCTTCTGACAGGTTACCATGCATTATCAACATGTTGGCACACAGTGTCTGCTTTTTAAAAAAAAAAAAAAAAGCACAAAGAAAGAGACAAAGCATTAACCCCTAAATGGGTGGTGTGGCAGGTCAGGGAATGTAAGGTTCCATCTTACAGCAAAGATCTCTTTAGGGGGGGAAATGCATGGGATCACTTCAGTTTTATATGAAAATAGAAGTGCTCCTTATTATAGTTTTTGCTACTGAGCATCTGCAGGTTCCCCATCTTTCTCAAGGATTCCTGTTTTGTCTCAGCTGATTTAGTGCACTAAACTCCATCAGTTGTCAGTTAGCATCCCATATCTAGCAGCACTGACTCAGTGCGGCTAATAGGAGCATTTGTACGAGTGGCCCTTGCTGAGTGACTGAGCTACTGTTAGTACAGACTCGGAGCTTTGAGGATTTTTAAGTAGCTCTTCACCATGGGACCCCTCTCCTCATTATCTGGAGTGTGAGTATGGGAGAGAGGAGAACAAGGGCGATGCGGGGGGAAAAGCAGCATATGGATTATTGTTTGGCTGCTTTTCACACAAAGGTTAACTGCAGGTACGCTTGTGTGCCATCGACTCGACATGTGTGCTTTTAGCATCAGGGGAGGGGTCCGTTTGTGTGACAACGCGCCTCAGGACTGAATTATAAAGCAGAAAACAGTGGAGGAGCGCTCAGCAGCACTGCATTTTTAAAAAGTGGTGTTATTTTTTTAGCAGTTTGTTTGGTTCACTATGGATCGCCCTCTTAGCACACCTATTGTTCACATGTATGTAAGCTTCAGGTTAAATGTCACTAAGTACCATTACTGTACTTAAATACTATTTTGACATTGAGTATTTACAGTTTATGCTACTTTATACTTCCACCCTACTGCCTTTTTAGAGGCAAATATCTCACTTTTTACTCCACTAGATTTATTTCACACTCCTGTTACTGGCTACTTTTTATATACAAAAACACATGATACACATGCTTGTATGATATGATGCAGTACTGTACTACTAATAAACCCATTATTTGAAAACATGTGGGAAAAATACTTGAAATCAACACTAGTTCTTTAAACATTATCATATTCTGTTACAGTACATGGAAGAGAAGCCTGCCGTTCTGAATGCATGAATCACACACATGTTCCCTTTTGACTGTTTTAACTGACACACACACTCACAGGCAAGTCTCCTGTGAGTGGCGAGCAGCAGTCACGAGGAGAGGATGTGTGAGGGGAGAATGACACAGCAGCCATGTATCCCTCCGTGTCCTCTTTCTTCCTCTCTTCCTCTATCACGGTAGCTTGTCATTTTTTAGAATATAGAAGAGAGAAACTAGGATTAATGTCATAGTGTGGGATTTAAAGGAAGCTAATTCATCAGTGCGTATGATCATTTATGTTACAGGCTTTTCCTTGTTTTAGGAAGGCAGTCGCTGGACACTAGTATGATGTTCTTATGCTGTTTAAATAATAACCTTCAGATTTGACATATATATATGTCTATTTTACACAACCAGTGTTCTATAAGTCCTGTGAATATGGATAATGTACAAGGCTTGAAATACATGATGTGATGGCAGCGTTAGACAGTCATGGCTGTGGTCCAGGCTCAGAAATCTCAACGATTGGCTATATTGACATTAAACAGACATTCATGGTCCCTGGAGATGTCAGTGTCAATCATTGGATGGATTGCATTTGGTCCAGGCAATCATGTTCCCATCAGTATGAGATGTAAGGACTTTGACGATCCATAACACTTCCTCTAGGGTCATCATCCAATCAAATATGTAATCATTCAACAATTAAAGGTATAACAACATTCTGGTACCTGCAAAACTCAGCAGTGTTAATTAGCAAATGTAGCGCTATGTTTCATGACCAATAAGGGGAGCTTTAGGATGATGATGTGTTTGATCTACTCGACATCTGACCATTCCATCTTTTTTAATCCCTCTCCAGCCACCAGACCCAAACAACATGCTGGGATCATCCCAAGATGGCCGAGCTCTACCAGTCTCTGGGTGAGATGCCAATTCATACACAGACAGAAATAATGGAGCCGTGACCACCGATGTCTCCTTGCTCTTCATCCCTAACTCTGTTTTTTCTCGCCCTTTAGCCGACCTGAACAATGTTCGATTCTCGGCCTACCGGACAGCCATGAAGCTCAGACGCCTCCAGAAGGCTCTCTGCTGTAAGTACTCTCTATATATAGTTTTCTATACTTCTCCTGAATGTGCATCACATATAGTTCAAGTACGCTCTCTGTGTCCATGATTGTTTCTCTTATTGTGTTCCAGCCCTCCTACACTCCTCCTTTGTTCTTCCTTTCCACGTCTGTTCTCTTAAATTCACCTCATTTGCCACGGCGTTCTTCTTCTCCATCGTCTCCCTTCATTTCCTCCTTTGTCTATTCTGTCTTCCACCTCCTCCTCTTTTTCTTCTTCTCTCTTCTCTTGCCATCTCTGCTCTGATAGTCTACGTATGTGTGTGTGTGTGTGTGTGTGTTTACTCATCCTTCTCGTCTCTCACTGAGGAGTGTGAGCCGCCTACGAGCTGTTACAGTATGTGTGATATGTTTTAGGGCGGATAGCTGGATCGTGCCGTATAGCACATAACACTATTTATGGAAAGGAGGATATCAAAATAAATATATCTTAAACAATGTTTTATTATGGAAATAGTCTTGTTTTTATTTGCATTTCATTTGATATTGAGTACGTCCGAAAGTGATGTAAAGTAATCAGATTACATTACTTGATATAGTGATACTAAGATTAGGTTACTGAATACATTTCTAAAGTACCCCTCCCAACCTTGTAGTGGACACCTTAAGGTCAGCAGCTTTTGATGGAGGACAGTGAGCTCAGCTGTGTGTCTGCTAACCCACAATCCTCTGTTTCCGGGTGCAGTGGATCTGCTGAGCATGCAGATGGCGTGCGAGGTGTTCGAGCAGCACGCTCTGAAGCAGAACGAGCAGCTGCTGGACATCGCGCAGCTGGTCACCTGTCTGACCAGCCTGTACCAGCGGCTGGAGCAGAGCCACTCTCACCTGGTCAACGTCCCGCTGTGTGTGGACATGTGCCTCAACTGGCTGCTCAACGTCTACGACACGTACGTCAAGTACAAGCACAACGTAGTAGTAGGACAGTCGGAGTTAGATGGAATTCATGCTCACATGTTTGTTTTGTTTGTTTGGTCAGTGGTCGCACCGGAAAGATCCGAACCCTGTCGTTCAAGACTGGAATCATCTCACTCTGCAAGGCTCACCTGGAGGATAAATACAGATGTAAGTCACTCACACACACATTAGGCACTTTGATGACAAACAATTACAATATTTGAGGTATAACCCACCTTTGGGATGCATGTAGTAATGTATGTGGTAATCTTGTAACTGTCTACCTCTCCTCTGTCCAGTCTTGTTCAGACAGGTTGCCAGTGCGACAGGTTTCTGTGACCAGCGGCGCCTGGGCCTCCTCCTCCACGACTCCATCCAGATCCCCCGGCAGCTCGGAGAGGTCGCCTCCTTCGGCGGCTCCAACATCGAGCCCTCCGTCCGCAGCTGCTTCCAGTTTGTACGTAGCTCCCTCACACAAACTCTTCTTTTTTAGCTTTTGGTTTGGAGTTATCTTAGTCATAATAAAGGCACTCATGCATGATGATAAGAGGACTGCAAAAGCCACATGCACTGGTGCCCGAGGCCCTCTAGACGAATCTAACATATGAGCACAGTGCACACAATGTCACAATGCTTGTCTAGTTAAAAAAGGGCAAATGGATTGTTGCTCAGAGATTTAGAGAACAGGACAAAAAAATGATAAAACCAAGGATTATAAAACAAAAGGATAACAAAAGTTCATGACTCCAGTAAACAGGGCCAGAGTAAGAGTCTTTGCATGAACCACAGCCTGCAAATGATCCCTAACAGCTGCAGAGATGTTGCTGGAAATCTTCTACTAAGACACACACACACATGAGGTGGACCATCTCATCTTATGTAGCCCTAAAATTGCTGGAGTTAGCTTAGCATCATCCCAGCTGCTCCCTCCCCCAGTATGCATGTGGGCGTGAGACAGAAAGAGGGACATGGGGGGGGGGGGTCAATTCCATGGAAACTCCAAAACCCCGGAGTTCCCAGAGTCCCTGCTGAGGGGAGAGCGGTGGATGAAGCCAACATGTTGTCTCTGGGTAATTTTCCCCGTCTGTCCAACTCTTTTATTTATAGCAAGAGAGTGTTTTTAACAGTCATCATGAAATGGTTTATTTGCTTGGGACTATTTTCAGCGCCGTATTTATCAATATTTGGTTCTCTTCTCTAATATCTCTGGTACAGGAAGTCGTATCTAGGATTGAGTCAAATGTGTGTGTTCAAAGGGGATAAAGAAATGGGTTTTTAACAGTTTTTTGACAAAAATTCAACTTTTAACGATTACAGAGACTAAAGCTCGGATACAGACTAAATACCCATTAATAGTATACAATCAGGTCATGTTTTGATTGATTTACACACTATGCTCACCATGACTTCTTCTTGTCCAGGCCAACAACAAACCGGAGCTGGAAGCGGCCATGTTCCTGGACTGGATGCGCCTGGAGCCTCAGTCCATGGTGTGGTTACCCGTCCTGCATCGCGTGGCCGCTGCAGAGACCGCCAAGCACCAGGCCAAGTGTAACATCTGCAAGGAGTGTCCCATCATCGGGTTCAGGTGCGTACAACCATAAAGCATCACCACTCCTCATGCACAGCGCAAATGTGCCTTAAGGAACACATGTTTCCACATATTATTTTACAAATCAAAAGAAATGAACAATATTTATATAAACATGAGAAGTAGCAGAGCAATAGAGCAGCCTATGAGTACGTATAACTGATTGATGGTGTGATTATACTGGCTGTTATATGTGTAGCCTCAGCCCTTTAATGCTCAGGAAGCTTTTCGTCCCGCTTCAGGTTGAGCCCTTAAAGGAGGTGTGTCTGTGCTATTCTTGACAGTGATACATTTTAATGAAGGGAATAAATATGTCATTTAGTTACTTGGCTGAAAGAACTTTAACTACTCCTACCCTGGAGAAAACACAGCCATAAATCCCCCTTTTATTTCCTCCTGCTTCTCCACCTTCTCCCTTTTTCTCCTTGCTCTCTTTTCTTTTCACTCCCACATCTCTCCTACCCTCCTCCTTTTGTCTGGGCTTTCTTGACCTCCCCTGCTTTCCGTCCCCAGATATCGGAGTCTGAAGCATTTCAACTATGACATTTGCCAAAGCTGCTTCTTCTCCGGTCGCGTCGCCAAGGGACATAAGATGCAGTACCCCATGGTCGAGTACTGCACTCCGGTATGAATGTATTTATATTCCTGCTCTGCATTGTGTGTAGGAAAATTGGGATAATGGAAATGTTAGGGTGCCAGACTTCTTGAATAATGTGCTTGCGCTGGTTATGAAGTGAAAACCATATTCTAGGCCTCTGCACTTCAGAGTCTTCATATAAAGGACTCACGTTAGCCTCCAAAGCTAACTTCACTCGCTAGATGTGTGAATAAGAGCAAAAGGGCTTGAAATAATAGACATGTTCTACAAGGTGCGTGTGTGTGTGTGTTTGCCCCACTTCCATGAATGAACAATGTGCCCTTTGTGCCCTGTCTCTCTGCAGACTACGTCAGGGGAGGATGTCAGGGATTTTGCCAAGGTGCTGAAGAACAAGTTCAGGACCAAGCGCTACTTCGCCAAACACCCCCGCATGGGCTACCTGCCCGTGCAGACCATCCTGGAGGGGGACAACATGGAAACGTGGGTCTCACACACACAGATCATGCTAAGAACATTACACTGAAACACCATAAAGAGATAAGCATCTTAAGAGGATGAATACTTAAGATTATGGAAATCCACATTATACTAGTTTTGGCTCTAAATACACATAAGGGTGCTTTTGGCTCATAATGACAAATGATGACTCTGCCTTTCATGATTCAGCTCCCATCATGCCTTGCTGTGATGTGTCATCATCTGTGTTTTTTTTGTCTTTCAGTCCTGTTACCCTGATCAACTTCTGGCCTGTAGACCATGCGTGAGTACCTTACCCCCACACACACACACACACACACACACACACACACACACACACACACACGCTCAAACACACGGTCAAACACTCACAACAATACTTGATAACATTGAATTCTTTAAATCCAAAACAAAACTCACAAACACAACTCCACCTCCCTGCAGATCTGTGATTCAGGATGAGTCTCTCCTCGGATCCTGACTTTAAACAGATCGACAGTCTGTGTGTAATAGCTACATTTGTTATAGCTCATTTTAGTAACCTGAAAAACAAATACCACAAGCATGTGCGTCATCGTCATTCCTCTGCAGAACACACACATTTACACAGAAAGAAACACCAGTTGCATTCAGGATGAAAAATTAGAAGTGCAAGACAAATATTCACTTCAAGTGCTTCAAGAGTCTGGCATATATCATGTTAAAGTGTAATTGGATTATCCTGACATTTTTCGTACTCATCCACCTTTACATCTCGGTGAAAACTAATTTATTGGCTTTTAACAGACGAACGTTTACATGAAAAAGTGTCAAACCTTAGTTTTCCATTCTCTCTCTGTGTTGCAGGCCTGGATCGTCCCCTCAGCTCTCTCACGACGACACACACACTCGGATCGAGCACTACGCCAACCGGTAACACACTCTTTGCATTCACAGCAGCTCCTCGCAGCGTAGACTCAGTGTTGCCAACTGAAGTCACCTTCCCAGTGATTCCAGACACCAGAAACATTTGGATTGATGTGATGGAGAATAAAAAAGCTAAATCCCAGCACACTTCTTCCCCACGCTGTGTTCATGCAGCCGTTAACTCACAGGGGATCGGCTGCCCTCATTTCTTGCTGACGTGTTTCAGGGGAACTCTGGTTCAGCATTTCCTTTTTATTACACTTAATAGATGGTAAAGCTGATTATTAAAGATCTTTTTTAATTCTTTAATCACATATGAGCTCTGTGTAAAGTCACATCATTCTCATTTACCTACTCAGGCATGTTTGAGAGACTTAAAGCAATTGTTTGCAACACAGTGAGTCTACATAAGTAATCTTTAATCTTAACATTACAGATGTGAACCAACTTTCAAGCACCTGTCATATACAGCCAGTCCAATGGTATTCTATGTTTTATATATACGCCAATTGTGTCGTGTAATATATTTCACTGATGGGTTAAAGGTACAGGAAACTAAACTCCCATTTGTGTGTCTTCCATCTACATTAAGGTCTATACGTTACTGTCCCAGGAATTTAGTAGAGATAATATAACCCACAAGTAAAGAAACAGCAACTGATACACTTTATAATCAGTGGTGCATTCGAGTACCTTTTTAAGAGCTAGAACAACTCATTCTAGATGATTATTCAACATATGAATGGCTGTATATGTTAGTGTTTTGAAAGTAGTTTTTGCATGATTGTTGAATCTTTTTGGGATACCTTGATAAACTATATTATAATGTGGTATCACCAGGCACTTTATGTGACGTCTCTATCTAGTAAGGTCGTATGAAGTGTCATGGTCAATGTTTTACCTACAGTCGATGAGGGTTTATCAAAGCAGACAGGAGTAGCCTCAGGATGCTAAGCTATGTACTGCTGAGGACCGCCCACCTCAACAATATCAGTTTTACTGCTTTACCATTCTGTTGAGCTGAGCACTTTTTAATCCTGCCAGACCAGCAATCCTGTGTCCTGCAGGGTAAAATCATGTTTTCTGTCAAAGGAGTCTGTCGGCTTTGAAGAGAACATAAAGGGTTCAGTTCCCCCTTGAAAAAGGCTGTCTGACAGCGAGGTAAAGCATTGAAAATATTCTAAATATAGCGTGCACATAAGATGATATTGATTTTTCTTAGCTTCCTGCAGGTGCTCCTGTCTGTTTCTCCAAACTTGGGGAGTGCCGAACGCTATCTACTGTAGGAGAAGTACCTTATAAAACCCCACTTCAAACTATCCCTTTTTAAAAGTGAAATCACGGCAGGGGTTTTCGCATAAAAGAAAACTGTACTTACATATGCTTTAAATGTGCTACAATTATTTTACTAGCCGCGTAATAATGACAAATTTGCTCAGAAAAACGTCAAGATATCCCTTTGCATATATTAGAATCTGTTAACATGATCAAGTGATGCATTGGCTTTATGGGGAATTATCCATAATAGCATATGCTAATGCTCCTGAGATGTTGCCTGTGCCATCCAGTTCACCAGCATGTGCTTTAAAACGTCATTAATGATGAACTCAGAGGAGAGAAATCCCTCAATGCTAAACATCTCAGTGTTGTGCAGTGACGCTTACTGCTCCCAGAATGCACCACTGAGGAACTAGAAGCAACATCAACCCTAGTGAGTCAATCAAGCAGGCAATCAATCCCTTATTGAATCAGTCCCTTACTTTGCACCACTGGAAATGCCCCCCCGCCCCTGTATTTTTATTGGTACTTTTACTCAAGTAAAGGATGTAAATACTTATTTTCCCTCCGTGCATTCCTCAGTGGAGTCGGTGTGAGGCTGAACCTCTGACTAGTGTTAATTTCGTTGACTAAAACTATGACGAAATATGTTCGTCAACGACCTTTTTTTCCATGACGAAAGCGAGACGATGACGAGACGGCACCGACGGCAGTAAACAATAACTGCAACGAAATCATCATGCAATATCGTTGACGAAAAGTGACGAGATGAAAATGTAGTTTACTAAATAAAAACTATGCCAAAATCTCTCTTTACTTTCGTTGACGAAAAATGAGGAGACGAAATATTATCAAAGATAACGTTACATCTCTGATAGTCAGTTTTTCTCCCAGCAGTTCCATTTCCGGTGCTGCGCTGGGCAGCAGCTGTGTGTCCGTGCTGCGCGCGGCGGTAGATTTGAATTACACCGGGCAGCGGCACAATATGAACTGTCAGGAAGACTCGGGTCTAACTCATGGTCTAACTCATGCTCTAACTCATGGTCTAACTAACCTTATTTAACAGAAAATAAAATGGCAACAACAGGGCTTGGGAGCAGTGGTCGCACTCGCGTTAACCGAATACCCCCCCGTCAGTGCGAGTGATTGATAAATTGTGCACTCGACGGGTAATAATGGATTATGGCGGAAATGTTACGATCCTGTCCGTCAAAATTACTGACAACGAAAAAGTCTAAAGCCACCACTGCTTGGGAGAAAGAAACAACGTGATATTTGGGCCCATTTTCGCTACAATGAGGCGGATACGTTTTTTTTATCATTCAACCTGTGTTTTTCATCAAATAAGGACAAGATATAATCTTATTTATTTATATATACTAAAATGACAAAGTATTGGTTTTGGCTAGACTAGTTTGACTGAAATGTTCTATATAATCTGATGACTAAAAAAGACAGTTTTCATTGACAAAAAGTAGACTAAAATAATTAGTTTTCTTTGACTAAAATAAGACTAAAATGCTCAGACTTTTAGTCGACTAAAACTTGACTAAATAAAAACAGGGTGAAGGTGACTAAATATGACTAAAACTAAAAAGGAAATTTAACACAGGACTAAGACTAAAACTAAATAAAAAAATAGCTGACGAAATTAACACTACCTCTGACCCCTGCCAGAGAATGTTTGACACGACTCACTGTTGCCTTCGGGATAACACACACTCACACATACACACGTATAAATACACTGACACAAACACATGCTGAGTCACACTCCCCCTGTTGAGCATAGATCTGTTGGATTCCAGATAGCACGATTTAAAGGGAGGTGGTAGGGCGGAGAAGTAACATCATTAAGCCTGGAGTGATCCTCCGAACCACGAGGTTATCTTGTTTCTGTAGCGCAGCAGATTATGAGCACAAACACACACCGACCTGTCACACTCCATCTGCCTAAACACTCAGTGCCAAGCACCAAGCTTCTTTTTTTATCCAAGCTGATAAAGCCCCGAAATCTCTTTACGCTCTGGGCACACACTCCAACCACCGGCAACTGATCTAGTGGAGATAGCGACACGGCGATTTAAATCTCTGGCTTTTTGCTTCATCATGATAGAAGAACAGCCGGGAGTGTGTTCACAGGGCTTGTCTTTAGTTATTTTATCCTTTTTGTGATTCAACAATATTACGTAACACATGTTTTTTACTTATTTCTAGTGCCACCCATATAGCTATTCACCCCCCTTGCCCCTAGGGAAAAAGTGGAGATAAATGGAAAAATAAAAAACATACCATTCAGAGACATCTCAAAAATATAGACAAATAAAAACCCAAATGTCATAGTATTTTCCATTCCCACATGACATACAGTACTATTGCAGTGTTTGTGACTAATGAGACTGCTGTAAATCAATGTTTTAAAGGCTGTCAGACAATTAAGTCAAAACAAACAGCAGTTTACGTGTTAGTTGTCTGCCAGTTGCCACTTTCACAAGGGTCCTTTAAGGCAATATAAGCCAACTTGTAAAAAAGGTGCAACTTGAGTTTATAGTGCATCAGTTGTAAACGCTATCAAATAAAATGCAACAGAGTGACGCTTACAGAGGGATGCACACAGGGTGAAATGATTACAGCATATGCCGATTCAAAGGAAATCCTAACTCTGCTCTGAGGGGTCCGCTCCCCTCAGAACGTGCTGCGTGTGGTTCTGGTACTGACTGCTCTGTTTCTCCCCCCCCCCCTCCGCAGGTTAGCAGAAATGGAGAATCGTAATGGCTCTTATCTGAATGACAGTATCTCACCCAATGAGAGCATGTGAGAACCGCTTTCTGTTTGATTGCTTTGACCTCACTCACTGATTGGCTGTGTGTCAACTGGCTCCGCCTTCTTTGTTTACTTTGGCTCATTGTGATGAATGTTACATATGCTCAATGTTCTGGATACAACCCCATGTTGTGGTTTTTATTGTGTTTCTATCATCACATATTTAGATTTTGGGGAATTTGATCAATCTATTGATAGTCTTAGAAGATACAATTCTTGATTCTTATTTGAATAGATTTTTCCCTCACTGTCCCTGGATTATAACTGTCCATGAACTATGTTATATATTGTATATCCTAAGTCTGTGCGTTCTATATTTAGTCTAGCTGCAAGTAAATGTCCCATCAGGGGCAAAAAAGATCAAAGTTTGTTCAATAAGTGCTAGGAGTCTGACATGAAAATGTAACCCTGTAATTAAAGTAGTAAAAATATAAATATATCCCCATAACTTACAAGTGGAATGATGAAGAGAAAAAGATGAGCGGGGAGCATCTAGAGACTGAGAGCTTAACACTGCTCCCATAATGAGTTTTACTTTCATGTGAGCAGTAATCTTCAAACGCCACACATCTGCAGCTCCTACAGTGTTCACAATGAACGAGCTGAAAGCAGGGCAGTGAACGCAGCAGCATCTCAATACCTGGCCCAATTAACATCGTCACAACAACCACACAAACACTTCCTAAAGTGTTCCAAATTTCTATCTAATGTCCAGAGAAATGTACGATCCCCTCTGTTTCATAGATTCTTCTTCTGTGGTGTTTTTTTCTGTTCTCTTTCAATGAAATCATTTTCTCTGTCTGTGTGTGCAGCGATGATGAGCACATGTTGATCCAGCACTACTGCCAATCCCTGAACCAAGGCTCTCCCCTCAGCCAGCCCCGCAGCCCCGCCCAGATCCTCATCTCCATGGAGACGGAGGAGAAGGGGGAGCTGGAGAGGGTCCTCAACGACCTGGAGCAGGAGAACATGTGAGTGACAGGACAGAGTGACCTTTCCCCAGTGTGAGAAAAAGTTTTTAGAGAGTACTTGTCCATGGACAAGTGAGTTTGTCAATGTACTTGTCCGAATACATTTTTCACTTGTCCAGAATGGACAAAAATTGGGGCCACTGGAATCTTCTTCTTCGTCATCGTATTTTACATTTTCCCACGGTTTTTAGGACACCGCTAACGTAAGTGAGCGGTAAGCTTTTACTGCATCACACATAGGGTTGGGTATCGTTTGGATTTTAACGATTCCGGTTCTGCTTTTCGATTCCGGTTATTTTTGGTTCTCGATTCCGGTTCTTTGAGAGGGTAAAAATAAGTCCCATGACAAACTGGGAGAAAAATATATTTATGAAAACATTAAGTCAAATCTGTATTCCTATTTACAAATCACTTCATACCGTTTAATTTCTTACTGTTATTGAATACAATTATATAAAAATAATCTCTGCATTGTTTAGTTAGTTCTAAGTGGTGCAGTTTGAGAATGTACAATTAGCCCAGTCTCCTCTGATGTTACACTGCAACCTGCCTGTGAGACAGAGTCCAACCACACATGTCCAACACATAGGACATAACCTAATAATAATAATAATAATGACACATTAGATGTATAGCCTATAGGCCTAGCGCTTTTCTACAACTCAAAGACGCTTGCACGCTTACACATGTCCTGCAATACACATGCTGCAGCTGCCCAGCTGCTCACTGTTTGTAAAAGTAAATAAATAGTATTTTCATTTCAATAATGTACTTTCTATACCCTGCTTCATAAACAATACTGACATCCCTGTGCTCCTCTGAGTCTGGGGGTCCGGGGATGTGAGGACAGTGCGAGGACACAGACAGGGAGGCTGCTTTACTTCATAAAGGAAATGGTGGTCAATATTAACAACATAGGAGTTAAAACGCTTAATAACCTTCATTACGTGTTAGAGAAAGAACATAAGAAAGTTTGACAAAGATGAGGCTGTTAAACGGGCAGCGGATCCTCTGTGTGTAGAAAGATAGAGAGAAAGAGAGAGAGAGAGAGAGATGCTGAGCTGCACCATGCAGCGATCAGCTGATACGGAGCATAGAGAGAGCTGCAGTCTGCGGGGCTCGGCCTCGCCTCCTGTCCTCACAACTCTTATTAATCCCGGTACCGGACAATTGTTATTTGTTCCTACTCGGAACCAAGTTTTGTTTCCCAACCCTGCCACTGTGCTACACTTCCCACCCCGCTCCGCCCCGCCCCCGTCTAACTGTACAGAAAGCGGCGAGATGCATTTCCTTAGGAATCGACAAGCAGAACCGAAACTAACACTTCTAAACGAACAATGGCGGACACGTACAATTTGCGAATGAGTTCTGCCTTTTGTAAACTGAATGTATCAATCATTTGTCAATAAATCAGGCCGAAAAACGTCAATTGAAAGATCTACTTGTCCGATATTGTAAATAACACGTCCCGGACGGTGGGACGTGTACTTTTTCGCACACTGCCATAGCTGTGTGTTTATTACTTCACATGTGACTGATCCTCCTGCTGACCTCTCCACAGGAAGCTGCAGTCGGAGTACGACCGTCTGAAGAAGGCCCACGACAGGAAGGGCCTGTCCCCGCTGCCGTCGCCCCCGGAGATGATGCCGGCATCGCCGCAGAGCGCCCGCGACGCCGAGCTCATCGCAGAGGCCAAACTGCTGCGTCAGCACAAAGGACGCCTGGAGGCCCGCATGCAGATCCTGGAGGATCACAACAAACAGCTGGAGTCACAACTACACCGCCTCAGGCAGCTGCTGGAGCAGGTACACACACACACACACACACACACACACACACCCACACAACTGGAGCAGGTTCATACACTGGAACACAACATGGAGCCGGTACAGACACAGGAACTCACAAACTGAAGCACCCAATTATGTAATAATGTCTTTAAAATGCCAGAAAATGTAATAAAATCCAATGATGTTATAACCTGACCAATAATGCAATAAAGCTATAATTTTCTTTTATAGTTTATTTCATCAATTTTGACTCCTGTAATTAAGCTGTGTGGCTTGGATGCCAATGTTTATTTAATTTGTGTGTGTGTGTCTCAGACGGACTCCAAGGTGAATGGTACCGCCCTCTCTTCCCCCTCCACCTCCTCGCAGCGCTCCGACTCGTCCCTCCCCCTGCTGCGTGTGGCCGCCAGCCAGACTAATGACACCATGGGTGAGAACACACACATCTTAAACTTACAATGAACTGCTTTAGTGTATGTGAGACCATGACTCAGCATTAGTTTCAGCCGCCTGTAGTTCTAAAAATGGTCTTCCTGTTTCAGGTGATGACGAGCTGTCCAGCCCTTCCCAGGATGCATCTGGTCTGGAGGAAGTGATGGATCAGCTCAACAATTCGTTTCCTCATAGCCATGGTACAGTACACTAACACCACCATTTCTTACATGCAATATTTTCAATTTTCTCTACAAACTCCAATCAATAGATACAATTCTACTATATTTCCTGAAAAGTAGAACACAAATGGAAGAATTAATCCTTTCTTATGGGATAAAACTTAGAGAAAGGTCAAACTGGCAACTTTAAAGTCAGTAAAAGTGGAGAGATAACTATTATGAACTAGTTTACATGCTTAATAAATAAAAAACATATACAAAATGGCCATCACTGTTTTAAGATGTGCATAATCAAATCAATTTTTGACCCTAAATTTAGTTACATTAGTCCTTAAGTGAAGCATTACCCCCCCCCCCTTTCTTTTTCTCTATTAGCGACACAAAGCTGATTTGTTTCCCTCTTTCTGCCTTTCTTGTCTTCCTTTCCTTGTTTTCTCCCTGAGCCAGGAGGAAGAAGGGGATACCCGTGAGAGGTTAGTTGCTCACCTTCCTCCATCTCCACCTCCTCATCATGCAAAATCCATGTTTATGCATGCACCACTATCAGAACAAAAACTCACAAGACGATTTCATAATTGGTTTAATAATGGGAACGGCTGTTGTATTCGGTGCAAAAAATAAACAACAGAGTGGGACGTCATGGTGAAAATCTATTATCTTTCCTCCCTCCCTTTCTCTGCCTTTAATTTCCTTTCCCTCCTCTGTCTCCTGACGCTCTGTTCTGTGTGTGTGTGTGTGTGTGTGTGTGTGTGTGTGTGTGTGTGTGTGTGTGTGTGTGTGTGTGTGTGTGTGTGTGTGTGTGTGTGTGTGTGTGTGTGTGTGTGTGTGTGTGTGTGTGTGTGTGTGTGTGTGTGTGTGTGTGTGTGTGTGTGTATTAATGTCACACATCAGTTCACAATGTGGGGGTTGACAATAACATTCATCATATTTTTCTTCGAATGGTGGCTTCCAATAACGTCTCATTTAGAACAGAACATTAGAATACCTCCACAATGTAAGTTTAGTTACTGTCACATGTTTATTTTTCTATGCAGTCCATTGTCTCTGTGTGCTTTCAGTGTAGCCTCATAACCAGACGTTTCACTACATTGATTTGTTTCATCTGTTTAAAATATGAGCGTCCATAGAAATGGAACCAGGCCCTTTTGTACTTGAAGCAAAATATATGCAAGAGGAAGTTTGATATACATATTATCAACCATATAGAAAAAATAGATGGTAAACCCATGTGTTGAAGCTATTCATTTTTTTTATATCTAATAGTCATTATTGAGTTGATGCTTTTATTTTGGAAGCAGCTTCAGGCACCAGGGGATTTGTTATTTATTGGAAGACAGATGGAGGAAAGACATGTTTTTTTACCAGGGTAAGAAGGGAGGTAAAGCCATTTTATTTTATCTTTAAATCATTGAAAATGAAATGTTGAGCTGGACATTGGGCTTTTTCCCATGTTAGTCACTTCCTGGTGCCTCGGCGACAGATTTAAGGACATTTAGCAGCTACACCATTCAAACGTTTATACTTCTGCGGCCGTTTCTTCATTTGAATCTACAAGTAGCACCAATACCAGCCGTTTTCAGCTTCTTGTGTCACCTTTGCGGTGTTAGTCAGTGTTTCTGATTGTGTTTGGTCCCTCTCCAGGTCCAGGTGTCGGCAGTTTGTTCCACATGGCCGATGGTGTGGGCCAGGCCATGGAGTCGCTGGTCAGCCTGATGACAGACGAGCAGAGCGCCGAACAGCACGAGGCCCTGCCCTTCTGACCCCCCCTTTATCCCTCCCCCTTCCTTTCCTCCCCTCCTTTCCTACCTATCGCATGCTTTTTCTAGTCAAACAACTGGATTGGAAACACAGTTTACAAAGAGAATATATAAACATCTATTTTTGTGAAGGGTCGCGGTTCCAACAACGTTAAAAAACAAACAAAAGAAAAACATTATACCTTGTAGATTTAAGTAGTTTCTTAAAACGTCCTGAAGTTGTTTTATTAATAACAGAGGCTGGTTTTTAAACTTCTATGCAATTGTATAAAAAAAAAAGAGGGGGGGTGGGTGCAAAGAGAGATACAAATCAGTGTGTTTAGTGTGGCCATCTTTTTGTAATTGGGGAAACGGCTAAAGCATTTCAGACATTTGTATCAAAAAAGAATGATTGTAATCATAAGGGTGCTTTCTAAGAGGAACATGAATTTCTATAACAGCGTACACTACTGTCAAGGTAATGCAGGCATCCTGGATCTTTACAGTGCGTTGTCTGTGTGTGAGTGTGTGTGCGTGTGTGTGTGTGGTGGTGCCTAATTTCCACATTGCATTACAGCTTTGACGTTGCTTTGGCTGACAAACCCCATGTTTGAATCATGCATTCGTCCGTCCGTCGCTCCATCCATCAGTGAGTTCATAATTCCTATGATTTACAAAAGTTTTTATACCTGAATTAGTTTTTATCAGTGTAGACAGATGTTGGAATTGGCCTGATTCAGAACTGAGACACGTCACTACATACCTAATGCACATATTGGGCAAGAATTAGACATCATTTAGATTTTACCCAGATTATCTGTCTCTTAAGCACCAGACTAGAGTGTGGCATCCCTACGGAAAAAAATATACATTTTATTTAGATTTTGTTACTATGTGATTCATCTTTAATTAACATATTATTAAAATGTCCGTGCATCATTTTCAAACTTAATATAAATGGTACCTTACCCCAAATTTGGGGAAAAGCTGCAGCTGAAGTCAATTTTTTACGCTGATATGTGTCCAGCTTTAAACACACTGACTCATACATTTCCCATAATGCAACTTTTTTGTAGTGGAAAAGGAAGCTACATCTTTTATATCCAAACTGATATTCATCATCAGTTCTGAATCAGGCCTGGACACAGTCCTTCAGAAAGACGTCCTGATTATTGCACTGGTACATCTTTTATCTCTACGATGCTCTCTGAGTGTCTCTTTAGGGCCGGTTGAGGACCCGCGGTACTCTTGAGTGTTGGTTTCTAAGCTGACTGGAGTACTGTAAGAAGAATGTGATTTTAAATCTGCAAGGCTGCTAGCTGAGATTATTTTAAAGGAATTCTTCCGTCTGAACACTAACGAGACATATTTTAGGAGGCCCAGTAAGCTCTACCTCGTCTAAATTGTCAAAGCCCGGCATTTTTTCTAATGCACTCAACACCTTTCAGATTATTATTTATTAGTTATTTCTGATTCACTGTAGAGCCTCCAATCTGAATGTTCCGATGCATCTCTATCAGAGCTTTACGACCAGTTTCAAAACATTTCACACAAATGAATCAGTGTGCACTACTGTCAGACCTGGGACATACTAGATAGGTGTTTTCTGTGTGGAGGATGCTTTTATTTTAGTGTCTTTTTGTCCTCGGTTAAAAAGCTATTTTGTTTGGTGCCGTGTGAGGTGTTCAATATTAGCATGTGTGACTATATACAGCTCATCCTTCTTTAATGTGTAACCACTCAGAGGTCGCGTTTGTTTTTGGCGTCATATTGTCGCGGCATGATCTAAGAGGCTTTCGTTCTGATCCAGATACTGAATTCGATTTATTTGTCATGTCTAACGTTTGTGTTTCATTCTCGCATCATTTTTTAAATAACACAGTTCAATACTTCACAACATATCAGATTCCACCAAATATATGCCTTACTACTGTATTATAAAATGCTTTACTGTATATCAATAAAGCACGCAGTTATGTTGATTTGATTCTCTGTGTATTGTGTTTATTTTTTGCGGAATGGGCACGGTACAATAAATGCATTTTTTATTTTTAAAACAACCTCAAAATCTGCCACAAAGTGGCTAGTGCAATTTATATAATATAAAATCAATGTATTCAACTATTACATAGAAACCATTTATATTCCTTATGTGCCATGTAAGCAATATTTATGATAGTAAAATAAGACGTTATTTGTTTTTAATAGATAATATTTGTACAAAAACTCCAATAAATCCTCTGAACTCAGACAGCAAAACACGTTTTTAAACAATAATTGCTAAAGAACCACACCTTTACTGGCGTTTCAGCCTAAAGCTCCTCAATGCTCTCCACATCCTTATCAGAGTGTGTCGGAATGACCTCATCCTGTACGCATACAGGATGGGGTTGAGAGCGGAGTTGGCGTGGGAGAGCAGAACAGCCGCTAGTGTGAGCGACATAGGCACACGGCACTGTGGGCACAGCAGCAGCACGCCGTTTATGATGTGGATGGGCATCCAGCACACCATGAACAGAAACAGGACCAGGAAGAGGGAGGTGGCTTTGCGCACCTCCTGGCGGGAGCGGAGGCCTGATCTGACCTCGTTTGGCTCGCCTGGCCGGAGGTCAGCCGCACCACAGCTGGAGCTGCTGGACCCAGACGAGGCCGACCTGAGTCCTGGATTTGTAAACACAGCGGTGGTCTCAGTGTCAATAAGAGAACCAACGCTGGATTGCACTTCCTCCACAGCCCTCACTTCAGTCTTGCATTTTCCCGCCTTTTCTTTAGCTTGTCTACTGAATCTATTCCCTGTGTCATGTCCCCAAGCAGCAGAACTCCCACTGTCCTCGGTCCCGGTGCTCCCACTACCAGCAGTTCTCGTGTTCTCCGAAGACCCCCTGGCTACAGCGATGCGTTTGAGTTGCCGTCGGATGGTGAGGAAGATGTGGCCGTAGATGATGAACATGGCCAGCAGTGGCACCAGGAGACAGCAGAAGAAGTTGAAGTAGACCATGTAGCTCATGTTCACCACACAAGTGAAGACACAGTAGCTGGTAAGACAGGGAGGCATATTTATATAATATAAAAGCACACGTCACATGACATTGTCAGGCACTATATTCCAAAATCCAATCAGAGAATGTCCCACTTTTCTTGGGAGCCTTGCTATTCTAACTCCTAGATTGTCCTACAAATACACATCATCCCTGCACCACTCACTCTGCTCCTCATCCAGCTCTTCCTCCTCTTACCTAGAGCCTGCTTGTTGTCTTCTCCAGTCCATGAGCGGCACGGAGCCGGAGATGGCCCCCAGGCCCCAGGTGAGCAGCAGGGCCAGCTGGGCGTTCCTCGGGCTCATGACGCGCTGGTACTGGAAGGGCAGGATGATGGCCATGTAGCGCTCAGCTGCTACTGCTAACTGACTCAGGATGGAGCTCTTGAAGGGAAGGAACACTTCTGTAATGAAACGCTTACCTCCAATTCTGTGTTAAGGGCCAGTGTTAATCTTGAGGGAGGGGTATCAGAAAATGATGCTGAAACGATTTTGCTCGTTACTGTCTAGTAGTGGATGTTCCTACCTGTGTGAGCACCATCAGGATGCTGAGCATCACCAGGCAGAGAGGCAGGTTGTGGTGAGGCTGACCCAGGTCTGTGAGCACCGCACAGGGGATCGCAACCAAACCCACCAGAGTGTCTGCCACTGCCAACGATACCTTCACAGACACAGTAAAACACACTTTTATTCCTTTGGATAAGTGTTTATAGTTATGGATTAATTAAAATGTCAGGATATCTTGGGTCAAATACCTCAATCTCGATAATGCAACACAATTAAATATATTTACAACATATAAGATCTAGGCATGGCGGGCAAGGCAAGTTTATTTATATAAAGCACCTATCAACACAAGGCAATTCAAGGTGCTTTACAAAAATGAAAGACATTCAGACAAAGGCATTTAAAAACAGTCATTAAAAAGAAAAGATAATAAAAGAAAAAATACATGAATAAAAAGTTACAGTGCAGTTTAAGATATGAATAGTTCACACAGAAGTTCCACTTTACTGATGAACACAACGGCTCAGTTTCAATTAAAAGCAGCGACAAAAAGAAAAGTCTTCAGCCTGGATTTAAAAGTATTCAGAGTTGCAGCGGACCTGCAGGTTTCTGGGAGTTTGTTCCAGATATTTGGAGCATAATAACTGAACGCTGCTTCTCCATGTTTAGTTCTGACTCTGGGGACAGAAAGCTGACCAGTCCCTGAAGACCTGAGAGATCTGGATGGTTCATAATTTAGCAGGAGGTCAGAAATGTATTTTGGGCCTAAACCATTCAGTGCTTTATAAACCAGCAGCAGTATTTGAAATCTATTCTTTGACACACAGGAAGCCAGTGTAAAGACTTCAGAACAGGAGTGATGTGATCCACTTTCTTAGTGTTAGTGAGGACTCGAGCAGCGGCGTTCTGAATCAGCTGCAGCTTCCTAATAGATTTTTTAGTGAGACCTGTGAAGACACCATTGCAGTAGTCGAGTCTACTGAAGATAAAAGCATGGACAAGTTTTTCCAAATCCTGCTGTGACATTAGTCTTTTAATCCTAGATATATTCTTTAGGTGATAGTAGGCTGATTTAGTAACAGTTTTAATGTGACTGTTGAAACTCAGGTCAGAGTCCATGACTACACCTAGATTTCTGGCTTTATCTGTTGTTTTGAACATTGCAGACTGAAGCTCAGCGCTAACTTTGATACGTTCGGCCTTGGCTCCAAAAACCATTACCTCAGTTTTATCTTTGTTTAATTGGAGAAAGTTCTGACACATCCAGTCATTGATTTGTTCAATGCACTTACTCAGTGTTTTCACTGGAGAATAGTCACCTGGTGAAATGGTTATGTAAATTTGTGTGTCATCTGCATAGCTATGGTAACTTATTTTGTTGATTTTCATTATCTGAGCCAGTGGTAGCATGTAGATGTTAAAGAGAAGAGGCCCCAAGATAGAGCCTTGGGGAACCCCACATGTCATATTTGTCAACTCAGATGTGTATTTACCTATAGAAACAAAGTTGTTGCTGTCCTTTAAGTAGGATTCAAACCAATATAGAACTGTTGCCGAAAGTCCCACCCAGTTTTCTAGTCGGTCTAGTAATATGCTGTGGTCAACAGTGTAAAACGCAGCACTGAGATCTAATAATACTAACACTGAAGTTCTGCCACTGTCTGTGTTTAAGTGGATGTCATTGAAGACCTTTACAAGAGCAGTCTCAGTGCTGTGGTTTGGACGAAATCCTGACTGGAACACATCGAAACAGTTATTTATTTATCTAGATACATATAGATATTTAGCCCTGGACTTCTTGCAGTTTTCCTAAATCACAGGTTTGAATGTTAAGATCCAACATTTTAGATGGGGATGAAACAGACTGCAGGACTGTAGTTCCTCACCAGGAAGTAATTGGTGACCGTGTGAAGTTTCTTGTTCCAGCTGACAGCCAGACACACCAGGAAGTTTCCGATGATGGCGAGCATGGCGATGATGAGCTCAGTTGCAATGTAGAGGCCCTTCAGACGGGGCAGGAACCCGTACGGCATCTCTGCCGAGCAACTACCGGGGGTCGCATTCATGATGGGGAGGAGGCGGAGACTCAGTCATGGGAAGCCTTCAACTGTACCATTCAGCCGGCGGTGGTGAACAAGGTGTTCAAATCTTCCACTTCCACTGTCCTATACTGAGAGATGTATATAGTTTTAACACTGAGTACACACTACATTATTTTGAGGAGAAGAAGCAGATATGAGAGGAGAGAGGTTGTTATGAAGCTCAGTCTGCAGCCTTTGTGCTGAACAACTGAGAGGGAAGAATTGTTCCTGATAAGGGACAAAAACATCGACACACGCACCCAAACAAGTGTTCACTGTTTACACACTGATATTGATTCAAACTGCTTCCCTGTTGCTTCATTAAAACACATGGATTGTAAAATATACATTTGCAGTGAAAAGGCACAAAATAAAACAGGGCTGAAGTTACAGTACTACACATTATTGTTGTGGGTTGGGGGACTCGATGCATATCTATTCCTAATCATTTTTTGCTTAACGATCATCATTTTGAAAATATTATGCATCTATGACGTACACACAAGGCATGTTTTTACAAATATGTGTAAAAGGGATTAGCGAGTAAATCTCAATGCATGATGAAATTAAAGGGCCGTACCTGAAAAATCAGACATACAAAAAAACATACATGTGTACGTGTGACCCTGTAATTATTTTAACTCAGTCCCTTAGAGATTATAAACTAAAAAGGCTTTGATACCCAAAATCCCCAGGAGATAGTCATTATTTGTGGATAATGAAGTTTACTTACCTTCAGGTGCATTCATCTCAAAGTTGGAACATCATCTAGCACACTGACATAATTAAAGTTGATGAGGAAAGGCAGCAGGTACACATTGGAAGGACACTGGGAAATAAGTAGGAGGAGCATCAACTGATAAAACCGTCCTTCATCACACTTCCTCTCCATCCCTCTGTGTTCCCTCTGTTTCTTACAGGGGAGATAAAAGGAGAATGCAGCATACGTCAGCAGCAGGATCCTGTTGAATGAACAGCAGCCGCTGCCTTACTGTTATAGATTCGGGGGAAATGGAAAAGCAGATATGCTTTGACGTAAATGTCCCTCCTGTTCATAACAAAACAAACATGTCATATCAAAATTTCACGCTTGGGCTACACTTTCATATAGTAAAATAATTTGTAATTTTCTTCAGTAGAACAACAAATACAGAAGCCAAAACATGCGCTAAACATACCATATGCTGCTTAAATTACATTGATTAGATATTATATCAATATGATATAAAATCATACAGTAGGCTAAGCGTTATTAGTCAAATGTACCTAGAATATAATTTTTCATTTGTTAAAAATATTAGATTTATTGATTAGTCAATAAATCTTTTTTCATTGTTTAATTAATTGTATTTAAATGTTTGCTAGCTTAAGCATCTCAAATGTGACAATATTCAGCTTTTCTTTGTATTTATATATATATATATATATGTATTTATATTGGGTGTCTTTAGGTTTTGGACTGTTGGTTTGACAAAACAAGAACATGTAAAGTGTCCTCTTGTAACCTGTTTACTAAAGAGCTCTGCAGTTGTGTTTGCTTTATGCACATTAAGTTCCTACCTATGGAACTTTATGTGCATATTAAACATGTTATTTATTTATTATAACCAGAAGCACACTCAAGAAAGACAATGACTAATAATCTATTAGACTGCAGCTAATTCAGATGAGCCTCTGTATGAGTTTGTATCACTTAAATATCATCCAAATGTATCCACTCCTTCACTTTTCAATGTCAAAACCCCGTTTTAGTTATATAAAGTAACAATACATATATTTAAATATTTGTAGTTTCAGTATTTAGGCTAAATTGAAGCTCAGAAAATACAGTGTTTTGTACTTTCCTACTTTCACCGCTGAAGGTCGCCAGAAACACCTTTCTTCTTCTCTGGCGCTGTAAGACACGCTATACCGGAAGTTTCTGCAGGTCACGTGACTGTATGTAACATTCGGGTGATTTGTGTTTACTTCAGTCAGTAGCAAGAATGGCTGTATAGAGAGTTAGTTAGGATGTTACAGGACACATTTTGATAAAGAAGTATCTCCTGGGTCTTCAGCAGACAGACATGTCTGGGTTCAGCGCGGAGCTCATTGACTACCTGGAGGGGAGGATAAGTTTTGAGGAGTTCGACAAGCGGAGAGATGAGCGGAAAGCAAAGGTAAGGAGAGCTGCAGCACTCAAAAGTAAAGCTAGCTAACTCAGTATGCCCCTTTACATGTAATTGATAATAATTTACTACGACAATACTTCCATGCTTGATTTTTATTTTGACTCTGTTACGTTTTTCAAACGTTGGAGGTAAATATATGTTTTTCTCTCTAAGGAGTCGGAGATACCTGCAGATGTCGAGGAGGAGGCTCAGCCCTCCACCTCCTCCATTATCCCGGGAAAGATAGGTAAAACTGTCTCAAATAGTTTTTACTTTACAGTGTTATTGTTTCAATTATATATTGTTTCTGAAAAACATTGAAAGCTTTAACAAACACAAACAATAAAGTACGCCATAAATGACATGTAGCAGATTTTCCAAAAATAATAATCAATAAAAGAATACTACTAGTATCGTATCGGTTATATTTATTGCTGTTGATCACATCGCTTCACAGAGGAGGGGGTCAGCCCGGGGGTCCAGCTGGCCTTCGCCTCCATGCTGGAAGAAAAGCCAGAACCAGCATCTTCAGAAGAGCAGGAGGAGGAGGAGGAAGAGGAGGAGGAGGACAGCCTGAGCTACGTGGATGATGATGAAGAAGATCAGGATTACAAGGTGGAGAAAGATGAGGGGGGGAAGATGGAGATGGACATAGAGGAGGCGGCGGCGGCAGAGGTAAAGGAGGCAGAGAAGGGGCCAGGGGTGACAATAGAAAGAAGACGAAAAAGCAGGAAGAAGAAGAAGAAGAGAGAGATGGATGAGGACGAAGACGTGACGGTGGGGGATGTGTTTGCCCTGGAGATGGAGCTGAACCGAGAAAACAAGAAGATGATGAAGGTGAGGATGAGAGTTGGAAGGTGTGTTTCCAAACTTTGAATGTGTGCAAGTGTTCAACTTAATGTGTGTGTGTAGGAGCGGCGTCATCGCAGCAAGCTGCCCAGAGCTCTGAGAGGCCTGATGGGAGAGGCCAACATCCGCTACGCCCGAGGAGAGAAAGAGGACGCCATCCTGATGTGCATGGAGATCATACGACAGGGTATGAGACCACTTGTATGTTGTTTTCCTTTAGCTATTCTTTTTTATATTTCTCCAATACTGAATCTCTCTTGCAGCTCCTCTGGCCTATGAGCCCTTCTCCACCTTGGCCATGATCTACGAGGATGAGGAGGACATGGAGAAGGCGCTGCAGTTCGGTCTGATCACGGCCCATCTCAACCCCTCAGACTGCGAAGAGTGGGTCAGACTGGCCGAAATGTCTCTGGAGCAGGACAACATCAGACAGGCCATCGTCTGCTACTCGAAGGGTCAGTGACTTTAGATTCAAACATGAGAAGGGGTTCTATGAGTACTTTTGCCACGAAGTTGAGTAGGCTGTTCTCATCATCGTCTTTTGAATCAATCCACACCTAACACTGCACCACTTATTGGATAATTGTGTTTTGCGTTACTATCTCTGGGTTAGCACAACTATAACTCTTTCACCTAATTTTTTTTAACAATTAAAGAATGCAATATTGAGTGGTTGTACTGCCCTACTATCAATATTAATATTCTCCGTTCACTCTTGTCCCCTGCAGCTATTAAATATGACCCCACCAACGTGCGCTACGTGTGGGAGCGCTCCAGCCTGCACATGCGCCTGGGCGAACACAAACAGTGCATGGATGGATACCGCAAGATCCTGTCCCTGCTGCCCATGGAGGACGGGGAGCACTTCATGCAGCTCTCCAAGGACATGGCCAAGTACAGAACACACACTGAGAGACAAACCACATCCACTATCACAGTATTTCCTTAATAAAGTGTCATAAGGTTGTAGGTTTAGCAACATCTTTGTGTGTGTGTGTGTGTGTGTCTTGTTTAGGAGCTACTATGAGAGTAATGACTTGCCCTCAGCTCTGGGGGTAATTGAGGAAGCTCTTGCGCGACACCCCGACCTGGTCAGCGATGACTTCATCAACATGGCCGCCGAGCTCTTCATCTCCAACCGGCAGTACAACAAGGCCCTGCGGGTGTGTGTGTGTTCAGTGAATTAACAGTTTGCTTGTCATTCAGAGGAATAAAAGGTGTGTTTTTTCTTAGTGAAGCAAATGGAGTACTCTGTGTGTGCTCTTCTAGGTGCTGGTCCAGTTTGCAGCTATAGTTTTGGTCAGGGATGAATCTAACCCAGATGTTGTAGAACCAAGGGAAGAAGAGAAGGAGGCGGAGAAGACGACTGAGGAAGAAGCAAATACGAATGAAGAATGTACAACAACTATGAAGACTGTAGAGGAAATAGCTGCAGAAGAGAACGGTGAGTAACTATTTTTCAAAATTATGCAATTATCAGAAATGAGCAGACACTAGTCATCACTATCAAAGGGTACTTTATATAACCAAAATGGATTAAGATAGACGATCCTTTAACACAAAATCCAAATGTTCATCACAAACGAACTGTATTCAAAGTGTATTGTTACGCTTATTGAGAATGATGTGTTGTTCCCCAGGTGAAATTCGGGATGTCCAAGTGCCAGACAGTGTCCCAGTGGACCTGAGGGCCAAGCTAATGGTTTGCCTCATTCACCTGCGTGTCATCACACCCCTGGAGGTAAACACAACTTTACTTTTGCCATTGAGTTTAAACTTTTTTGGAGACTTTTCATAAACGTTTTGTTTCTGACATGTTCAATAAACAAACAAAAAAACCACCTATCTCTGTACGAACCCCCCCACAGGGCCTGGTGTTGTCGCTGATGGAGCAGAGTCAGGAGGAGATCGGGGACTTGTACCTGGATGTAGCTGAAGCCTACCTGGAGGAGGGCGAGTACATGGCCGCTCTGCCTCTGCTGTCCGCCCTCGTCATCTCCGAGAAGTACAACCTGGCCGTCGTCTGGCTCCGACACGCAGGTGGGGCCGACAGGAAGTGAAAGTTAAAGTGAACAAAACACAATCTGTAGACTGTCATGCAGGTTAGCAGTCCGTGTGGAGAGCAAAAGAGGGGGCATATATGGCATAAAAATGTAATTGGCTATTAATTATAGTAGTTATCATAACCACCTATTTGGACACTTTTGCAGAGTGTCTGAAGGCGCTGGGCCACATGGAGGTGGCGGCACAGAGCTACACTAAAGTGGTGGATATGGCCCCCCAGCACCTGGAGGCGCGGCTCTCCCTGGCCACCCTGCAGCAGCAGCTGGGCCGACCCGACTGCGCCCTCAAAGCTCTGGAGTCCATGTACGACAGCGACACTCTGGCACAGGACTCTTCAGCCGCACAGAAGGTATGAGCAGGGATCCATCACTAAATTCATGGGCAATACATTATTACAAAAAAACGTATCCAAAGTACCCCCATTGTCCCTCCTTGATGGATTTTAAAGAGTGCCAGGATTATTGAGTTGTCAGTGTGTTGTATGTGTGTATACTCATCACTATATGTGCCGTGGTTGTAGGAATTGAAGCTGCTTCTCCATCGCTCCACCCTGCTGAAGACCCAGGGACTCACACAGGACTACCTGGATGCTATGATCACTATGATCTCCATGCTGCTGAAGGTAACACTCACTCACACAACACTGTTATAATAGTTAAAGCGTAAAAGCAATCAACAGAAACAAAAAGCTAACACTAGGCTATTAAGGAACTACACATCTTCACGTCACCAGCGCTAAGCTAAAGGCGGCTAATGTTGTGTAGTCTCATTTAGTCACTTGTTAGTAACCGCTATTTATATGACGCATACAAGCTTCAGACATTCATTCTGTCATTAAAGGATGATTCCATGTTTCTGTGTTAGGTGTCCATGCAGCGAGCTAAGGTGTGTGTGCGTTCTGTCACCTTGGCGGGGGAGAGTCACCTGAGACTGGTGAAGTCTAAAGACATGGTGCCAGAGATTGATGATCATGAGGCTGCATATCTGGACAACACAGGTAATTGTCCGGCAGTGGCTCACTCAGTAGGGGCTTGGACTGGGAGCCGTAGGGTCGCCGGTTCAAGTCCCCGACCAGACCTAAAATATGGAGTGTGGACTGCTACTTGGAGAGGTCCCAGTTCACCTCCTGCCCTGCCGTGCTGCCCTTGAGCAAGGCACCGGACCCCACCCTTCCCCCCTCACTCCCATTGCTCCCTGGGCGCTGTACACTAGCTGCCCACTGCTCCTAAAACTAGACTCCTGGTACTAGGATGGGTTAAATGCAGAAAACACATTTCACTGTGTGCTCTGCATGTGTGACCATTAAAAGAGGGTTTCATCCCTCCCAATTCTATTCTATCTATGATAAGTAGAAAATGAAATAAAGCCAATTTAAGTGTTATCTATTTATCCACTCTTGTTATGAGTCATTCAATTTCATACTGCTGGCCTCCTCTCGCCCCCAGGTAAGACCAACGTCCTGTCCAGAGAGGACTGGTGGCAGCTGCTGGTGAGCTGCGTGCAGACGATGAGCGAGGTGAAGCGCTACGAGGAGTCTGAGCTGCTGGTGGAGTCTGCCATGGAGTTCTACTCCTTCTACGACAACAAGCCGCGGAGGAAGGAGCTGGAGTTCTTCGGCCTGTCCGCCACCATCCTCGACCACAACTACTACAAAGCATACAACTACATCAGGTAGAGTCAAGCGTACAGCTTCATCAGGCAGATGTTCACATGGAGTGTTAATTGTTGAAAGTTAAAATTGTCTTGTGTCTGTTTCCTTCTTCTCACCAGATTGATGTTGATGGAAAATCGGGATCAGCCTCAGCTTTGGAATATTTTCAACCAGGTCTGCATATACTTCAATACTGTAGACATGCCTGGGGGGGAAATGTGGGCATTTTAAGTTAGTTTCTTACCCAAAGACACTTTGGCAAATTGACTGTTTGTGTTGGGATGGAACCACTGATCCTCTGAGTAGTAAATGCTCATTTAAATAGCAAACAATCTTGTACCTATTCATGTGGCTGTTTTTGTGAAATAAAACAAATGTCCAATATGTTTTTTCTCCACCTCAGCTGACTATCACCTCCCAACACCAGCGTCACCATCGCTTCTGTCTGCGCCTCCTGCTGAAGCATCCTGACAACCACGCCCTGTGTTTCCTGTGCGGTCACAACGCCATGGTCTCCGGAAGCTTCAAACATGCCCTAGGTACCATTTTATATTTAATTGATTTGCATTATATTCTACTTAAGTTCAAAATTGTTTGTTACAGCATCCTTCTCCTGATGTCCAGGTTTGTTCATTGTTGCCCATAGATTTGAATTGCTACTATAATTTAAATTTGCTTTCAGGTCTTCCACAAATCGTCCCGCTAGCCCTGTTTGTTTCTGGTGTGGGATTAGGCAGTATTTGTTTGTTTTCCATTGGTATGATTCTCTAACACATGTTGTTTTTAGGCCAGTATGTCCAGGCCTTCCAGACTCACCCCGACACCCCCCTCCACAGCCTGTGTGTGGGCCTCACCTTCTTCCACATGGCCTCTCAGAAATATGTGGCCAAACGCCATGCGCTGGTGCTACAGGTACAGAGTCTGAATCATACTCCCTCTTTAGCAGTTTCTGTACAGTGACATACTCTCCTATTAAAATATGTGTGTTTTCAGGGTTTCTCCTTCCTGTGGCGGTATGTGGAGCTGCGGGGAGTGTGTCAGGAGAGCATGTACAACCTGGGCAGAGCGCTGCATCAGATGGGCCTCACATATCTGGCTATACATTATTATCAAAAGGCACTGGAACTGCCTGCTCAGAAACTAGAGGTACATACATCACATAACCATTTATTTTCTATTTATCACATAACCGCATACTATTGAGTTCTCATTCTGCTGTAACATTGTGACTATATTTCAAAACGTCTACTTTTTTGCTAGTATTTGTGCACAATTCTCCAGTAGACCTCTAACGCAACATCTTTTCCTCTTTTTGTCTCTTTTTTACCCTCCATGCAGGGTATCCCTGACGATCAGGTGGATCTGAGCAGAGAGATCGCCTTCAACCTGTCTCTCATCTACCAGGCCAGCGGGAACATGAACATGGCCCAGCAGATCATCAAAACACACTGCATTGTCTGAAAAAAGAATAAAGATATTTATCTATCCCAGGTGGAAATTGGGTTTTCTGAGGAAATGAAAATATGTATTTACACATAAGAAAAAAGTAAATACAATTTTTTCCAAATTGTACTAAAAGGTAAATCATACCTGTTTTACAGATACACAAAATAATAAAAGTTTAAATGTATTCAGAGATTACATTTTTAATTAGAAATGTATTTATTTCTGTATTGATTCATTTATAAGCAAGGCATTTTTGGTACAAACCAACTGTACATATATATATAAATGCTGTCATTTCAGTTATGTTGTATATAAGGCTGTGAGATTTAAGAGTTTTTCATAGTATTGATATTTTTCTAGTTTTGGTAGCACTACTGCTAAATTAATTTAAACAATTTCATAATTGTTCCAGTCCCATTTTAGCAAATGTCCGATTTTCTTATGAAGGATTTGATTTACATTTGCATTATTTATAAATGTATATACAGTCCTAATGCTTCAGTAAGACTATAATAAGGCTGCTATAACCCATCATGTAAAGAAAGTCATATTTGTTTTATAAAGAATTTCACTCCAACCAAAGATGTTTTCTTTTTATTGGCACAATGCTTCTGTGGCTTTTTCTGTTGTTTTTAAATGTTTTTGTTATCAGTGATGTGACAGAAAGAGTGATGGACATCCTTTTTCTGTTGTGATTGCAGGGATTAAGACTGTTGGATTATTTGCCAAATCCCTCCCTCTCCTCTCCCAAGCATCTGCTTCCATCATATTTTCCTCCTGGGTCACTGCACTGCATCTAGGCCAGGCCAGAAGCGGGACAGCCTACTTATGGAGGGGAGGGGCTTTCCCAAGCCACTGAATAATGTGAGCAGTAGGCCTACTATTGTTAAAAACGCAGTATAGATACTACTAAAAGTTGTCCTTCTCAATCATAACTAGCATAAAAGACCTGTTATAATGGTAATAATCCTGTAATATCTGTCTGGATTGAGATCATATGTTAAATCAATGGTGAAAAATTAAAAGTAGCAAAACTAAACTTTGAAAATATTCAGTTACAAGTAAAGGTCCTGCATTGAAAATCGTATCGGAAGTAAATTGTAAGTATTGAAAATCGTAAGTATTGGCATCAAAAAAGGATGAACTACTTGTTAAATACAATATTGGTATACAAAATGTATTTGATTCGAAGTTTTAAGTAGCATAAAATGAAAATACTCAGTAAAAATTCAAGTATCAAATTTTTGTTATCGTTTACATGTACTTCATTAAGTGGTGGGATGTTCATTGTAGTTATTTATAATAAAATGATTTGAAAAAAGTGCCACATTCTAGTACAAGATATTTAATATAAAAGTATTAATATTTATGATTTCGCCCGTTGTACTCAATATTATCTTAGTAATCATTAATAATATATACCTACCTTCTTTTGAAGTGAATAAATAGTGGGTTCATGATATCTACATAGTTATATAGTCATTCTGGGTGTCATGTTTAGATGGTTGGTGCTGAGAAAAGTAGAAAGTGGTTCATGGTCTTCTTAAAGGTGACATATTATAATGTTTTGGTATTTTACATATGTGTCCGAGCAATGTCTCAAGCCTTTTTTAAATAGTTATTCATCTATGTAAGTATGAGAAGAATAACGTTGTTGTTGTTTTTTTTTTTAATAACAGCATGTTACATATTGTAATGGTTTCAAAATGACTTGAATACCTGAGAATAGGATATTATGGGACCTTTAATGGAGAACCTTGTTTATTGTGGTCCCTGTGTCTGGCGACCCCTTTAACCCGCGACCTATATCTTGGGAACCTACAAATGGGTGGTGGTGGGAGGTGGTAAAGCAGTTATTTTTTATGCTGAGCTCGATCAGTATGCAGTGCACTGCTAAAACAAAGTTCCTTACCAGCAGGTATAACGGTTCCATATTGTGATAACCAGAAGGCGGCTGGTTGTATTTCCCCCGGCATGGCAGGGCGTCAGCTGGCCGGGAGCAGAGTGCGTGAAGCGGCGGAAACGGAGAGGCGGATGTGGAGAGGTCCAGTCGAATAAATAAGAGATGAACGCGTCCTTCTATGCAGCCTGGCATCATGACGGAGATTTTTCAGAGAATGAGATCGGAACTATGATTTAAAAACGGGAATTACATTGTTTTGTTTGGCTTGTTTGACCAGACTGGCTACCGAGGGGCAGCGTTTCTTCTCCCGGCCTCTGGAGCTCTGGATCCCGCTTGGAAGCCGATGAAGGGTCGGTGGTGCCCGGGCCGTATGGAGGCTCATAATCATTCTGCAGGGCTTGCATGCAGGTGTGGTCGTAGTCGACGTTTAACTCGGTGTAAATAAGGCAAGTGACGCGTCTCAGATGTATGTTATAATAATAGACAGTTATGTGGTTGATTTTACACCGGGGGGTTGCCTCATACGTTGCCTTTAACGACCCTCTTTCTGAACTCAAATGCATTTGATCATATCTCTTTTCACCAATAAATGTGTTTACTGCTGTGTATATGGCTGCTTTTTAACTGATGAAGTCATACTTTAATGTGGTATGTTGAGCGCATGAGCAACATTTAAAGGCCTGATAAAAACAACAACAAAGCCAATATTAATCTTCAGCATCATCGTACGTTCTAAATAAAAAGGAGCTTTATGCAAAAAGCAAAAACAAGTCAACAGTGCTTACATAGCCTACACACTGTTAAATAATGTGGGTAAATCAGATCAGAGCAGTAATCACAATTTAGATCAACCTCAGAATAACAGCTCATCTCCTATTATCTCACTTTATAGCCCCATATGTCTGGAAGTGTAATCTGTACATAATAGTAGTGTCGTCTGGGGTTAAATATTTCAGGGAAATGATTGACAGGTCGTTATTGTGCTGAGATCAATGAGGATGTGGCTTCCTTTAGCAGATTCATGCTGAAGGAATAGCCTTAATTGACACATGTACAGTAAGTCCAGTGGCTTGGCAATGTAAGTAAGTGCATACTCAAGTACTGTAGTTATGTACTAAAACTTCATTTGAGTTTTTCCATTTTATTCTACTTTATACTTCTACCCCAGAACATTTATAAGCTAATATTATATTTTGTTACTCCCCTAAATTAATTTGAATCACTTTAGTTACACTAGAGATTTAAATTACAAGCCAATACAAAATAAACTAATACATGAACTATGATATATTATTAAATGTTAAGGTGTCCAGCAGCAGTATATTTTTTTCAGTTAGCTCCACATTTATGATCACATTAATACATCATTAGTCATAATCCAGTAATTGAATTTATATGGACTATTATGCACAAAAAAAGAAGTGTACTTTTGGTACAATAAGTACATTTTAATGGTAATAATTCTCAAGTAGAAAGTCGAGTAGGCCTACTGCTCAAAACACTTTAGGAGAAGTTGAAGCAGCATTTACATACTCCACCATCCCTCTGCTGCAGCTTGGCATTGCATTCAAGTACAAGGGAGACTCTCAAGTGCATGAGACTATTTTAGACTACTACGCCGATTGACCAGTTATGTGATACTTCAATTATTGATGCATCGTGCCCCATGCTTTTTTGTATTAAACCAACTGAAAAGACCTTTCCTAATCTGCTCTTGGATACAACTGCTGCCTTATTGCGCTAATTAACAAATCCACATATGCATCTTTATTGTTAGGCACATGATTTATGACAACCACAGCATTTCCAAATGTGGCAACACAATTTCCCATCCCAGATAAAGACCCTGTAGATCTTTCCGCTTTCCTCCAGATTTTGATGTCATGTTCTATCCACAGGAAATGACTGGAGCACGAGAGGCCGAGATGCCATGACGTATGGCTGAAGCCACAAAAACAAAACTGCAACCCAGTGGTCTTTTTTCAATTAAAATCCAATTGTTTTAAACCCTTACTACTATTTGTTGGGGAATAATTTAGTGTCTTAGTTGGTGGAGCACTGTCATGTCTTGTCAAAATGTATTTGGCACTTGATCCGCACAAGTTAGAAGTGAAAGAATCTCATGAAACAAACCCACACACAAGCACTGGCACAGAGGAATGTGATGGTTGTGTTTGGGGACAGGAAGCTGTCGCCTCAGACGGGACCGCCTCATTGTTCTCCAATCACGCTACAGCTATTTCAGGACTGTGTGTGTGTGTGCGTTTGTACAAACCTCATCCAGATCTAAATTTAACTTAATAGACCTTTAATTTATCTCCCATATTAAACAACACCCAACCAGAAATCCTGTACGCTGGCAGTTAAAGGGGCGGTTTGTATTAATTTTCTCCCTGCAGATAGAGAAGTGTAGCACAACAACATTACACAACATTCTTTGGGGAAATAGGACACCTTTTTGGCATGTAGGGACAGCCTCAGCTGTAGCGCCACTACATATTTAATTAGGCTGATTTTCTTTACATTTCGAGCTTTCCTAATGCTGCTTTTAAGCACTTGCATAATTCAGTAATGTAGCACTTTCTGTAGCATAACCCAAGCCCCGCCTCACAAAGACGAATATCAGCAGTATTTAGATTTTAGTGCAGAGTTAGAGGGTGCAATGCTCCTCCTGTCCAGTTTACAAACATTAGGGTTTTATAGGAAACACTTGTGCATGCTATTCATCATTTATTTGTCTTAGCCTAGTTTGAGTAGTAGGAGTGTTTGTGCCTGCCTGTGTGTTTACCACTGGTCGGTGTATTGATGTCAGTGCCTGGACCTTTTTTTCACTGGCTTGTGTATATATTTAGGCACAAAGTCTCACCATGTATAAATAACCTGCAGACTTGGAGCTACTGCTGAGGGAACAATTGCACTAAATCAACCTCACACAGTACAGTGGAACACTTTAGGTGGCCCACATGGACAAATAGCAAAACAAAAGATTATTTGTGGGTAGTAGAAAACATATGTAATGTTGGAGCTCAATTAATCATTTAATTGTATTTAAATCTTTTGGCCATGAATACAAACAAATTGGTTGGATTATTTTTTTACTAACAAGTTCAAATATTTGTCAAGATTATGAGAAAAATAATAATGTGCTGTCCTGTTATATGAGCTGATATATTTTTTAGCATGGCCAGGGATATTCTGTAAAACATTACATTGAACATTCCAATTATCGGGGACTGAAAAAAAGAGCTTTTGCATCCTTTTCTGAATTTCAACAAACTGCCTGTCAGATTAATGTAATATGAAAATAATTTCCCTTCTAATTTTGCCACATATGTGACAGGTGTGTAAATAGCTAACTGCTTGCAAACCAGCCATATCCACTATCGCAGCGTCCACACGGCGGCGTGCGTTGAAGCTTGCCGGTGGGCGTGTCTGAAACTCGACCAACAACCAATCACATGAATCTCCCGCCCCTGACACAAGCAGCGGTTTGATTGGCTAGAGCTTGTACTGGCATATGATTCGATTGGCTGACGCTTCTGCCGAGGCTTCAAAAGTTGAACATTGCTCAACTTTTGCAGCGAACCACGCCAGCAAAGCTCCGCGTCGCTTCCCGCAATGCAGTTCGGCGAAAAGTGACGTCACCCCACTCCACACAGCGGCGTGCGTTGAAGCTTCA